TACTAGGAGAGGATGATCAACTCGAGAGTGGGATTATAGTGAAGCTTGCAGGACGAGATGAAAGGAGTTTTATACTGACCATCTTATCTATGACCTAAGCTTGGGCCCGTCACGAGGCTTCATTATTTGAAAAAAGTCTGAATGGAACAAAAAAAAGATCATCAATCTCATTGAAGTACCGTTTGGTACATTGCACTAGCACCTGTTGCTAAACACCGCCCACCCGATGACGAGTTTCTCGTTGTCGTTAGATAGTGGGTATTACAGTGTGGCACATCTGGTGAATGGCCGCTCTAGGGCTGACCTACATATTAGTAGACTCTTAAGCCAAAGCATTAGACTGATAACCTGTCTGTATATTAGGCGAGCCGTCGTTGCAGTCTGTGGATAGTAGGACTAGGGGCCTTTGGTGCTGAGTTTAAACGGCGGGGATCTCGGTCGTGTCACGGTTGAGTAGCTAATTACCGTACTATGATGGTAGTGACGAGGCCCACAAAAGGTTTTTTGATCTCAGACTCTCGTTTTGACGTTCTGCAATGAGTTACTTTGTGATGTGATGAGTATACTACTGTGCTCACGGCGTCGTGATCAGTATGCAAACGTACATGTAACACACTGTCACATGTCAGCGCTTCAGCTGTAACGACTGGCACTAGTATCACATACCATGATATATCTGCTAGACGTTGGCGCGAATGACGCCCTGGGCTGCGGCTGCGGGTCCCATGCCATAACATCGGTTTACTCCCCATCAGAACTGGGAGCGGAACTGCCCCGCTGTGGGCGGATGACCTGACTATCCAATGTGCTGCGCGAGTTAGAAATGTAACTTAGTAAGTTAGCCTACTATCGGTCAATGCGGAGGTGCGGACAGGACATATTGATACGGTATGCTGCGTGTTTTCTTTTCTTTTCTGATGGCTTACTTACTGGTATGATGCTTCCATTGTGCCACATTGATGCATATTTCATGCTAATCCGTATACGAGCAAAGCCGTCAGTCTAGCCTTTTAATTAATTGGTCTTATCTCTTTTACTGTAGAGATACGCACTTAGCTTTGATGCCATCCGGGTGTGACATGTGACCAACCAAATGAAGCGGATGTGCCTCACGAACCAGCACCAGCTGATGGTGATGAAGAGAATTTTGGTCGTGGAAAGTGCACACTGCAGATGCCATGGTAAATAGTCAGTACAGAAACATTTTTGCGTATGTCACAATTTACCTTCGATGAGTTCAATTTTGTGTGACAGTCACACGGATTTGTCGGACGTGGTGCTGCATTAGCTAATTATAGCATTCGACTCATTATCATCTTAGGGACTCCCTATGGCACCTATATCCTAGCGTGTTCAGTTTCTACAAATACAGGGATTATCTTGTTTGATATGTGCGTGAGCACTCTCCAAGGTTATACTGAACAAGAGGGTCATCAGGACTCGTTAGTAAAGTTGGGGATTGCTGGTGGGGCGTGACGTTCCATAATTCGAGCGAAGACTTATAGACACAGAGGTAAGAACAGGGACATTGATGTTTGATATCTGAATCGGTGGACGAAACGGTGAACAGTTCCCGTGATGCTCGAGTACAAATGTGAACATTACTTGCGAATCTGCGATAGTGAACATGTGCAGACCTTCTGAGACATGATGCAAAGGTAGTGATTTCTTGGTGCGAGCTGAGATATGGCGACTGGATATTCCTAAGATGAGATACTATCATGAGCACCCTCGGGCATTAATGGTATGAAGAAATGTCGTGAAGGTTGCATGTTTGAAATTTCTGTGAGTTCAGGTAAAAATTCTCTGCAGATCTTTAAAGTTTAGCGCACAGCATAAGTATCCTGTGAGTTTGGAATCAAGTGCCAGATAACTTGAATACACCGACACCTCTTATCATGAAACCTTCCAACCAGCCAACAAGCTCATCACCAATAATCCTTGCGGTAACGGGATACTACGACGTCGATGAACATCCTTGTCCCAGGAGAATGTTGTACTCAACGTATTGGTTCAAATTGTCTCAGATACGGCACTGCGAGTGATCGCTTGGCCTTCGTCGTTCGATTCACCGCCAAAGGATGGTGGAACTGCGGGAAAAAGATACAGGTAAAGATCAACGCTCAGCCGAGGGTCGGAGTCCGAGAGACAATTTCGATGGATGCATGTCAAACATGCACAAATAAAGGCCCAATCAAACCCCAACCGTCCCACTAACGATCCTGAATAAACTTTGTAACAATATTCATGACTCCTTTCAATAAATACTTTCACTTGTCGAGCATGGTATTTGCACTTTCCCAATCAACCTACCTCAGCGCTCGACCTTCGATAACGTTCCAGTATGAATGATGATATTAGTCGTTCGGCCAATAGCGCTCCCTAATGCATATTCATCATTAATGATCCCCATTGGACATATGCAGCAGGTGCCTGTCTACCTTTCGTGCTATCCACCACGCTCCTCGTTTCATTTGCACCAAGAAACCTCTTAATACGCACACTCAGTCACTCAGCCATTCTTCCCACTTCCTCGATGGACGAAAACAATCCACCTCGGAAGACGTTTGATATAGGAGAGAGGCGGGAGGACAGCCAGTCAAAATGTAGGGACTTCCGTCTTTACAACTATGCATTGTTTCTACTCATTACAGCCGTCCTCTCTCCCGGCTTTGAGAGAGATGGGTATCGTGGACGAAACTAGGATCATTTGTGCGTTCCTCAATTCTGCTCACTGATAATCTACCTAAGTATATGTTCATCCATCATCTTCTAGTTTATTTGACCCAGTTGAACAGTTCGGGTGGCGTGCGTTTTACCACAAATGATATGGGACGCTTATTCGATCATCGAGCTTGTACCAACCATTTTCCACTGCGACGCCGAACTAATTTGGAGCTTTGAGCACATCATCCAGTATGTCCTCATGTCACGCTCATCTTACTGATAGCCAGATTTCTGCAAGGTCAATTCAGAGGACTACATATAGGTCGAGGATCTGCAATCTCTCAACATGCGCCAAAACTCCATGTATTTTTATTACCTTTCTCGTCCAGGCAACGCAACTCGTGCTCCTCGTTTCCTTCCAATATTCTTCAAACGCGAGGGGAACGGTACGTAGGTCGCGAGAGACGCTTTCTTACCATCTACAACACGCTGCTAACCCCAATGATTATATGAATCTCGTAGAAGGAGTCTCGAGGTCGCTTGAAAGTTGCAATGGTGTGTGGATGGCGTTCTTTCAGAATAGTAAAACGGAGTTATGGGGGAACTTCCAAGGCAAATACAGTCATCCGAAATTCTGAATCGTAGCTCATCTGACCATTAGATGATTATTGTAGTTCAGGGCTGTACCTGGAATGCAGCCTAGCTATATTTTGACACGATCATGTACGTGGATCTGCCTAGTGTGTTCCCATCACGGATACGATTGTAGCGGGGGCACTTGACACAGTAACATCGTTAAGATAAGTCATGTTACTGCTAAATACATCGCGTTTGACGCTGCAAACTGTCCGCAGCTGACGAAGGCTTCTGGAATCTTAGAATATTGCATGATTTGATGATAGCCTGGTGACCGATAAGAGAATAACGGAGGCGCGGAAGCGAGGTGGTGACAGTGCGGTTTGGCCATAAATCCAGCGCTCAGCGTTTGTATAAGGCGTTCCAAGACATATTCGCAAGATACGTTGATGCAATGCGGAAGCGTAACGCACTGACTATACCCGGGGCCAAATGTTGTTTCAGGGATCGTGAGCCAGACCGGTGCCGATCAGCTGGTCATCAATAACCTGCTGATCGTATCAGAGCACCGTTATTGTCATGATTGAGAGTCTACCTTTCGAAAGGTCAACAAAAGAATCGGAGCCAGCCACTGCAGGCAACAGGGTGGGTTGGAGGCTTGCATTACGCATGAGTCTACCATCGCTGCTAGTCGTCCGAAAATTCTCTGTTATCTGAGATTGTTCCAGGGACGGGAAATTGCCATTGGAGCTTTCCTGGCGCTCTTGATATCGGACATATGCGATGTTGTTGACATGAACGCAAAAGACAAGAAGTAGAAGCTCTCTTTTTGAATTTTTTATTATAAGAAACAGTACTCCCGCTATCCTCCGAGTATCACGGCAAGGAATCAGGATGGGGCGCCTGCCTGGATCTGGCTGCTGGCATTCGTTGTATTGAACCTTGAATCGATTTTTGCTAGCTGGAATGAACATGATAAGCTCAAGTTATGATAATTGTACCGCATGGCTAATCACGGTCGATGTGTTGAAGGTAAAATATATCGACTAATTGAACTTGACTAGTACATGCAGGCTCCCGAGTCGATTGGGATAGTAAAGTTTACTCAAATTCGGGGGGCCGAGAAATTTCAGCCGGGTAGGGGAACTCCTGCACATGTGCATAAGGCAAATGTGTTACCGGGTTCGGGGAGACCTGCAAGCCTTTGCCAAGAAGTTGTTGTATAGGGGACTGGCGCGCACCTCACAATGACCGACTTTTAACGCTTGGTCTAGGTTAAACATTTTTAGCGGCCCGCGCTAGATGCAAGACGCCGATCAGGAGAAGATCCAGCCAATGATACTTGAAATTTGGTGGTAGGCGCTGTGAGATATCATGAAAATAGTTTTAGACCCAAAATGTGATCCATTGTCATGGTGTTTCATCGCTAGTTTGAATTCTGTGATAGTATTGGATACATGGCTGTGAAAAAATGACATTCGAGTATAAGCGATTTCCGCGGGAGGCGGTTCTGGAATTGTCTATAGGCTCAGTGTGATCAGTAACGTCGGGCGTTAATATCAATCGTTCTCAGGGGATGTAATGGTGATTTTTTCAGAGGTTCAATATCTCACAGCAAGTTCAGATAATCGCTGTGCGGGTTTTTGCGAGTGACCTAACCGGAAGATTGCGAGAGTACATATTTAAACGCATGAATATCCTGTAAGCCTGAAGTCAAGTACCACACGATCTCATTGCACCATCTCACCTCGACAATTATGCGAAACCCTCTGCTCATTCAGTCCTCCATCAGCTCAAATTCTTCTAAGTCATCATCTCTGTATCCGCTGCAAGCGCAGAGGGGACAAATGAGCCGGCAGCCTCCTATCGCACACGTCCAGAAATACGAGCGTCCGTGCCCAGTCCCCACTACTACACCCAATCGGCCCTTGGGTGTAGATGCAGTACATTACCGAGAATGTCCGCTGCTAGCACAGAGGGGACAAATAATCCGACAGCCTCCTATCGCACACGTCCAGCAATACGAGCGCGCGTGCCCAGTCCCCACCACTACACTCAATCGGCCCTTGGGTGTAGATGCAGTACATTACCGAGAATATCCGCTGCTAGCGCAGAGGGGACAAGTGAGCGGGCAGCCTCCTATCGCCCCCGTCCAGCCATACAAGTGTGCATTCCCAACTGCTGCACTCATTAAGCCCTTGGGTGTAAATGCAGTGTATTACCGACCCACCGTGGATGTCCCGGTGGTCGCTCAATATTACGTAAGTCCCCACAGTTGCTCAATATTGCACAATCTCATCCCCGGCTATCCCGTCATCATTCAGGCATCAGCTACCTGCTCGCCAAAGGACACAAGTTTGGTGCATACCCATATGTCATATTCTAACCAGCCCATTTCCGACTTCATCGGCAATAGCGAGAACTGGACACTCGCGTTGGATGTCCGTATCCCAGAAGACTTGGTCCACCCGACGCTCACGTCACTCTCATATACGGTCAAATATAGCACAGCGAATGATCACTTAGCTTGTGTCGTTCGATCCAATATTCTACTCGCAACAATTGAATCAGAGGAGCTGGGCGATAAGAAGACTAGCGAGGCTACTGCCCCTGTGTGCCTTTCGTCCGTGCTAGGCATCAAAGCCAATGACTTGGAGAACCAGTGGAACCACTTCGTAGATCGCCAAGAAATTCCTGTTAATGCCCGCATCGAGAACAGCCATCTGTACTTGCAGATCCACATCTCGGAGTATCCTACCGTAGCAATGCTGCGCTCTCTTTCAATAGATATCTTTGCTACTTGGCTGGGTGGAGATGAAGGCGTCCACGTCAAAAAGGTCAAGAAGCTGAAGCGGAGAAGGCAGCCGATGAAATGAAAGCAAAGGAGGAACAAGGCAGGAAAGCGGCAGAGAAACAGAAGGCTGAGGAGCTGGCCAGAAAAGAAGCCGAGGCAAAAAAAAAAGTCGCTGAAGTAAAAGTGGAGAGAGAGAAACAAGTGGGCAGTGCCGCGGATGAGAAGATGCAGGAGAAGATCCAAAAAGCGCTCGACCGTCTTCCAAAGGAACGTAAATGTCCTCAAGGATATGCTCGGGTCCATCATCCGACTGGTCAAGTGCGCGGGGGGGGGGGGGGGGGGGGGGGGGGGACACAGCATTTCTTGGGAGGAACTGGATCAATTGACTGGCTCGGATAACTGGAAAACCCATTCACCTCTATATCGCCACTGTTTTGCCCATATCGTTTACGCCGTCTGCACTGAAATCTATGCTCTTCTCTTATTCTCCGAGTCCCATCAACTAGTTGACCTCTGAAACATTTTCTTCTTACAAATTTAACTGTACTTTCATTAAGAATAACTCACGATATGGACAGCCTTCGTTGCATGATAGGCTGATACCAGTTGGACTGCAGAAGGCGACTTGCATACCACATGGGTTGGTTCCGCGGATGCAATCTGCGTGACTCTCATGTCGTCTATGTGCACAAGTTGGCAGTCTGGTGCGTACCATGCGCTGATCTGCAGTGTGCACGGCCAAGAAGAGTCTGGTTGAAGTTGCGGTATTAGTAAGTGTTGGGGATAGCCTGAGGTATAGTACATACGAGTGCTTTGGCCTGTAATGCAGTGGATGTTTAATAAGGACGGCATAATCAATATTCACGTACAGCAAGTACGGATCAACCTGGCAGAGATCAACGTTCAACACCGTGGCGATGCATGACGGCGGGCCAAACACGTAATCCAAAATTTGTCATGCCCACCACTACCACCAAAATGCTCATCACATCCTCAACACTCGTTCCCCGCCCTCCAGTCATCCCCCTCGTCCTCCCGCGCACTTCAAGTAATCCCAACACCACCTACGCTACCAAAGCGGTATGTCCGTCCATCGCAGCGGAGCTCGTCAAAAGCGACGGCTGAGACGTGTGCTCTTACTGACAAGTCTGTCGTAGTGAATGCACTTTGTTCTTCCAATATTTACTGTGACTAGTAGTGAGTATCACTGCACCAGTACTTGTACCCAGAAATTTGGCCGGGATTCCTTCAGCCAATCGATAATGGGCGCTTGAAAGCACAAGTTTGGCAGCCGCATGTTCACCCTGCGTACAATCCACCGCCTCCCTTGTTACAAAGAAACCTCCAATGATTCAGACTCAGCTCTTCATTCAATTCACTCCATGAATGAAGATCACTATCTTCGGAAGAAGCGCTAGGTCTGGGGATTGCTGACGCGAAGTCATTCGAACTCTCATTTGGCGGAGAAGAGAGGCTGGAGGCCAGCTAGGGATGTATGAACATTCGCTATCACAACTACACCATTATGATCACAGCTGCCCTCTCTCCCACCTTCGAGGAATGAATCTCGCAGAGGATTATTGAGGTTGGTTCTTCAGTGCTTGGACAAGATGACCGAGCGCTTCGCTCGAAGCGCTCGGCAGTCTCCCAACCCCGAACCCACGACTGCAAGGTCCACATGGGATCAGATCAGGTCGGACCTGATTAGGCCAGGCCCAAGTTACGGTCTGGACATGGCGTCTCATACACATGCGTAGAATTCTTACAAGAAGCAGCAGCCCGCCACAGGGGTCGTGGACACGCTTGTCATCCAAGTCTCGACTTTATGTTGCCTCGTGTCTATGATTCGGTCAAATAAATCAAGATTGATACCAGTGGATGGTGGTGGGCGGTTTTGATTCTTTCGCGGGCCATGGGTCACCCTCACGTTAATCATGTTAATTCAGGCGCCCTGATGAACAGCTGAATATTGGCATCGGTCTGAATCATGACCCGACATTTGGCCCTGTTTATAGTTAGTGAACTTCACTTCAGCACTGCTTAACATATCTTCCGAATCACATTGTCTTGGAACGCCTTGTATAAACACTGGGAACTGAATCCTTATCTTTGTGGACAAGAAACGAACGACTCCGATTGTCCGCACGATGAAGTCAACTGTTGACCAGGGCCAGACACGGCCGCGGTAATGTATGTTAAACCTCCGACGGGGTATTATTGTTGGACATTTCTCGGACTCTGGAGTAATCAACAACCTGGTGACAGCTTGGAGAAATGAAATGGGAGAATAAAAAAAGAATTGAGTGGAACGGCTACTATCTCCTTTTTATTCATTGAATGCATTCGGCATCTCGATTCCCCGTGGAGGGACTTTGTCACTACAGGTACACTCCGATAGCCTGAGAAGGCTTGAGTAAATCTCGGTTGCTGTTTTTCAAAATGTAACACACCTGTCAGACAAGAGGACGGTGCTCAAGTTAAGCCGACATTGTCATTGACATTATAGAATTGACCAGACCTATCAGCATAGCAGTGAGTGCCAGTGCAGTTACAATTACGCGGGAAGGAATCATCTTGCCTTGGGAAATAATGGGAGTTGAATGAATTCTTGCCCTAGAGATGGACGCATGTATCCATAAACTTATTGCTTACGATAAGGGCCTCTTACCAGATGTTCAGCATATAAAGAACACTGAGACAGTATAAAAACGCACAGCGAACACACCTCAGTGCAACACACCTGCAATCCCTCTACCAATGTCCTTATCAACCTCTAGTATAATGGCGTCGCAGCAGCTGACTTCACGCGTTACACAACCCTCAGAAACATTTGAAGGTCATCACGAATGCACCTCTGCATTTGCAGTTTTGCCCGACGGACGGCGTATGGTCACCAGTTCGAGGGCCCACAAGACACTTTATCTGTGGGAATTGACGACGAAGAGTTTGTTAAAGCGTCTGGTAGGGCATCCCAGTGATGTGTTTGGATTTGTGGTATCACGAGACGGGAGATTGATAGCAAGCTGTGATGTCACTGGAGGGATCATTCCTTGGAACGGAGAAACTGGAGAATGTCTGCTTACTAATTCTAAAGCCAAGATCACCGCTACCAAAAATGGGTCAACTTCCCACATCAGCCCTGCTTTTCCAATCATCTCAGCCTACGAGTCTACTGCAGTCCTATCGCTGGACTTTTCTGCAGATGGAACAATTCTGGCGAGTGCGGGCGACCGTACAGTGAAGTTTTGGAACACAATTACGTGGCAACAACAAACTGCCACGATCACTCCGAGTCCTGATGCAGTTGTCTGCTGCGTTCGGTATTCGTCGTCTGGCGAATATCTTGCCATCGCGACAAAGCAGCCTCATGCTCACAATATCTTCATTTATAATTCAGTAACAATGCAGCTTATCAATAAGCTCAATGGCCACTCGGGTGGCACCTCCATACTCACGTGGACGTTGCAGGGAGCATACCTTCTCTCTGGGGGCGGTAAAGACGACCCTACCATTCGGGTGTGGGACGCATCGAAGGGGAACGAGATCTGCTCCTTCCGTGGTCACACTGATCAGATCAAAGCCATTTCTGTCAATGAGTCCAACACCATCATCACTTCCACATCTCGTGACAAAAGTGTCCGCCTCTGGCCGTTCCCGATTCAATCCAATACACTCAAGCTCTCTACCGGCGCGTTTTGTGACACGTTCTCCGTGGATGGCAAGTATGTATTCGGCGTAGGCGATGACCAGAAGATATCACAGTGGTTACTACCTTCGAGACCGGTGCTGGTATGTTCCCGTTGATTTCTAATGATTTCATCGTCTCATCTCGCGAATTTTAGACAAGAGTTCCATTGGATCATGTTATTAGACAGGTATGCTCTCAACATTAACTCTGAGAACGCGATTCAAGCATACCACAGATCAACTTCACCAGGACTATGTCCAAGGCCGCCCTCAATGCGTTTATTTTTGGGGGCTTGTCAGACCTGTTGAAAGCTGTGGAGATATTCACAGAAGCAATAACGGCAGATGTTAAGAACTACATCAACTATGTGCACCGCGCAACTGTTTATATACGCCTATGCAAGTGGGACGCCGCGCTTGAAGATGCAGAGAAGGGGAGTTATACCAACTAATACCGAGTCCCTTGAAGATATACTAACTTGAATTGTGATATAGTCTATCAGCATTCAACGCTCAACACTAGGCCTTATGTTCAAGAGCATTGCTCTCTACGGAAAGAGGCAGATTAAGGAAGCGAGTAGGGCATTTGATCGCGCGTTGCAGTTTGCGACTGGAGATACAACAACCCATCTTCTTCTTTTGATCAAGGTGGGTTACATTTTTCTTACATGCTCCGTGCTTCATTATGATTTGCAGGCTATTGCAACGTTCAATGCACATGAATATGACGAAGCAATCATGTACGTTAAAGACATGGCCGAGGCTTCTTTTAACCATGATGCCGATCTTCTTGTTTGTAATATCGTACAAGTGAGTATCAACTCCGGCTCGTGGTCTGAAATTGAAATTGATTCTGTGCTTCGCGCATCAGACATACTTCTACGCCGAAATGGCACTTGCTGCCTCAGAAAGCAACATTCGCGAGAAGGCCATCGAGTACATCACTACCGCTCTCAAAATCGCAACTACCTGTTCACTTGAGAAAAAAGACGTTTCCATATACACAGAAATCGACGTGGTACGTTGATACACAACACAACCGACTCAAAAATGATATGTGTGTGCTCAATTGCGCTTTTTTTTTCCAGATTTTCGGGTGGAACCTGAAGTCATTGTGGCAAAAGATAAACAAGTATCGCTGCCTTATACTCTTCCGGACGTGTAACATCGAAGCGCTTGAGTGCTACCGATTATTGATGGAACCATGTGACAACGCTGAGAGGGAAAGCTTAATTGCTTGGTTTGCTAGTGAGTCTTTTCAGTCACGTCAACCATACTACCGTTCTCAACTATCTTTCACTCAGCTTACAAGGGTGTGGGGTGTATGCCGCATGCAACTCAGATACAATCAGCGACAGATGTAAAGGCGAATAAGAACGCAGAAGATGACGCCACCAAAGCGAGCTTAGAAAGAAAAGTCGCCGAAACAAATGTGGAGAGGAACACAAAGGTGGGAAGCGTCGTGGATGATAAGATGCAGGAAAAGATCAAAAAAGCGCTTGACCGTCTTCCAGAGGATCGCAAATGTCCTCAAGGATATGCTTGGGTCCAACATTCGTTTGGGTTCAAGTGTGCCAAGGGTGGACATAGCATTTCTTGGGAGGAATTGGATAAATTGGCTGGCTCGGATAACTAGGATGCTTGACAGAACCAAGTCATTCGCCTCTACATCGCTATTGATTTCCTCATTTCTTCCAACTTATTACGTCTGCGCTCCCTTCTTTGTTCGTCTCTTGTTCTCCGAGTTTCATCAACCAGTTGACCTCCGAAATATACTCGTTTTCAATTCTTACAAATGTGACGATATTTTTATAAAGAACAACTCACAACCTTCGTTGCGTGATAGGTTGATAACTTGACTGCAGAAGGCGAGTTGTATACCACATGAGCTGGTTCCGCGGAAGCAATTTGCGTGACTCTCACATGATGTCCCCGTCGGTGTGTAGTCTTTCCGTACCTCAAAACATGTTGGTATCACACTCATACAAGGTATACGTGCGTACTAATGTACTACATCATTAATTGCATCTCTTATGCTACACCGTGGGCGCAAAGCCAGCTTGAGGAACAGCGCCAATCAGCAACCAGATTATTAGTAACTGAGCGTCTCCATAATCCCATCCAAAATCCTGACCGCATCCGGCATATTAAACTTCTCAAACTGCAGCCCAGCTGGGACACTACAACAATGAAAATGAAACGTCGTCAGAAACAGAGGAGAGGGGGATATATAAAAACGACACTCACTCCCATCCCGTAATCCTCCTCACAGGCGCCTCCAACCTCAAAAAAGCCCTCTTTCCGACCTCAGCGGCGATTTCTCCTCCGACGCCACCCGTCATACCCGCTTCGTGCACGATCACGAGCCTCTTCGTCCTGCGCACGCTCTCTACGACTGTTTCGACGTCCCATGGTAATATCGTTCGGAGATCGATGAGTTCAACTTTGGCGTTGCGAAGGGAGGGTGGGATGAGTGGTGCGAGTGAGGGTGGTGGGGAGTTGAGGAGACGGAGGGCGGATTCGCAGTGGTAGACGGGGGTGCCCCATGTTAGGAGTGTTAGATCGGATCCTGGGATGAGAATTTCGGCGCGGGAGAGAGGAAGGGAGAAGTCGTCGATTGGAACTTGTTCGACTGTGGGTGAAGTCAATAATATATACAGGGAGGTTGGGAAGGGGAACGTACCTGCAGAACGATAGAGGATTTTGGGCTCCATGAATATGACTGGGTTGGGATCGCGGATGGCTGAGAGGAGGAGACCTTTGCATTGGATTGGGGAGCGGGGTATTACGACCTAGCGGTGCATGAGTTCATTTAGAGATTCATCATGGGATTAGCAGTATGAACACACCTTGAGACCAGATGCGCCCATGAAGAACCCTTCAGGACTCTGTGAATGGTATAGCCCACCATGACCCACGGCCATGGTTGGCGTACGCACGGTTAGCCCGCCGATAGAGAAGTGTCCACCTGAACGGTAGCGAAACTTTGCGGCTTCGTTCACGAGCTAAGTTGAAGGTCGATTTTGAAGTCTAAGATTCGGATAAAGTGGAACGAACCTGATCAAATGCGGGGAATATATAGTCAGCGAACTGAATTTCTGCGATTGCAGTATGCCCCATGGATGCGAGGCCAATGCCAAAACCCGCGATACCTTGTTCTGTCAATGGGGTATTGAAGACGCGTTCGCGACCTGCAGCACGATCAGTTATGGATACGACGTATATTATTAAAACGTACCAAATTCTTCTGCTAGGCCCTGTTCGATGAGTGAGGACAAATGATGTATGAAGACATGGCAATGCATACCATTGTGCACCTAAACACCCCGCCAAATGCTATATCCTCACCAAATATGACGGCAGTATCATCCTTTGAGAGTGCAATACTGAGACTGTCAGCAGACCTTCTGGGTAGAGAGAAATGGGTTACCTAAGGGCGTCCCGCACAGCTTGATAGAGATTCATCTTGCGTGTCTCACGGCCGCCGATGATGTTACGGTCAGATTCCTCATCTTGCCATGATATACCTGGCGTTCTGAGAGCAGATTCTCGTGTGATGCGGAAAAGCTGAGAGGATGCGACGGATGAAGAATGACCGCCTGCGGGTGGGGGCTCGATGGCAGTAGTGCTCGCTGTCGTCTGCCATCGACGGGACTTGTTCCGGGTGAGTGACACAGTCACCTGACGGTTGAAAGAGAGACTTACGAGTGCAGGAAATTTAGAGCGCAGACGACGGGCGAGCATTGGGAAATCGACTAGGTATTAGGACAAGGATAGGGAGAAGACAAGATCCGTGAAGCAAGGCAGTTAACATTCTCCATTGAACCGAAAGTCTAATAATTGATCGTAATTGAATGACTTTGGATACCAAATGGGATCGTCGGGCCGGATTTGTGCCGCAGTATGATATCTCTTTCAGAATCATGATACTTATGACTTTTAGTTTTTAGCTTCAGGCCTGATCTTAATTTAAACCCAGAGTTCGGATTCGCGAAGTTAGTAGGATCATACCGTGGTCTAGAGGAGGAGCAGGCCTGTCCAAATATATGACCGTCGCATGACCTGTTAAGCGGCGTAGGAATTTCTCAAGGTCCTACCCAATGCAGATTAAGCTTAAGTACTGTTGCTAACACCTTCTCATCAACAGTATGGAGAGCGACAGTGCATTCGTGGCTCCTGAGGGCGTTTACTCTGTCACTGAGGAACATAAACCTCTTCCAGTTCCCGTTCACTCTTCTACAGCAGCACAACCCATCTACCAAACTCGCCTTTCATCCATCACAGTCCGCTTTCCACCAAAGCACTCAGTTTCCCCAGGCCTCGCCCAGTTTCTTGGTGCAAATCTAACAAAGGATCTTAAAAAAGACAAGGAAAAAGAGCGGGAGAAAGAGAAAGAGGCCGTCGTAAAGGAGCGCCCCTTGCTGGAGGAGCGGAGCATGTCATCCAGCAGCACCCCAGAAGACAGCTTTTCATCTCCAGATGTAGTAGCTACCCCAGATCTCTCAGCAGAACCCCAGCAGTACAAGCTCTTCTCCCACCCTTCCGTCTCAGTAGGTAAAAAGAAATTGAACATATCGCGACCAAAACACAACATGCGCACCACATCGTCCACATTCATCACACGTCTTCAAAGCACTGAAGGTCTCAGCAAGACACTCGCAGCGAAACAAGGCGATGTCACATTCTTGTTCTATAATACTGGAAAGGCCTTTTTGTGGATTGAGGTGGGGTCAAAAATCAAGGTTCGTCATCTAGTCCTTGGCCGCGCAAAACGCTGCATGATTCTACCAGGACCCACTAACAAGGATTAGCTTCTCTGCATACCCAACTTGTCACGACGTAAACCCCTCCACCGCATCCTCAGAACGACTAGACGTTATCATAGGATTCAGCACAGGCGACCTCGTATGGTTTGGTATGCACCTCATCTCACGCCTGTTCTTCTGCTCACAGTGATTAATCAGACCCAATATCAAGTCGCTACTGCCGCCTCAACAAACAGGTAGTCAACCCCACTTCTATTGTAAACACATCTCACAACAAAATACTAGGGCACTATTTCCTCCTCCTTATGCACAGCCGTCCGTTGGGTTCCCTCCTCTCCAACCCTCTTTCTCGTCTCCCACGCAGACGGAACCATAATCGTTTACGACAAAGAACGCGAAGACGGCATATTCACTGCCACCATTCCAAATGGACTCACAAATACCCCGCATATAACCATCAACGCACATCATGCATCTCCTGTAAGTGATGAATGGGACCCCCTATCAACGATATTTGTCACACCTCCGCCATGGCATCCAGAAGCAATCGGGAGGGGAGAGAAGGGCGTGGTCGTGAAGAACCCTGTAAGCCATTGGCGTCTATGTCGCCGTAGTGTCGTCGGTCAGTGAAGCCTCTTTAATACTCGCATTGGGAGCTCATCCTGGCTAGACTTCGTATTCTCTCCTGATAATAAATATGTAGCTGCCATTTCAGACGATGGGTGTCTGAGGGTGATCGATCCACTTGCAGAGCAGTATGTCGTCTCCTCCGATCGCTGAGCAATCTTTAATCTTTAATCCAGGCTGGTGGACTGCTATGCATCCTATTTTGGTTCAATGACATGTGTTGCATGGTCTCCTGACGGGCGTTTCATCCTCGTGCGTTTCATTCCAAGTTTCCAATTCAATGAACTCATCTTTGATTATCCATCCTCGACTAGACCGGCGGCCAGGACGACCTGCTCACCATTTTCTCCCCCTGGGAACAACGAGTCGTCGCACGATGTCAAGGACACTCCTCATTCGTCTCAGCCGTTGCTTTCGACGAGCTCCGCTGCGATGGACGGACATACCGCTTTGGTAGCGTAGGAGAGGATAACAAGCTCATTCTCGTGCGCTTTTTATTGCACCTATAAATCGCCATTCACTCAACTAATTTGACAGTGGGACTTTTCCTCTGGTGCTCTTCATCGCCCCAAACTCCTCGGAGCACACCATCCGCGCCCATCAATGTCATCTAGTATCTCGCTCGCTCACCGACGCGGAACGGGGTCGACCATTCAACTATCTGCACCACGGTATCATCCTGCGCCTTCGAGGAATGAAGTGTCGACTGTACAACCTGTATTGGTCAGTTTTCCTTCCCTCTTCCGTTTTTCTACATAACTTTCCCATTATGAAGGCAATTAGTTGACATATAACGCACAACAGGTAAAACAACTCGACGCCGATCTCCTCACATCCCTCGCCTTCCTCCCCCGCGCGCTCATAACAGCATCAAAAGCAGGCCACGTCCGAGTATGGGTACGGCCACTGGTCATGGCTCATGCTAATAGCCCTAGGAGAAGGCATACGCGTGGGACGTTGTCTGTAACAGATTTTCGGGGGGTAGTTCATTGAATCGGGTTCATAGTGGTTCGATCCGAGTGTTGAACTTTGTAGTGATGACGACTTCGGCGTCGTTGGGAAGCGGAGATGAGCGACAAGGATCTAATTTATTTGTGGATTATGTATATCTCAGCGTAAATTCCGCATGCGCACGTACCAAGATTTATCGATACCACTTATAATCTTATCGGTTTTCTCTGCCCTGAGTTGATGTGTGGCGTATCAAGCATCGCTGGATCTCTCCTCAAAATCATCCGTCATATCATTCGCATCCTCCGCTTCACTCGCTGTCCCCGTCTCACCCTCATCATCCATATCTTCCATGCTTGCATCCAGATCTGCTCCTGAATCGTCGTTCTCCTCGCCATCCTCGTTAATCGAAGGGCCGCCGCCTGATTGGCCGGTATCAGAACCATCGGAATCGTCTTCTGCCTACAAGACAGCATGAGAAAAACAGCTTCAAAACAAAACACGAAAAACCAATGCAAAACCCACGCACCTCGTTCTTCTCCTCCAACTGCGTCGTACTCCTTCCAATAGGAACGAGCCACTGGAACCCTCGATTCCTTATCCCCAAGTTCTATTCCAGTCGATCACGCGTCGATATGGACATGATATAATAAGATATAATTTGCGTGGAGTATCAGTAGGGAATCGCATCGCAGGAACGACTTCAGGAGGGGGCACGTACGGAATCTTCAAGTTCGTTCTCCTCGTCTGAGAGATCGTCGATTTCGCGTTGGAGATCGCGTCGGGTGTCCATGCGCGCGGGGTAGCGATCGAGTTTTGGGAGTGGGGCTGGGTTTACTTGGGGTGCGCGTGGGAGGACGAGGGGGATGATTGGAGGCCGGGGAACGAGCGTTGGGGATGTGATGGGCATTTTGGTGGTAGTGGTGGGTGGGCGTGACAAATTTTGGATTACGTGTTTTGGTCCTTCGGAGTGTTGCGGGCCCGTAGTAGTTGGGTATAAGCAGGCGCTCATGCATCGCCACGGCGAGCAGTGAACATGATCTCTGCCAGGTTGCAACTGGATCCGTACATGTGCCTCGCTGTACGTGTTTATCCTTACGCCCGAAAAGTTCTTGCTCACAGCGTGGCAGTAATATCTGCCCGTGCCACTGTCACGTTGGCTGATCCTCGGACACTCCAAGTTCTTTTCCTGTGATGCGCTATCAATGATAAAAGAGTCTATGACGGTGGGTGTTTTGCTCGCATCCCAGCGCTCCTTGTATAACTGATGCTGCCAAGACTCTCAGGCTCAGGTTTGTATCGACCCTTTCAGGTCTGGCCCGAGGTGCATCTTTGTGGCAGGAACGGCATCTGCCTTCCCAATTCTTGATGTGGTTTAGCTATATCTCCATCACCCCAGGGAACTTCTTTGCGCCTTTCACGTATCAAAGAGTCATCGTATCTGTCGGCTGCGTTCCGTTCGCATCGTCGTCCATAGCTCTGGATTTTCCTACTCTTTGCCATAAGTCCGCTCTAGGTTGGCTCATAATGATGTGGACTGCGACTACGATAACGATATTGTCAGCTGTCTGATCCCATCCGTGTCAACGGTACATTTTGCCCGGCTCGGATGCACGTCGCTATCACATGATCCAGAAACACCGCGACACTATGTAGGTGCAACGAATTGGCTTTCTCGTGCACGTTATACCATCTTATTTAGGGAGACGACTCGTAATCCATATTATCAGCCCGGAACGCGCATACTCATTCATGACTGTGAGTATGTTTTTGCAGGTGTACACAACGATCTGCGCTTTTAAAACGTCTGGTTTCCAGACTCAGCGAACGGCACTATACCTGAGTGCCTAACACCACTGCACAGCATCGTCGGCATCATACGACTCAGCACGTGTTAAAGTCGACACTCATAGCCAGTGCACAAGGCCATGAAGGAGTAAGCCAATTGTGATTCATGATTGCTACAGATACATCGCCTGACGGCAAGTCCCGGAGATTTGACAAGACCTTGTCCGGTTTCCACACATGGTATGGTATTTTCCCAGAGCCGTCATTTTATCCCTGGAGTAATGCGTAATTGGATATGACAGTATCCGTCTCTTCCTGTCTGTAGGGTTGGTGCAGGGAGCCTTATTTAAACAACTTAAATGCACTTTCGATGAGGTCCCTCCTAACTCCTCTAATCGATCATGCTACAGCTCCCTGACCTGCGCATTTCTGATAACACGTCGCTCACCCTCGATATTGCGGCTTGTCTTGGAGTAATAGGAACGATTGTTTGGGTTTACCTTCGTAAATCAGATAGCCACCTTCCTCTCCCACCTTCCCCTCCAACTTGGAGACTTCAGGGACACTTCCTGCCCGCTCACGAGTGAAGTTTTATATCTGCGACCTCATCTATAGGATCTAATTGGATCACATTTCTGATCAGGCCATTTCTTACTGTGGCGCGGTGGATTGACGAGTATGGCCCTCTGATTACTATCCGCTCAGGGATGCAGAAAACCGTGATTGTCGGCCGCTACAAAGTTAGTGCCCTTTATGATAAGTTAGTATCTCCAAACTCAACACTCCCTGACAGGCCGCCGTGGATATAATGGAGAAGCAGGGTAAAACGCTAGCTGATCGACCTCGCCTCGTTGCTGCTGGAGAAATTCTTACACGCGGACAGAGCCTCGGTTTCTGCCATGTTGGGGACAGGCTGCGTCGGATGCGTAGGTTCGTCGTCGCGATACTGTAAAGGCTCAAACAGCTCTCATATTGCGTCTCGATGCCATGCAGAGCACTCCATACGCATCTCCAGCCCAAATCAGCCGAGACGTATCAACCTCTGCAGATGTCGCAAGCGAGAACCCTAATCCTCAACATTCTTGACGATCCAAGCAACTTTCAGAACCACGCGACCACGTAAGCGGTTTTCTACGTGTTGGCGTCGGGGTCTCGTAGTATGTTACTGACGGGCTCTTGGAAGTTATGCGGCAGCGACGATCCTGAAAGCTGCATATGGAAAGACCTCGCCGATATCGGCAACTGACCACGAGGTTAGGGAGGCTCGCCACCTCATGACCCGAATTCGTACAGTCGTGCGCCCCGGCGCTTATTGGGTAGAATCGATACCGTGGCTCAAATACCTTCCTTGGTATGCGCCAGAATTAAGAGACGACTATAAGAGGGCTACGCGACTCTACACAGACCAGCTGACTCGTGTAAAACTGCAAATGGTAGGCATTCCCTTGCCTGTGTTTACGTGATGTCTGAGTTATTCCACAGCAGAGGAATGAGGACATTGGCCCTTCGTTTTCAAAATACGTTCTAGAAAATCGACATCTGTACGACTTGACAGAGATGGAGATGGCATATCTTGCTGGCTCCTTTTTTGCAGCTGGAACTGAAACAGTAAGGCGTCTTTCTGTTTTTTTTTACGATTGTATACACTGACGTGGGGGACAGACTGCTACAGCGATATGCACGGTGCTAATGGCAGCTGCGCATTTCCCTGAAGAGCAAGCTAAAGTGCAGGCCGAGCTTGATGCAGTCATCGGAAGAGAGCGAGGTAGCTTTGTGCACTGTAGTTCTGTCAAACCATTCATTTTTCGCCGAAGCACCGACCTTCGCCGATAGACCATTCCTTCCTCGTCTGGAGGCCTTTATATCTGAGGCTTTGAGATGGAGACCGTTGGTTCCTTTTGGTGAGTTTCTCGATGGTCACTCCTGTGCGGACGTTCACATAGTCCATCCCACAGGATTCCCTCACCGAACCACTGAAGACGTCATTTGGGCAAGTCCTTTTGAATCATTTGTTGTGACAGGATAATCTTACCTCTGTTGGCAGGAAAACTATTGCATTCCCGCTGGTACTACGGTGTTCGGCAACCATTGGTAAGTCTATGTCCTTCAAAGTATCACATCGAATTGTCACCGTCTCAGGGCCATCTCTCGAGATCCAGAAGTCTATCCTGAGCCTGATGCGTTCAAGCCACAGCGCTGGATTGATGATCAAGGTCGCTTGAGAGACGATCTCGCATTCTTTGTATATGGGTTTGGTCGGCGGTAAGCACTGTCTTGTGGGATGCACTTTCTTTGATTGTCCTTCCTTCCAGGGTATGCCCAGGTCAACACGTTGCGAACAGGTCATTCTTTCCACCTACATAATTTCCTGAATCTGATCTGAAATGTTACAGATCGGTGTTCATAAATTCGCTTCTTATTCTTTGGGCCTTTCAGCTCAGTCTGGATCTTACGAAGCCACAGGATGACATGGGGTTCATGAACACGTTTATGCCAAACGTCAAATGCGCTATTGAATTTCAGGCGAGGGTTCCGGAAGTGGAGCTTAGGCGTATGATGCAGAATGATACTGAGGCTGGGTGAGAAGCCTTGAGGTCTGGGTAGGATTTCACTTTATCAGACAGAGGCTAGAGAAACAGTCTCAGCGTCTGGAGAAGAATTGCTGTCCTGTGCAGCCCATACTGTTATATAGATATATCCTAACTGGACTATAATCCAAAAAGTCCGATACATCTTCTGGTATTGTCATCCATTATGCTGCCTCACAGTTACGTACGTTGTACACTCTCAAGGAGAACTTTGATCACACTTACAGACTCTGTTATGGGCACGATACTTGCAGCTTTCTCTGTTATGAAAGGCAAGTTTCTCTCACATAACGAAGTCGTTGTCTACTAACAAATTTAAAGGTCGAATCTATTACTGACTAGTCTTGAATTCAAGCGTGCTGTTGGTGCCCAACCACTGGCAGCACCTGCACATAGCCCACTCCGCGAACAGTGACATTCTGCACTCTGTGTGCGCCTTTCACTCTCCTACACCGAACACCACCTCTCATGCAAACTTCAAAACTTGCACACCATAGGCAGGTTTTTCGTCCATTCTGGCCTCGGCTCTTCCGCTCACGATACTACTATGAGGGTCTGCTTTTATTTTATGTTACTAGAACAGATATTTGAGCTCGCGATGGCCATGCGCCAGCGGCATTCAAGAATCAAATGCATGTCGCACAGAGACTGGTAGGTTGACTACCTTTCTTTTGATGCAGCTTCGAAATGCTAACACCCACGGCACGTTGTCGAGATCTAGATGCTCCACTCCGGTGAGATACTTAGCCCTAGATAGTCATTGTGCTACAGTGGTTAAATGATGTATTGCCATACAGAACGCATGTATCCTGTACCGTAGTGGACCACTACAGTATAAGATTATCGGACTTTTAGGATCACGAGCCATAAGGATATATCCTTCTACCTATATCCTGAGTTTCAGGTGTAGCCCAGGGTGCATCTTTGACAAATTGTGTCAGGAACGGTATCTGCCTTCCCAATTCCTGATTTCGGTTGATGTGGTTTGGCCGACCCGGTGAACTTCCTTGCACCTTCCACATATCAAAGAGTTACTGTATCTCTCTGCTGCATTCCGTTCGCATCGTCGTCGATAGATCTGGATTTTCCTACTCTTCGCCATAAGTCGCTCTGTTTTTCGAAAAAAAGTTATGTTGGCTCATAATGATGTGGGCAGCGCTGCGGCTATGATAACGAATGGTCAGCTGTCTGATCCCATCCGTCATGTCATCGGTACACTGAAGTTCCCCGGATCGGATGCACGTCGCAATCACATGCCCAGAAACACCGCAACACTATGTAGCAACGAACCGGCCTTCTCGCGTACGTTATACCACCTTGTTTAGGATCCAAGACGACTTGTAATCCATATTATCAGCCTGGGATGTGCTTCATGACTGTGAGTATGTTTTTGGTGTATACAAAGATCTCCGCTTTTAAAATGTCTGGTTTCCAGACTCATTGAATTGCACTATACCTGAGTGCCTAACACCACCTCACATCATCGTCGGCATCATACGACCCTGCACGTGTTAAAGTCGACACTCATAGCCAGTGCACAAGGCCATGAAGGAGTAAGCCAATTGTAATTCATGATTGCTACCGATACTTCGCCGACGGCAAGTGGCGAAGATTCGACAAGATCTTGTCCGGTCTCCACACTGTATGTCCTCTTACGGTATTTTCCCAGGGCCATCATTTCATCCCTGGAGTAATGCGTAATTGGATATGACAGTATATACAGGTCTGTTCCTGTCCCTAGGGTTGGTGCAGGGAACCTTATTTAAACAACTTACAAATGGACTTTCGATGAGGTCCATCCTAACTCCTCCAATGCTACAGCTCCCCGACCTACGCATTTCTGATAACAAGTCGCTCATTCTCGATGTTGCGGCTTGTGTTGGGGCAATAGGAACGATTGTTTGGGTTTACCTTCGTAAATCAGATAGCCGCCTTCCTCTCCCACCTTCTCCTCCAACTTCGAGACTTCAGGGACACTTCCTGCCCCCTCGCGAGTAAAGTTTCATATCTGCGACCTCATCTTTATGATCTAATTGTATCACATTTCTGATCAGCCCATCTCTTACTTTGGCGCGGTGGATTGACGAGTATGGCCCTCTGATTACTATCCGCTCAGGAATACAGAACACGGTTATCATCGGCCGCTACAAGGTTAGTCCCTTTATGACAAGTTAGTATCTCCAAACTCAACACTCCCTGACAGGCCGCAGTGGATATAATGGAGAAGCAGGGTAGAACGCTAGCTGATAGACCTCGCCTCGTTGCTGCTGGAGACATTCTTACACGCGGACAGAGCCTCGTTTTTATACATGTTGGGGACAAGCTGCGTCGGATGCGTAGGTTCGTCGTCGCGATACTGAAAAGGCTCAATCGGCTCTTATGTTTCTTGATGCGATACAGAGTACTCCATACGCATCTCCAGCCCAAATCAGCCGATGAGTATCAACCTCTGCAGATGTCGCAAGCGAGAACTCTAATCCTCAACATTCTTGACGATCCAAGCAACTTTCAGAACCATGCGATAACGTAAGCGGTTTACTACATGTTGGCGCCGGGGTCTCGTAGTATGTTACTTACGCGCTCTTGGAAGTTATGCCGCAGCTACGATCTTGCAGGTTGCATATGGGAAGACCTCGGCGACATCGGCAACTGACCCCGAAGTTAAGGAGGCTCGCCACCTCATATCCCGACTTCGTACAGTCCTGCGCCCCGGTGCTTACTGGGCAGAATCCATACCGTGGCTCAAATACCTTCCTTGGTATGCGCCAGAATTAAGAGACGATTATAGGAGGGCCACGCGACTCTACACAGACCAACTGAATTGTGTGAAACTGCACATGGTAGGCATTGCCTTGCCTATCTCTGCGTGATGTCTGAGTTATTCCACAGCAGAGGAATGAGGACATTGGCCCATCGTTTTCAAAATACGTTCTAGAGAATCGACATCTGTACGACTTGACAGAGATGGAGATGGCATATCTTGCTGGTGGCTTTTTTGGAGCTGGAACCGAAACAGTAAGGCGTCTTTCTGTTTTCTTTTTACGATCGTATACACTGAGGTGGGGCGACAGACTGCTACAGCGATATGCACGGTGCTAATGGCAGCTGCGCATTTCCCTGAAGAGCAAGCTAAAGTGCAGGCCGAGCTTGATGCAGTCATCGGAAGAGAGCGAGGTAGCTTGATTGTGCACTATAGTTCTGTCCAACCATTCATTTTTCGCCAAAGCACCGACCTTCGCCGATAGACCATTCCTTCCTCGTCTGGAGGCCTTTATATCTGAGGCTTTGAGATGGAGACCGTTGGTTCCTTTTGGTGAGTTTCTAATCGTCACTCCTGTGCGAACGTTCACACAGTGCATCCCACAGGATTACCCCACCGAACCACTGAAGACGTCATTTGGGCAAGTGCTTTTCAACGATTTGTCGTGAGGATAATCTTACATCCATCGGCAGGAAAACTATTGCATTCCCGCTGGAACTACGGTGTTCGGCAACCACTGGTAAGTCTATGTCCTTCAAGGTATCACATATCAAATTGTCACCGCCTCAGGGCCATCTCTCGAGATCCAGAAGTCTATCCCGAGCCTGATGCGTTCAAGCCCCAGCGCTGGATTGACGATCAAGGTCGGTTGAGAGATGATCTCGCATTCTTTGTATATGGGTTTGGTCGGCGGTAAGCACTGTCCTGTGGGATCCACTTTCTTTGATTGTTCTTCCTTCCAGGGTATGCCCAGGTCAACACGTTGCGAACAGGTCATGATTCTCTTCACCTACATAATTTCCTGAATCTGATCTGAAATGTTACAGATCGGTGTTCATAAACTCGCTTCTTATTCTTTGGGCCTTTCAGCTGAGTCTGGATCCTATGAAGCCACAGGATGACATGGGGTTCTCGAACACGTTTATGCCAAACGTCCCATGCGCTATTGAATTTCAGGCGAGGGTTCCGGAAGTGGAGCTTAGGCGTACGATGCAGAATTATCCTGAGGCTGGGTGAGGAGCCTTGACGTCTGGGTAGGATTTCACTTTATTAGAAAGAGGCTATAGAATTCTGGAGAAGAATTGCTGAAGTATGGACAGACACGAGAACATTCCGATATCACAAAATTTGCAGCAGTGAGATATTACCTGATTTCACATCCCTCGCCTTCCTCCCCCGCGCGCTCATAACAGCGTCAAAAGCAGGCCACATCCGAGTATGGGTACGGCCATTGGTCATGGCTAATGCTAGCCCTAGGAGAAGGCATACACGTGTGACGTTGTCTGTAACATATTTTCGGGGGGTAGTTCTTGAATCGGGTTCATAGTGGTTCGATCCGAGTCTGTGGTGGTTGAACTTCGTAGTGATGACGACTTCGGCGTCGTTGGGAAGCGGAGATGAGCGACAAGGATCTAACTCATTTGTGCATTATGTCTATTTCAACGTAAATCTTGCATGCGCACGCACCAAGATTTATCGATTCCGCCTATAATTTTATCGGGTTTCTCTGCTCTGACTTGACGTGTGTGGCGTATCAAGCATCGCTGGATCTCTCCTCAAAATCATTTGTCATATCATTCGCATCCTCGGCTTCATTCGCTGTCCCCGTCTCACCCTCATCATCCATATCATCCATGCTTGCATCCAGATCTGCTCCTGAATCGTCGTTCTCCTCGCCATCCTCGTTCATAGAAGGGCCACCGCCTGATTGGCCGGTATCAGCACCATCGGAATCGTCTTCTACGAAACACGAAAAACCAGGCATCTGTTCTTCTCCAACTGCGTCGTGTTCCGCCCAATAGGAACGAGCCACTGGAACCCTCGATTCCTTATCCCCAAGTTCTATTCCAGTCGATCACGCGTCGATATGGACATGATATAATAAGATATGATTTGCGTGGAGTATAGTAGGGAATCGCATCGCAGGAACGACTTCAGCTTCAGGAGGGGGCACGTACGGAATCTTCAAGTTCGTTTTCCTCATCTGAGAGATCGTCGATTTCGCGTTGGAGATCGTGTCGGGTGTCCATGCGGCCGGGATGGCGATCGAGTTTTGGGAGTGGTGTTGGGTTTACTTGGGGTGCGCGTGGGAGGACGACGGGGATGATTGGAGGACGGGGAACGAGCGTTGGGGATGTGATGGGCATTTTGGTGGTGGTAGTGGGCGTGGCAAATTTCAGATTACGTGTTTTGGTCCGTAGCAGTTGGGTATAAGCTTGGCATGCATCGCCACGGTGTTGATAACGTTCATCTCTGCCAGGTCGCGATTGGATCCGTACATGTGCCTTGCTGTACGTGGTGTTTATCCTTGCACCCGAAAAGTTCTTGCTTACAGTGTGATAGTATCTGTCCGTGCCACCGTTGTTGGCTGATCCTCGGACACCTCAAGTTTTTTCTCTGTAATGCCCTATCAATGATTCATGAGTTTCAAAAAGAGTCAACCTTTTGGAAGAAGTCTCAACTGTTATTCTAGCAGAATATGACAGTGAGCGTTTTGCTTGCATGCTGCGGCGGCATCCCAGTGCTCCTTGTGTAACTGATACTGCCAAGACTTTCATCTTTGTGCATCTTTGTGGCAGGAACGAACGGTATCTGCCTTCGAATTCTCAATTCCTGGCTTTAGTTGATGTGGTTTAGCTAAGGCTGTATCGGCCCGGGGAACTTTGCACTTTTCGGATATCAAAGAGTTGCCCTATCTGTCGGCTGCGTTCCGTTCACATCGTTGTCGATAGGACTGGATTTTCCTACTCTTCGCCACAAGTCCGCTCTGTTTTCGAAAACAAGCTAGGTCGGCTCATAATGATGTGGGCAGTGGCTGCGGCTACGATAAATATATGGTAAGCTGTCCCATTCTATCCGTATGCATCGGTAAGCTTTCACGTCGCAATCACACGACTCGGAAACACTGCGAGACTATGCAGGTGCAACGAACCGGCCTAGAATCTCATACACGTCGCACGATCTTAATCAGGGAGACGTGACTCGTAATCCAGATTATCAGCCTGGAACGCACATACACATTCATGTCTGTGAGTATGTTTTTGCAGGTGTACACAAAGATCTCTGGTTTTAAAACGTCTGGTTTCCAGACACAGTGAACTGCACCATATACCTGAGCGCCACGGCCTCATACCCGATTCATTGACCTAGCATGTATTAGTTGAAGTCGACACTCATAGCCGGTGCACAAGAGTGAGCTGATTGTGATTCATGAATGCTACTGATACTTCGCTTGACGGCAGTCGCGAAGATCCGACAAGGTCTTGTCCGGTTCAACCGCAAGTGGTGTGTCCGGCGTTTATGCAAAGCTATGACTTTATCCCCAACTGTTCAAGTGCAGTAATGCGTAATGGGATATGACAGTACCCGTCTCTTCCTGTGCGCAGGGAACCTTATTTAAATAACTTGAATGCACTTTCAATGAGGTCCATCCTAACTCCTCCGATGCTACAGCTTCCTGACCTGCGCATTTCTGTTAACATGTCGCTCACCCTCGATGTTGCGGCTTGTGTTGGAGTAATTGGAACGATTGTTTGGGTTTACCTTCGTAAATCAGATAGCCGCCTTCCTCTCCCACCTACCCCTCCAACTTGGAGATTTCAGGGACACCTCCTGCCCCCTCGCGAGTGAAGTTTCATATCCACAACCTCATCTTTATGATCTAATTGTATATTACATTTCTGATCAGCCCATCTCTTACTGTGGCGCGGTGGATTGATGAGTATGGCCCTCTGATTACCATCCGCTTGGGAATGCAGAACATGGTAATTATCGGCCGCTACAAAGTTAGTCCTTTTATGATAAGTTAGCATCTCCAAACTCAACACGCCCTGACAGGCCGCAATGGATATAATGGAGAAGCAGGGTAGAATGCTAGCTGATCGACCTCGCTTCGTTGCTGCTGGAGAAATTCTTTCACGTGGACTGAGCCTCGGTTTCTGCCGTGCTGGGGACAGGCTGCGTCGGCTGCGTAGGTTCGTCGTCGCGATACTGTAAAGGCTAAAACAGCTCTCATCTTACTTCTCGATGCGATGCAGAGTACTCCATACGCATCTCCAGCCCAAATCAGCCGAGACTTATCAACCTCTGCAGATGTCGCAAGCGAGAACCCTAATCCTCAATATTCTTGACGATCCAAGCAACTTTCAGAACCATGCGACCACGTAAGCGGTTTTCAACCTGTGGCGCCGGGGTCTCGTAGTATGTTACTCACGGGCTCTTGGAAGTTATGCGGCAGCGACGATCCTGAAAGTTGCATATGGGAAGACCTCGCCGACATCGGCAACTGACCCCGAAGTTCAGGAGGCTCGCTACATCATGTCCCGATTTCGTGCAGTCCTGCGTCCTGGTGCTTACTGGGCAGACTCGATACCGTGGCTCAAATACCTTCCTTGGTATGCGCCAGAATTAAAAGACGACTTTAAGAGGACCACGCGACTCTACACAGACCAGCTGAATCGTGTGAAACTGCACATGGTAGGCATTGCCTTGCCTATTTTTATGTGATGTTTGAGTTGTTCCACAGCAAAGGAATGAGGATATTGGACCTTCGTTTTCAAAATACCTTTTGGAAAATGGGTATCTCTACGACTTGACAGAGATGGAGATGGTGTATCTTTCTGGCTCCTTTTTTGGAGCTGGAACCGAAACAGTAAGTCGTCTTTCTGTTTTTTTTTTACGATTGTATACATTGAGGTGGGGTGACAGACTGCTACAGCGATATGCACGGTGCTAATGGCAGCGGCACATTTCCCTGAAGAGCAAGCTAAAGTGCAGGCCGAGCTTGATGCAGTCATCGGAAGAGAGCGAGGTAGCTTGATTGTGCACTGTAGTTCTGTCCAATGATTCATTTTTCGCCAAAGCACCAACTTTCGCCGATAGACCATTCCTTCCTCGTCTGGAGGCCTTTATATCTGAGGCTTTGAGATGGAGACCGTTGGTTCCTTTTGGTGAGTTTCTCGATGGTTACTCCTGTGCGGACGTTCACATCGTTCATCCCACAGGATTCCGTCACCGCACTACTGAAGACGTCATTTGGGCAAGTGTTTTTGAACGATTTGTTGTGACAGGATAATCTTACCTCTGTTGGCAGGAAAACTATTGCATTCCCGCTGGGACTACGGTAATCGGTAACCACTGGTAAGTCTATGTCCTTCAAGGTATCACATATCAAATTGTCACCGCCTCAGGGCCATCTCTCGAGATCCAGAAGTCTATCCCGAGCCTGATGCGTTCAAGCCCCAGCGCTGGATTGACGATCAAGGTCGGTTGAGAGATGATCTCGCATTCTTTGTATATGGGTTTGGTCGGCGGTAAGCACTGTCTTGTGGGATGCACTTTCTCTAATCGTCCTTCCTTCCAGGGCATGCCCAGGTCAACACGTTGCGAACAGGTCATGATTCTCTCCACCTACATAATTTCCTGAATCTGATCTGAAATGTTACAGATCGGTGTTCATAAATTCGCTTCTTATTCTTCGGGCCTTTCAGCTGAGTCTGGATCCTACGAAGCCACAGGATGACATGGGGTTCTCGAACACGTTTATGCCAAACGTCCCATGCGCTATTGAATTTCAGGCGAGGGTTCCGGAAGTGGAGCTTAGGCGTATGATGCAGAATTAATCTGAGGCTGAGTGAGAAGCCTTGACGTCTGGGTAGGATTTCACTTTATTAGAAAAGGCTATAGAAACAGTATCAGCGTCTGGAGAAGAATTGCTGAGGTATGGACACGCACAGGCTATACTGATAATGATACATTACTTACCTAGCAATTGTAGTTTAATTTATCGATGTAATACATGAATTAGTGTGATGAAGAGCACTGGTACAAGCTGCAATGGTGATGTATTGATCCAGTTTATTTGGCTCCTGGTCAGCTGCCTATATTTGCGACTACATCATTTTTATCTCACTGTCTGTGCATCATTAGGCCTATATTTGGATTCTTAGCAATTCTTATATGATATATATCAGTGCACTGCTACAAGCAGCAAGGCATCAGGAAATCACTGAGTTCCTTGTTTTCCTTTTTGTACCTTAGATTACTTAAAAAATGTAATTGAGGCAGCTAAGTATGTCTAAGGTGTTACGCTGACCGTTGGTCGGCGTGTGCGAACTAGGATAGGTCTTCTCAGCGACGACTCGAGTGAGTCTACTGAAGCTGAGGGTGGTTCTCGGCTTGACGGAATGTCAAGGGTTCCTCCAGTGATCTCGGTAAGACGGCGCTCGTCGAGATACAGGGCTAGTGGATCCGACTAAGAAGCGGGGAGCGACTTAGAAGTGCGGTCTTAGACAGCTAAGCTGGGAGGCTTTAGTTGAACAAGTTCTGGGATGAACCTAGTAGATTAAAGTAAAGTCTAAGTACAATAATCTGTCTACTTATATGTGCTACATATATGTATTCTAGCTCAGTCTGTAATCTATAGTATATCTAGGATCTATGATAACAAGACATGAGGTCAGATAAGGTACATGAGGCTTAACCTCTGATCAAGCATGCAGCGCCAAGTGTGACTGCGCATAAGTACCGTGAGGCGCCAAGGGCGCTCCGGATCTTCATGAAGCGACATGTGGTATACATGCACTGATCTAGGGTGACCATGAGGCATACAGCCTCCATGGATCAGGTACCAGGCCGTCTAGGCCAGGGGCAGGTCATAGCGCCAGGGGCGGCGTCACAGCGGTCCAGACCACTGTCTTTCTAAGTGCAGGCGGCGCACCGCCGTGTGGGGAGTCTAGCAGAGCGGGGGCTGGCGTAGGCAGAGCTGGGGCTCCTGTAGGTGTTACGGATGCCTGTAACATAAGGTAGTTGATTCATCAGCAAACTACCAATTTCATCACAGGTGTCACAAGGTTTTACAAGGTGCCACAAGATACCACAGGTCTTACAAACTTCACAGACACATAATCAAATACCACACCAATGATAGTGCCTACTATCCTTAACCTACTATATGTTGTTGTTAGTGATGTGCACGGCCCAGCTTCAGGCCGTGGGCCAGGCCAAGCTGGGCCTGAATAGGCCAAGCCAAGCCAGGCCAAAGTCACAGCCTGGTGACGGCTTTGGCCTGGCCTGACATTATGAAAAGCTGAAGCCACTGGCTCAGGCCATGGCTTTTGAAACTGTGCCTGAGCCTTGCGGTGCCCAAGCTCAACTGAGAATCTGGCTTCTATCTCATCTTGTTTTAGTTTTTTAATCACTTCCATTGTGCTTCACGTCTCTTAACTATACCAACTATACCCTTGTCACCAATTGGCATGTTGCTGGAAATGAAATAGCTGATCATACATATGTATTTCATCGTAGTTTTTGGTGCTTTTGATCATTGGCTTTAGGATGACACATGTCGGTTCACCTCCGGCGGACAAGATCAACCCAAACATCATTGCTCTCAATGCACTTGTTGGCATCCCACCCGATGCTTCCCTCCTCCTGCTCTCGTCCATTGTCTGTATTCATCTGAGTCATGTCAGCAGTTGCTGACGTTCACTGGGCGTTTGCGCATGGTGTTTGTGGTGTTGGGAATGGCGTGGTGAAGCTTGCCTGTGTCAATATCCCACAACCTGACTCCACCATCATCACTCCCACTGACCACCTTCTTCCCATTCAGAGACAATACTATGGTTCACACTAGTTCTTTGATGCTGAGACACACTTGAGTTTGGGTGTTGAGCTGTCTGGTGAGCTGTTGTACTTCAAGCTGCAGTTTATGAATCAGATCTTCACGATCACGAGCTGTACCCTCTCAGTCGCCAACATCTTTCCTTGTACAAGATAGTTCATCCTCTAAACGGTTGACATCACGCTTCAGCCTGTCAACTTCTAGCTGCAATGAGAACCACACAGTCATATGGGTATCCCCAAGCTCTTTGGATGGCTTCAAGGTTGCCTTGGCATTGTGAGAGTCAAGGGTGCTGCGCAGTGCAGAGTCTTTGTCTTCGAGTGCACGGCATTCGCATCAGAGCTCAGACTCGTGCGTCTTCTTGATATCGCCAAACTCGCGCTCAAGACTCTCCTGAGCTTCCTGTTTGTGTGAGCTTTTGAATTCCAAGTGAGTGATGAAACTAAATGTACATCTTTCAGTGCAGATGCGAGTGACTACATTTTTACTATTCAAGCCACGGCTCAGGCCAGGGCCAGGCCAAAGCCAGTTGTCATTGGCAGCTTTGGCCCGGCCCCATTTTTTTGCAGGCCAAAGCTGTGGCTTTTGGGCCAAGCCGGTGTAGCACTCGGATCGGCGTTGGGCTCGTATCCTGCCAAACTCTTAGGTGTCCCACACACATATTCCTCGACAGTCCATTTTCCTTCCGAAGAGTTCCGTGCGTTTGTCCGAGTCATCCAAAGGTCACTGTAGAGATACAACAATTGCTGGACACTACACGAAGTAAGTGTTTAGCAATATAAAAATGTTGTGGTCATGCACAGCCTAGTCTGCTATACTTGCAAGACAAGTGCGTTCGACCCGAGGGGTTTGCTGTATGGTTTTAGAATCATCAGTTACAACAAAAGGAAGATAGTCCGAAGCACAGGAAACAAAGTCCAAAGGTATAATTACGAGTCCGATGTCAAAAACATCGGGTCTGATGTTTTTGGGTTAGTGGGTTTGCCTCGGGTTGCATCGGGTTAGCATCGGGTTAGCATCGGGAATATGGCGAATGTCGGTGATAGCGAATGGCGGGTCACTGTCAGATGCTTCGGATAAAGAAAGGATGATATTGCGGAATCCAACTAAGAACTATGAATATCGGATGACCTCCTCCTACTCGGAGGTAGAAAGGTAAGTAAAATAGGTAGGAGGTATGCGAAATATATAGTATCTATGTAGAATTTCGGAGTGCTATAGGCGAAAGTAGTAGCGCTGATTTTCGGGTCCAATGTCCTATGTAATAAGACATGATGTACTGCAGACATGTAATAACGCGTTCTACAATGTTAGCGATGTTACGACTAGGATAAGTCTTCTCAACACTGGTCCAAATAGACCGTCGCGCGAAGCGTGTCGAGGTCTTCTTACAGGTCGACGGAATGTCGAGAGGTCTCTCTGTCTATCTCGGTAAGGGGAGGCGCCTCGTTGAGATGAAGGTCTAGTGAGAATACGGCTAAGGCGCAGGGAGTGACTTAGAAGTGCAGCGAGGTGTTCAATGAAGCAAGTGGATTAGACAAGCTAAAGACCAAGTTCTGGGGATCTACCTAGTAGATTAAAGTAAGGTCTAAGTACAATAATCTGTCTACTTATATACTGTCTGTACATAAGGGTTCAAGCTCAGTCTGTATCTAATAGTATATCTATGGATCTATGGCATCATGAGATAAGAGGACATGAGGTCAACCATGAGGATAGATAAGATACATGAGGCATAACATCTGATCAAGTGTGAGGCGCCAAGGGTGCTCCAGATCTTTATGAGGCGGCAACAATCAACATGTGCCAATCTAGGGTGACCATGAGGCGTACAGCCTCCATGGATCAGGTACATGGCCTTCTAGGCCAGGGGTGGTGTCACAGCGGTTCAGACTGCTGTCATTCTAAACGCTGGCGGCGTGCCACTGCGTTGGGAGTCTGGCAGAGTGGGGGCTCTTGTAGATGTTGCAGTTGACTGTAACAAGCGACGTGAAAATGAATAACTGTGCACCTAGTGGGGATAGATACAACAGGACAGGACATAGGGAGGACAAGTGCATGGGAAAATATTGGGTCCGATGCGCGGGAAACGTCGGGTCTGTCGGATTAGCGTTGGGTTTAGTGGATAAACATCAGATTGAGCGGGTTAGCATCAGATTGAGTGGATGAGTGTCGGATAACATTTGGGAAGTGATTCGTGTGTTTGACATGCATGGGAAACTAGCTGAATACAAGCCTAGCGCAAGCTCAAGTGCTACATCGGTCAATTTTGTGACACATTTTGTCGTCTTGGAGAACAAGTTAAGCTGCATGGTGGCTCATGAGTTTGTTGAATAGTTGAGTACTAGTAGATTGATATGGGTGTCAATTAAAGTTTGACATATGTACAGTAGTGGAGTTCTACTTTGAGTAATAATATGTTTTGATGCCAACCCGAGCGGAGGGTACGGGTTAGGGTAGGGGTAGGCCAGGCTGAGACCCCCACCCACACCCCGAGGGTACCCCCACCCACCACCCGCAGGAGCCCATTCAGTGAATTCACCCGTCTCAGATGGACAGCCCAGCTTGACAATGTACCTATAGAGATGGGCCATCCCATGTGGGCCCATGGCAACAATTGTACCATGATATATGAATGGGCCGACTGAATGTATGTACCCGAGACAAATGGATGGGCCGGGGGTATATAATATAGACAGTAGTATAGGAATGTGCTAATATATAAGAAATTATGAATAGTGAATCCGGTTTACAATGGAGACGGGTGGGCCAGATGAATGTGTGTACCCAAGGCAAACAGATGGGCTGGGTATATGAGTGGGCCTAGTGAATGTGCGTACCCGAGGCAAACAGATGGGCCGGGGGTATATAATATAGACAATAGTATAGGAATGTACTAGGATATAGGATATTATCAATAGTGAATCCAGTTTACAATGGAGACGGGTGGGCCGGACAAATGTGTGTACCCAAGGCAAACAGATGGGCCAGGTATATGAGTTGGCCTAGTGAACGGATGGGCCGAGGGAATATGTGCTAGTATATAGGACATCGTGAATTGTGAATCCGGTTCACAATGGATACCAGTGGGTCTGGTTCATCTAGCATCAGGTAAATAAATGATCCGGTAGGTATATTATCCAGTACACCGATAATCCATCTCAAGCCTATCGTCCGGTATATCTTGGATACACGAACTGGTCAATCTAGTACACCATCTGGTACAATCTACCATGGTATGAGACTGGCCTTACAAGTGTTCACAAACAGGTTATGCAAGTCAACTTTATAATTATGTAACAAACTGTCCTGTAAACATTGAAAGCACAACACGACGTTCACCGGTATAAACCATAAGTAAAAATGAAAAAAAGAATGATGTATGCTACCATTACTTGGGCCCATTACCGGAAGTGTTCTTGGCATGCCTAGCACTCACTGACCGACCTTGTTGACAGGATTGAGGTGCAAATGACCGGTTGGGCAAAGGAGCTGAGATGGACTGACCATCCGCTGGCACATTTGATGGCCCGGTGACGAACGTGCGAAGAGTGCTAGTAGAGGGCATAGATTGCATTGGGACAGTGGAAGGTGGTACCGGAAGTGCACCAACCGGATGCATGGGTGGACTGGATTCCCCTGTGGTAGGCACAGGGTTGATGGTGGAGGTAGAGGTAGAGGTGGGTGCGGGTGCCTGCTCATGCCTTGTGACCGGTGAGCCATCGCCACCAGGGCATGCATTGGTTGAAAACACATCCGGAGTAAAGACATTGTTGGTGACGGCGCGACCCAAGGCACTGATGGAGCCAAACTCAGGAAATATGGGGGTACCAGGGATGACAATGGGTGGTGGATTGAATGAGGGTGGTGTTGAGGCTGTTGCTGCAGTGGTTCTTGAGTTGTCCCTGAGGTACCGGGCAATGCTGCCCATCTGAATGGTCAAGTAATCCACCAGTCCCTTCTGGCTGTTCAATTGCTCTGTATAGTCAGCTTGCAGCCGGTCGATGCGATGAGACAGCTCATCATGAATCATGTCATCACGTGTGCGGAGCTGATCCATGTCAATCTGAATTTGGGCCAACATGGCTTGCATCTCCAAATCAGTTAAAGGACGGGGACACCGGTGAGACTGAAGAGGTATCGAAGTAGTTGGAGGGGAGGGAGGTCTTTGAGTATGAGCTGGATAGATGGGCGAGTACCGGATGTTGTCCGGTGTGTCCATGAATGGCGCTGGAGGTAAGATGCTGTCATCCATGGGTTCGATCCACCGGTCCACAGAAAAATCGTCCGCAGATACCGCAGGTACTTCATCTGGGGCAGTACCGGGAAGACCGGTGGTTGTGACTCCAGCGTCCATCTCAACATCAACATCCGGTTCCTCCGGGATGGGACTAGGACACTGAGCATTAATGTCTGGAAGAATCAATTAGTAGAAACACGAGCTGAAATAAGAGACTTGCCTTTTCGTTTAGACTGCTTACTGGTCTTGCTCTTTGCAGTGGTCTTTGATCGAGTGGCGATGGGTGTGACAGGCGGGGTAGGCATGGTGGTTGTACTGGTACCGGTTGCAGGCGTGTCTGGTTGCATCGGCCGGATGCATTTCATCCTCCATTTATTGCAAAGGGTGCAAGTATGGGCAACCTCACCCCTCTTGGTCACCCAGCTCTCACATTCCAAGTGCATCGTCGTGCATCTCTCACATGGCGGTAGAGGCGCACCAATGGGTTTCTATGAAGAATCAGTATGGTACTACTGGATGACAAGTACCGGATGTCTTACCGGATGTGGATGCTTGGCCTTGCCCTTCACCTTGGGCTGGTCAGCTCCTGCGCCATATTTACCAGACTTGGACTATAATACAGGGTGATATGAGCTGTACTAACCACCTGTGATGATATTGAAACATACCGGTTCTTCTCCTTTGGCCGGCTTGACATTTGGCTACATCTGGATAAGTCACCAACCAGTAGAGATACATCATATTTACCTTTTGCTTGGATTGGGAGTCATCAGTGGGCTCCATTCGATCTTCGTCATCATCCTCCAGTTCGTATTCCGAATCAGTCGCATCCGCTGTTGCAGGTGGCATCGGCCGTGTACTGATGACCATGACCAGTAATTTCTGTGAACATAAATATTGGCTGCTTTGAGATTGAAAAAATGAGCATACCTTTTTCATCATGTTGCATGTTGAATTCCAGGTCTGAGTACTCTGATCAGTTGTATTAAATACATGAATGGAACAACTTACATTAACTTCCGGATCATGATCAACATCGATGGTCATTTGCTCAATGTCACTATCCGGTGATGGTGACCTTGCCTTTGCCTTTGCCTTTGCCTTTCACCTTACCATTCCCAATGCGGATCCCATCAGTGTCAGTATTGGTGTCGGTCAAGATCACCTTCGACTTCCGGGCAGCCTTCCGGGCCTTCTTGACTGGACAGGGGGGGGCTGGCACTAAATTGCCGTTTGCGAGGTTTGGATGGGCCCGGAATTGCACCGGAGTTGCTACCTCCAGGGATGCCGATTGTTGTATTGGGAGCCGGTAAAATAGCGATTGAAGGAGGCAACAGGGAAGGTGGTGCAGGTGCTGGTACAGGTGCCGGTTGAGGTGCAGATCCAGTGGCTCCAGCAGTAGGGGTGGTAACATTGGGTGCTGGACCCAATGTCTTGGGGTATAAGGGATGACCCCAGCAGATGTCCTCATTGCTCCCAACTAGATTCCAATCCAGTACTTGCACCAAGCGCACGGTACCCCTCTGAGCCCGATGGATTTCAGCTGCCATTGACAGCAGGCGAAGGGGGATGTAGGTAGCCACTGTCTGGTAAGAATGGATTGCATCGTTCTTGGAGGGTATCAATACATACAATACATAAAAGAATGTGAAACATACCAATTGTTACAGTAACATGGCATGAGTCCCCTGCCAGCAGACAGCCCTCTGCCACCGCACGGCTATAGACAATACCGGAGTCTCACCAGCTCTATGACGATAGATGATGACAGATGACAATAGATGATGATAGACGATAAGCGGCAACTGCCGGCTTAGATAAGCGGTCTGGACCGCACGTGACGACACATGACGACATAGGTCTAGAAGACCTATTTATGTTATCAAGATAGAAGGCAAGCCTCGTGCTGCCTCATGTACTGATAGAAGGATGCCTCATGGATCCTATCTACGATAGAAGCCCGCCTCATGGACGCTATCTCTGACTCATGTAGATAAGCAGATTAGAACCCAGCTTTAGGCTGAGCTTAGATACGAAGAGTAGCCTTATATAAGGTCGAAGATTAACAGTAGACGTTCCTTACTTTAATCTCACTAGGTTTACCCTTGAACTCCTTGTCCCGCTAAAGCTACCTGCTCGACATCGACTCGTACCTTCAGTGATGCCTCTCACTGTCTGTAAACCGCTATCATCTCAGCGTAACCCCTCATTAACCACCACGAGCTACGTTCGAGTACGCAACCTTTGCTTGTCTGTAAAGGCCGACGACTCTCAGCACTCGGTACCACTGTCGTGGTTGTCGCTGTTTAGATCATCCTAGTCGCATACGACTGTGTGTCGTAACACCAATTGAGACGCAATGGTCTGGCTCAATCCCATTTTCTCCTCTTCTGACTGGGACCGCAGGACCTGTTCAACCAGCTGATTCAGCCTATCAAGAAGAGCAATCAGCGCCTGGTTGGCAGTGGCAGCAGCAGCAGTTGTGGTAGTGGCATTGGAAGGCATTGTAGCAGTAAGATGATTGTGGTGGCAGGTTAGCTTGAAGAAGAGATCTGGAAGGGAACAATGGATACTTGGGCAATTTGAAAATTACCGAATGTCCGGGTGATTTTGGAGATTGCCGAATACACGGTTCAAGAACCGGTTCTCTATTGGGAATAGTTTTTATTGTGATCGTGTGAATGCAATTGTTGCCATGTCATCATTACCTAATCAGCATTATTAAAACTAACATTATCCGGCTGTGGTTGATTGAGACATTGGAGCCGAGGCGTGAGCAGCGCACTTCAACATGACTTCCAACCGGACGCCAGATCAACCGGGGCCAGAAGTGTTGGATATGGGGTTCCCCCACCTGTGTAATACTGACTGGTCATCACCTGTGGCACCCATATCAGTGTGTGTGAGGAATGATAGCTAGATGAGAAGGGGTGAAAGGGTGAAGTGGGGTAAAAATTCAAATAGACCTCTGGATGTGAGTATAGATTTGGCCCAAGGGGATTGCTACTGAAAACAATTCCTCTAAGTAAAAATATGGAGGGGAAACTTTGAACTGGTAAGAGTAACTGAAAATGGAAGAGCGCGCGACGTTGCGCTTGGAGCGATGCAAGCGAGCCGCCGAAGGTGTGATACGATGTGCAACCGAACAGCCGAAAGTTTGACGGAGTGCGGAGATGTGGAGAAAAGCAGACAGTTTATATGAACGCGTGACTAGTGGATATGTGAAGGGGATGTGACACGACGATAGTGAGGGAGGAAAGCTCTGACTATAGATGTGATGAGCGATGTGTGAATGATAGCGCGATGTAGTCGGCCAAAGGTTTCTGACTTTAGAGTCTGAGTGATGCATGCAAATGGATGATAATTTCGATAATGGGAAAAGAAGATACATGAAAAATCCCAAGTCTAAGGTATATATGATAGCGCGCGTAGCACTGTTCGGAACCGAGAAGATAACAGTAATACGTATTGAGGGTCTATAACGCAAGTAACGAGACATACGCAATATCACCTTCGGAAATATAATCAGTCTAACGCAAATGAGATAAAATACGCACCAATGGACCAGTGGAGGACATGGATAGGACGGAGGAAGGACACACGATGGAACCAACAAAAAGCGGATGCAAACCGAAGCGCACGCGTGAGCCGCGGCCGTCGGCCGACAATAGGAAGGATGCGCGCTGTGGTAGTGATAGCGCGCGCTGCGCTAGGACCTGAGGGACACTGCAAAAATAGCCTCTACAAGGCTACAAGGACTACAAGTCCTACATCAGAGTTGGATATGGGATTTCCACCTAGCTGTGAATTCAATTTCCACCATTCGCCTGACCTGGCGAACAGCTCTTCAAACTTCCTGGCAGTGGATCATCCAGCCAGTAACTCAGGTATGTCTCGACTAAATATGTAATATATTGCATAACTCATCTTTGCAATTCAGTCAATGTAATTCCACCAAAAGACAGTCCTTTCGACATGGGTTTCGACGCACTTCTGGTTCAACATGAGCATCCGGACCAGATGCCTTTGGATATGGGCTTTGGCATCAATCCGGTTGATTATGTACCCGATCGGTCAGGTCAGTCTTATCATTGTGATGGTGTCCACTCTTAAATATGAATTTAGTCGATATTGAACTGGAAGACAGGCCTTTGGACATGGGCTTTGGTATCCATCCGGTTCATAATTTTCCGGATCAGTCATATAAGTCACTTCATTATTTGGTCGCACTGTTAAATGTAAATTCAGTGGATATTGGACCTGACAATATGCATTTGGACATGGGATTTGAGACACCGGATCTGGTATATCTTTTGCCGGATCAGTCCTGTAGGTCATTCCATGCAATATCACATTGTTAATTACTAAAATTCAGTCAGTGGGTCAACCGGAACCCATCGGATTTGTCATTGAGCGCGCTGTAGGAGATTTGCGCTTGGCGACACACTGGTTGGAGATGCAAAGGGCCCATGGCACAATGTCACCGGAAGAAGTGTCTGTCAGCCGGGAAGTTCTTCAGTCCACCAATGAGTTGTTGTTGGCATTTCAACTGATATCAATATACCGACTGTCGACATGATATATATGTAAGGTCCATACTCTCCACCCTTTGTATAGTACATTCAATGAATCACAATGATTACACCCTTTGCATGTAATTCACTTTATAAGACACCTTTGCAGTTCTAGTAGACCGCTTCGGCTCCGTATTGTCAACTTGAGCTCCATGTCTTTTGGTTTTCTTGTCAGTGGCCTGTGTGGTGGACGGAGCGGTTAGTTTGGGTGCAGGTATCTTCTGACTCATCTCCTTCAACCAGACAGCTGATGCAGGACCGACTAAGTGACTTCTGCAGGTATTGTTTGAAGGTAGTCGTGCTGTAGGATGGTTACTGGATGATTCTACTAAAGGAGTGCCAGTGTTGTCCCCCAGTGGTCTGTTGCTCCTAGTTGCATTTGTTTTAGATCTCTTGACCGGTGGGCAGGAATCTTCCTCTGATTGAGATCGGACAGCTCTGCCCCGCTTTCCGGTCGATTTCAGCTTGGATGCCAGTGATTGGACTTCATCATCTTCATCCTTATCCTCATCCTCACTACTCGACTCCTGTTCCACCTGTCCAGTTGGCTTCCCAGATGACTTTCCGGTTGACTTGGCAGAAGGTTGTTTAACAGGAACAGATCGGACAGCTCTTCCCTGCTTTCCGGTTGATTTCAGCTTGGAAGGCGGTGATTGGACTTCATCGTCTTCATCCTTATCCTCATCCTCATCACTCGACTCCTGTTCCACCCTTCCGGTTGGCTTCCCGAATGACTTTCCGGTTGGCTTCTTAACCGGGACTCTGGTCCTTGCTGTCACTAGACTACATATAGTGCTAGAGTCGTACCCTGTGATCTTGTCCATTGGTTCTCTCATCTCCTTGTCATGGTCTTGCCAGCCTTTGAATTCAAATGTTGGCTGAACCTTGTCCTTTTGTCGCTGATGCCAGAACTCTAAGAGCTGGTCGGCTTCATGGAACAGAAGCTTCGACGGGTCCTTGATTTTCCCGCCGGTAGGTAAAAATTTGGCCTCGATAAAATCTTCCTGAGCCTCCATCACTGCAGACCAAGGAACAGACGCCTTTGGCTTTTGACTGCAAAACCCTGCAAAATATGTAGTTGCTTTATCAACTCTCCGGATATTTGATTTGTAACACTTACTGTAGTGTTTTGTGAGGAATGTCCGGATAAGAAGCTTTTTGTCCTCTAGGTTAAGTGGCTTAATATCCAGTATGACCGGAAGCCCATAGGTATCCACCTCCAAAGCAAATTCCTCCTTCTTTCTCCTTTGGTTTCTGCTTGCCTTTCCCTCCCCGTCCTCATTGCCATCCTCATCATCATTCCGGTCAACTGCTGGTATTACGACATGGTGTAAGTACTTGACCGGATCAATCAACATTACACAAAAAAGAACCTCACCGAACTCTTCTCCAACATAGGCATTCCACTCCGGTAACATGGCCTTCCAGTCTTTTGTATCTGTGAAACTACTGCCCTCCAACTTTTCATTGAAGTCAATTCTTATGACCGGATCAGGCCATCTTTACCGGTTGAGAGAATGAAAATGTCACTCATCCATTGATCCTCACTTCGCCTTCCTCAGTTTTCTATGCTGACAATATGAATATCCTCATACCAGCCTGCCTCCATAACTGAGTTGCAAGATCCTTCATCATACCAAGAGCTTTCTTCTGAGCGAACTCAACTTGGACATCTGTAGGAGGAGCCTTGCTAGACCATTCTATCGCCGTCTTATTTGCTTCCTCCAGCTGCTCTTCAGATAAACCGCCCATAATTGCATTGACCGCACCCTGGTAGTTTTTAATCATTTCCTTCCCTCCTGGCCTTGCTCCAGTCTTTTCAAGGATCTTCTTCTTGCACTGGTGTTCTATCACCAACCGGGCAGTCCATTTCTTACCGAACTTGCTTTGTTTTTTGACGGTCTTTTCAGCTCTCCAGTTATATAACCAGTCCCGGTACATCTTAATACATCATGAGCATTTATACAATTAGAGGATCAGCTGCTCACAGATTTCCTTTTCTTCAAAAGCCGGGCATCCATCTTAGGGGCTTGCATCTTGGCCTCTTTTATGACCGCCCTCAGAATCGTTTTCCTATCCTTACCGGTTGCTTCCTTCCATTCTTCTAGGTGAGATTGTAAGACCACCAGCTCTTCCTCAGTCAATTTCTGCTTGGTCTTTTCAGGGCTGTGTACTGATGAGTTGGATTGGGCCATTGCAAAGCAGTTGAGGTCTTGGTAGAAGAAAAGATACAGTATAAGGTCACATAGCCGATTGCCACCATGTATCCGACAGTAAACTGAACAAGAGATTGTCTGCCGGCATGATACTCTCAGGCTCAACATGCCCTGTGTTTCCGGTTCATAGAATTTAGAACTGTGAAACATACAAACATACACCAAGTTCATCATATAGTATACAGGCAGCATACAGTCATACTCTCAAATATGTCATACAGTACAGGGAGACACATTGATACCAGATGACATCCATGGGAATTGTGATGATGGCAGGATTACCATGTGTTTGATTAACCAACTTCTAAATGATGAAACTTATGGCAATCTCAGTTGCTCTGACCTTAATATATCCTAAATGGAGATGAAGTTCCGAGATTTCTGATGCCCTGAGTTACCTCAATGACAAACAGGAACAGAAAATGTGGTAATCTGGTGATTCAAATCACTCAATCCAGAGTTGAAGGAAAGCACAATGTGAAGTCATATGCACTGCCGATCATCAAGCTTGAGTACACTCCCCAGCCCAACAATCCTTTTAGGTGGTGGTATCAATCATGGCAAATACTAAACAAAAGGGAATCACATACACTCCTCTGATGAGGAAACAATTGCCTCAGCTATATAAACTCCAGGAGAAAACTACTTCCAGAGAATCTAGGTCATCTTGGGTGAAAGATTCATGGTCCCTGAAAACAAAGTCGGTGACATCATCACCAACAAAATCTCCCTCAAAACAAATAGCCGGGTTCTCTCAGATGCTCCATGAGGGCGCTGACTTTGACTTTGACCAAGGAGACATCTCTCAGCCTAAATTACCAAAATCTCTGGCAAGCAGAAGTCCTTCTTATTTCTGCAGTCTGCATCTGACCGGATCACACAGAGTCAGAATGAATATCTCCGGCAATGGAACCACAAGTTCAAGGACTACATAAACCTACTGATGGTCAGAGAAGCCCCTCCTCTGGACTGGCTTTGTGCAGTTTGCAAGAAGGATGGGGTTTATAAATGTTACGGCTGTTTCAATGAGCCCCTGTTTTGCACAGACTGCTGCAGAACCCAGCATCAAAGGCATCCATTCCATCACATCAGTCAATGGACCAGATCATTTTTTCAAGAAACTTCACTCATTAAAGTCGGCCTGCACATTCACCTTGCTCATGACGGCACTCCATGTCCCAGCAGCACTGAATACACATCCGACCTCTTTGATTGGTCAGATACTGATGAAAATATAGACTATGATGATTATCCGAAGGGAGCTTCCATTCCACTTGTCGCAGACTCAGATCATCCGGCTACAACCATAGTAGACAAATCCCGTGTTTACTCCCTATCCATATGATATTGCCACTGCCCCGGTGCTCTCAACCGGGATATGCAGCTCTTTGAAGCAGGCTTGTTTCCAGCATCTTTCACCAGACCAAAAACTGCATTCACATTCTCTGTCTTGGATGATTTTCTGCTAGACAACCTTGAATGTGGTACATCAGCCATGAATTACTACAGTAAGATCCGGAGGCTAACCTCAAGCATATTTCCATTGATGGTTCCGGTAAGTCAATTTTCATTTTCTGTACTGACCATCCGGTCATTAAACAACAATATTTGCAGGATCGCTACAGAGAGCTCATGAGAACTGCCAGACAGTGGCGCCAATGCAAGCTTTACAAGTGGCATGGGTTTGCCCACAAAGATGATGAGCCAAAGGCCGGTGATCTCGCCCTATTCTGTCCTGCATGTCCTCAACCAGGGATAAATTTGGACCTGTCAACCGGTACAGCCACTCAGCCTGACAACACCCCTTCCTGGCTCTTCACCAGGACTTTAGTCATGGATGGTAATTTTAAAGCCAAGCACCTCCATCCGGTGAATCCATCCGATGAAGTATCATTGATGGATGGTCTTGCATTCATGGTTGGAGATGAAAGATACAAGAGTCATTTGTCTGTTGCCCAAGACTGTGTCCAAAAGTCAGATTGCAACAATCACCACACAGTCAATCAAGCAAATGCCTCCCGGCAAAAGCTGGAGGCCACCGGGATAGGAGGATGTGCATGTGCACGGCATGGATGTTTTGTCCCACATTCCATGGTGGATTTTCAGAAAGGTGAAAGGTGAATACACATTGCATCCGGTTACATGCATTTCCGGTCTTACTGATCTCACCCACAATAATCAGGCAGATGAACATGGACTATGCCTTGAGTCAAGTACTCAACTACAATACAGATGGAATCTCATGTGTGATAATGTTCTATGACATAAATTGTCAGTATAATAAGTCTCTCAAGGACCGGATCACATCCAGCATGTATCTTTCGATCCCCATGGGCATGAATATCATTCCCGGAATAGGTTTGTAGCATGTACATGGGCATCAGGACAGCTGCTACGTCTGGTATGCATCAAATTTTATCCATGGGACCGGCAGGATAGACAGAGAGATCATGGAAACACTCTGGGCATCCTTGAACATAATCTCTCCATCGGCCAGGGGCATGGGAACTCCGCATCGCAAGGAGGTATTGGATTATCAGATGAATGATTCCAACTTCATGAAAATGATTCGCATAAGTGAGTTGGCAACCTCTGGATGCACAAATATGTTCTGGTCTCATATGATTCATTGCTGGCTCACTTGCCCTGCAGCTAAGTTTCTGTGCAGAAAGTTCAAGGAGGCTGCCAGGGGTGCTGAAGAGAGCAAACTCTCATTCCAAAATCTTAATGAGACAGCTCACCCCAACATGGTCCTTCTTTGGGAAGTAGAGGAGGCACTTGCTCAGGCGAACAGACTGGAGGATCCAACAGCCATGGACATTTATGAGGTCCAGTTGGAAAAGGGCAAGTGTCAAATTCTACTAATATTCATCCAGGCCGGATCACATTCTGATTATTATCCGGATGTCATTTATCTACAGCTCCAACTAGAAAGCAGCAGGAGTTGCGCCTGCTGGAGGCTCAAAACTGTCCTGATCATTTGGTCACCAATTCCCTCAGTCGAAGAGGAGCCGCCACTTGGCTAGCAACTGGTCTCACCATAGAAGAATCCCAAATCTCTCCATCCAGAGATGTGAAAAGGCTCAGAAGGCATCCTACAGATATTCAATTGCTGAGAGTAGCCCGACTCAGGGATAAGCTACAAACTCGTATTACAAGCTTTCTCGAGATGGCACCCACTTATCTTGGATTTGGAGTTGATGTCGATGAACCGGATCCTCCGGTAGATAGGGTTCATAATTTGCTCGACGATTATTCCAATCTTGATGATTGTGATCACAATCCGGATCTGGACACAAATCATACCTCCCTATTTCAACCAGAGCTTACGATCATACCTTTGCCTTCCAACCTTGGAATGGACAAATGCAATGCATTGGATGTCACCGATCTCATGAAAGAAGAAACCGCCCTCCGTGAAGGCCAGGCCAATGACGCCCTTCATGCAATTAGAGTTCATTTGGGAGATAAAGCGGTTATATTCCGGAATACTGTCCGATCAGCTAAGTCACAGGCCTCCTCCACCAGGGCATGGACTCAAGTTCGCTCGGTGGAAGCAGCAGTAAATCTCAATGCCAGGATATATTCAAAATGCCAGTTGCAGCTAGCCAAAATTCCTGATCATGACCTCCTGAAGAAATATCTTCCGCTAAAGAAAGAACACCTGAAAGCCAGCGCTGCAGTGGCAAATCCAAATGCGCGTGGTCAGAGGGACACTACTCTTGCATGGTTCTGGTCCATTGATGTTCAGGGTGATACATCCGGAAATGACTGGATGACAGAATGTGAGTGTCCACCACATCCGGTGATATTGGGTCGTCCGGTCTCACATGCTCCGACAATAGTTTATCGGGTAAATTGGCTCCAGACAAAGGCACTGTGCGATCGTTGGAATGAAGAGGTTGTTCTTGTTAAACAAGAGATGCAGTGGTCGGTCAATTTCTTCAACCACAAGGCCAAGCAATGGCGCGGTCGCAGGGACAATGCCGCTTCCACCGGGAGGACCGGACATGCATGTTATGCTGCCCGACAATGTCACATATATGAAGAACTAGCGGCACATGCAGTGGATTCCTTTCAGAAAATTATTCCAGTCATTCAGCCAGAAGTACCGGTTGTCATTCAGCCGGAAGTACCAGTTATCGGTTAGTTCAAAGTACCAGTTGGATAGTTCCCAGGTTAGCTAATATGTAATTATGTGAAACGTGTGCAAACAATCCCACTTTCCCATTCTCTGACAACAACATCATCCTCATTTGCTCTCCATGAACAACACCGGAACTCTGGTTGCCTCTGACCAAGTCATTGTGGTCTACTCGGAGGGTCAGATCACCGCTGGAGAGATTTCTCATGCTTTATTCTATGCCAATTCTTGCTTGTTGGCCATGCGCCTGTATGTTGGCAAGAGCTTTGCCACTGCGATGCCGGGATATGCAGAAAAATTCTACAGACTCATGAAATGGGAAATAGAGGTAAGCATCTGGTTCTCCAGTTCTCCGGTAGTCCGGTAGTCCGGTCATCCTCATCTTCCCTTGCACTCAAATATCGGCACCCATCATATAGACCTTTGTCACTCCTTTCATCAACATATCCTTTCTCAGCAAGTGCTCCACTGTCATTCCAAAACCTCTTCAAGATGTGATAGCAATCATGGTGGTACAGACATTGGTGGACCAGCAACCAGATGTGAATGAGGTTCTCAGTGACATCAAAGCATTGGCTCTCTCTGTGGATTCTGTCACATCTGATCAATATGACATTGCTCATATGCCAGACTACTTAATGCCTGGTGGAAGGAAAACCTGGGCTCTTGCAGGGTGTCAGACATGTTGCCAAAGTCATCCGTCCAAGATGTGATGGAGTTGGTGAAGGGTTATTTTTCAGAACTTGTGAGTCCATGAGATCTTCACCTCCTAAACCGTATCCTCACTAAATCTGACATCTAACACCATAATAGCCTGATCATGTGGAAACCGGCCTCCTTCCATATATGCTCACGGTTGGCCCAGTTGTTCACCCAGAGATGATCGGATCGGCATCTCTTGAGCAGTGCCGGCAGACAACAATTGGTAGAGAGCTGTTGGACATATTGCACGGAAGGATGACAAACTTTTTACATTCAAGTGATAGGTTGGCCGGATTAGTTGGGCCTGTTGATGAACTTACTAGGGCTGTGGCGTCCTCACAATCACTCATGGACCGGTTGAATTCAGGTGACAGTGCATCCGTACGGTCAAGCACAATTTGACGTCCGGAAGCATCCAGTAAATATGTCATATCATGTATTATATTCAACTGCAATGTAAATGTGTGGAGATTTCCAAAGATGAAATCTGATCGTGTGCATCTGATGCTGATTCCAACTCTGTTACACACTCAAATAGATCTGTTAGGCGGAGCCCTAAGAGGGGCGTCGTCCGCTAACGTTCGTGACGTAACCGGAAGGATCCGGTATAGCAAGTGATACTGGCGACGACTAGTCGGCAGTGATCACAGTACGCGCATGTCACGTGACTTGGTAGACGGATGTCTAAGAAGTCACTCAAGGTAAGGACAGTCTTGTCCGTACGATGAGGTCGATCGAGGTAGACTTAGTCGCGATGAGCGACTAAGAAAAGATACTAGAGACTGAAGCTGAGGGGGCTTCAGAGGGAAGTATGTTCCAGGGAAGATTGAGTAGATTCAAGTTAGAGAATCTAGTACAGGGTGACCGACTACTTATACTAAGTGGAGAGGGTTAAGGGCAAGGCTACCGCACAGTAGGTAAGGGTAAAGGGGATGCGAATATGGTATAGGTGCGTTGGCAACATAGCCGGATTAGTGATGGATGGTCGAATGTGGAATGAGACCGAGAAACGTTGGAACGGACCAACGGTAAGAATACAACGTGCGGGAATCCGCAGTTAGGGGAGACAGAAAGAGGAAAGCCACATTGGTGGCACGAGTCAGACCGAGTCAGAGGTGCGGGACCACATTGGTGGTCGAATCAGAAGAGGAACGTGCAGTGCACGTGCATAGAGGCGGATGATGCGAGGGACGGGAACGGTCCCGAGGATCCAGTCAACGGAAAGTCGGTAGAGGAGGAAGAGCCGGTAGGTGGTGAGGGCGAGGATGAGAGGAAAATGATAGGGGGGCCACGTGACCGATGTTACTTGTAACAAACTCATCCTTATCTGGTTACGGATGGATCAAACCAGTTGTCTTTTCTTTCCTTATACATTAACCGCTCATTTATTTCCTCGACACATGACAACAATCCCACCGGACTGGGCATTATACCAGACCTACCTTGCCGGTGAACTGGTTTATGACACCTTCATGTCCAAAATTCATCAACAACCGGTTCACCCAATGGGAGTTGGACTGTTGGATATCGACACCTGTATTGCTTTGGAGCAGCTTGCCAATGTCTTGGCTGTTGCTTACCGGAATCCTGGTATGCATTCTAGCATAAATATTTGTTCCGGTTCATTAACTTGCGGACAGTTCATCTGAAAATTGACATGGTTAGATACAATGAATGCCTGGAGAAACATGAATCCGGTCGAAGCGAAAAACGAGAGCAGACTCTTTTGGACAAGTTCCCTCCTGAAGAGGAGCGTGTCTTGACAACACCTAGTGTCATCATTGATTCCGGAGGCAGAATTATCGCCTGGTATTTGCCTGAAGCAATGACCAGTATGATAATGGTATGTCTTCTATCCACATCCGTTTCTTATTTCATCTCATCCGGATGTATATGACAATTTCACAGACGGATATGCACTGTGCCACAAATTCCATGGGCAATTTGTTGAACAATAGCATCACAACCGGCAAGCCTACTGCATGGAGGACCCATGCATCCAATTTCTATCCAAGTCTGAATGGGAAGATCACCCCCAGTTGCATCAATATATCACCAGCATGGTTTCAGCAAGGAAGAGAGGTATGTCTGGTTCATATGAATTGAGGTTGCCGGTCTGAAGTATTGTAGCAACATGGTTTCCCCAATCTTGATCCGGAAGATGGCTTTTCACCTGAAGTATCAGCGTCGTTGAAAGGTGATGTTGGTAGCAATATTATGACCTCCCTTCAAAGATCTGGTATCCTTGTCTCTGCTGCACTTCAGGTGATGCACCCAGATCTTTATTGGGCCGGACTCAAAACCCAAGTCAGGCTGGGCGAATGGGCGACCTGGTATCAGTTACATGACATGTGCCATCATCTAAAATGTTGGATGTTGGTCTTCAATGTGGTATCGGTCATTTGCAACCGCCGGTCACCACCTCATAGAGATCCAAAATGTCGACCAGAGGCATTTGATATCATGACAACTGCAGGTATTTATCACCTGGTCATAATGGATTTCATGAATCTTGGAATTAAGTTCCTATATGACTCCGGGTCAATGTTGGCTTCATCATGTCGCCTTGTGAGACATCACATGCATGTGGAAGAGGGCAGCTGGATTGTTACTGCATGGTACATGCGAGATAGTATCCATAATTTTGTCAGAACTCCAAGGACAGACTATGCAAAATATGGCACTGTGAAATGCAGCCACCCGGTTGCCAAAAATGATGCTTAGACAAGTGATTATAAATGTAAACCCATACATATTTTGGATGTACCGGTCACTTTATCAGGCATCTATTCATGTGCCAGAGTCCGGTACATGAGTGGTATACACATATATGGGCTGGGAAAATGTATTTTGGTCTACCCCAATTGATATTCACTTATGGTTGATTTACCGGACGATAGGCTCGTAAGATCATAGTTGTACCGGATGCTACACCTACCGGATCACAGATTTACCTGATGCTAGATGTACTGGATGATAAGCTTGTAACCCCGGCACATCCTTTGGCTCTGGGTACACCCATTCTTCCGGCTCATTTGTCCCCAATATAAACAGGATTCACCATTGATAATGGCCTATATACTGGTACTTCCGGCCCCCTCGTCTCTATTTCAAACTGGATTCCCCATTTATAGTGTCCCATATACTAGTACATTCCTATACCATTGTCTATACTACATACCCCTGGCCCATCCGTTTGCCTTGGGTACACACATTCACTCGGCCCACTTGTCTCTATTGTAAACCGGATTCACCATTCATAATATCCTATATTCCTAGTACATTCCTATACTATTGTCTATATTATATACCCCCGGCCCATCCATTTGCCTTGGGTACGCACATTTACTAGGCCCACTCATATACCCGGCCCATCTGTTTGCCTTGGGTACACACATTCATCTGGCCCACTTGTCTCTATTGTAAACTGGATTCACCATTCATAATGTCCTATATATTAGCACATTCCTATACTACTGTCTATATTATATACCCCCAGCCCATCTGTTTGTCTCAGGTACATACATTCAGTCGGCCCACTCATATATCATGGTACAATTGTTGCCATGGGCCCACATGGGATGGCCCGTCTCTATAGGTACATTGTCGAGCCCATTCAGTAACATTTTCCGACTTAGTCGGACAGCCAAAGGTTGAGAGTCTGCCCAGTTAACCGGGCCATCCAAGGTGGGCCCATGGGCAGGTGGGAGCGGGTTGGCCCACAGTACATAAATTACCCATACTGGCGGGCGGGCTGAGGTGTGAGATCCATAGTGATGAGTGGGCCCAAAATGTGCGACTGGGTGGGCCCGGATGCTTGAGGATGAGAATCATTGGGCCCGGCGGATGTGCGAAAATTGCGACGGATGGGCTCAGCCCGCATGTATGCATACTTATGGGTGGGCCCAGCTTGTAGGCATACTTGGAAAAAAGGGCAACAGATGGGCCCAAAATGTGCGACCGGGTGGGCCTGCATGCTCAAGGATGGGCCCACCATGTATTTGGTCTCAGAAAAAGGCAAATTGGCCCAGCACATATGCAGATGGTCTCGGAAACAGAGACGGATGGGCCCAGTCCTGTTGTATTTGGACTCGGAAAAGGCGACGGATGGGCCCAGTCCCGTTTTGGACTCAGAAAAGGCTGCGGACGGGCCCAGCTCCCAATGGATTTGGGCGAAAAATGGGCACAGCCACCACACATTGGAAGCCTAGCTTCAGGTGGAATTTTGTAAAAGGCTACGGATGGGCCCAGAACATGTGTCATGAAAATGATGGCGGATGCGCTGAACATGCTTGGAAGGGACCTAGAAATAGACCCATCCACCCATGTATTTGGACTCGGAAATGGTGATGGATGGGCCCAGCACTTGTGTATTGTGGTGGATGGGCTCAATGTATATAGATCCGGTCTTGGCGAAGGAGTGTCCCGAGAATGGTGATGGATGGGTACAGCATGTATGTTGCATGCCGGAAAGGGGCTATGGATGGGCCAAGCCCTCGTGTTTGTGATGCAAAGGGCGACGGATGGGCCTGGCACATATGCAAATAGCCTCGGACGAATAAGCCATACATACGCGACGTGCAGACCCATCCATCATTATCGACCGCACACGCGTTGTCTACGCATTCCAAAACCAAACATATTACACATATTGGTATGTAATATGGGCCAGCATTATCCCTGGCGAGAGTGATGACTCCCGGCCTATTTGGCAAAGGTAACAAATTGGTCCTGCGGCTATGCATCGAGTGGGAGACAAAGCCATTGCATCTGTATGCAGCATTCCAACGAGTTCCGAGATAATATAGTCCGTCTATACACCCATACATGTAGTTTGTGCTCGGGGCACAGCGGCAGATGGCCTAAGAGCCTTACCGACCCGAGATTCTGATGATGTCCCAATGATATGTTTGCCGAGCACTTCTGACATCCTATTCCCTGATAAGCCTATCGCCCTTGCCATGTGCTATTGGGCAAGGATAGTCTCCCTGGTTCATCCGAGATGCTCAAAGGGTTTGCCTCGCCGGACCCTCCCGATATCCTGTTTGCTCGACGATGATGCTTCCTTCGTCCCGCTCACACATCCACTGGGCCATTTATTTACAATCAGCTAGAGCGCCATGAATGGAATCTCGGATGGTCCTGGACAGTGCACTTGAGACCTTCCGACATTCAATGTTTGCTGACGGGAATGCATCGAGATGTCTATATGGTCTTCTGCACAAGACTATGATCTCTGGCTAGAGTCAACATCGGTGACGATCCCCTTATCATGCGAGTGAAGCTTGGCACAAAAACACCACAGGTGAGAAGTGGATTAAGGCTTGTTGCGGTGGCAGAAGCAGGTGCAAATTTAATGTACGGATTGGCCCAGGGAATACTTATACGGAGGGGCCGAACTGACCCAGCACATACAAATTCAGTGTGCGGATTGGCCCAGCGTAGAAGTATCCGGCCCAACCGGTTGTTTTGAACCTACTACATACCAACTGAATATGCAGATCAGCCCAGTGCATGCTTATCCGGAGGGGCCCAATAGGCCCAGTAAACAAGTACCGGAAGAGCCCAGCTGGTTATTCTGGACACAGTGTGTATAAAGTTGTGCGTATCGGCCCAACTGGCCCACAGCATATTTCGGTATGCAGATAGGCCCAGTCGGTAGGTTTTAGGTCCCAACGGTTATTCTGGACCGAGTACAAATTCAGTGTGCGGATCAGGTAGGTCCAGTCCAAATATATCTAATCTTGAGTGAACTTCCGGAAGGCTCAAGCTAGATTGCATGGCGGCAGGGGTGAAGAAAGAGCCCAGTGAGTTGTTTTGGGCACAATCATTGAGCCCAAATGCATATACATGTAGGCTAGGAAATGTTGATGAATGTGCTCAGTGAGTAGCGTTTCAGGCAAACAAGCATGTATTGCATTCGGGTCTCATGAGGGCTTAGGAATTGTTGGGCTGGAACACAAACGTGCTGTTTTGGACTCTAAGTAGTCGCAACATACATCGGTAGTTCAAAATCTCGGACACAATATAATCAAGCACCAGTGGTCCTGGATGTTGATTGCGACGTGTGCCTTTACAGAGGTGACTCGGAATATGAGCTCACCCATGAATATGTCATGTTATAAACAGAAATGATCGGCACTGTATCGGTATTAAATTGATTGGTTGTCGCTTTTCACAACTGCACCGTGATGACGGGTTCCAGAAGCCAGTATTATAGCTGGAGGCTCCCTACATACAACTACATATCACTCACTTTTGGATGCACCCTTTGTGTATTTTGATAAATGATATCACATATACGCAGGTGCCGTCTGGCCAGTAGCACGGGAATTTGCATGACCAAGAGGATACAGGCTGATCGTGCGGCTCATGCTTTCGTCCACTGTGGTCCTGGATGCACTTGCTGGTAGAATAATATCATGTGAATATAATTTGCGTATGCTCAGATACCAACTTTAGTTAAAATGAAGCAGTACTATTATTTGACAAAGATGTGACAACAGTATCATATACACACGCAATATGTGTGGACTGAATGAATTGAACTCAGATAAATATGCAGCGCCAGGCTGAATATGCAATCATATAATAGTACACAGTCCTCCGGAGTATCTACAGTACATGCGGGAGTCCAGCAATAAGGTCCATCCAATTAAACTAGTGAGTATTTAAAGTTATTGTAAAAACCTCCATCTATCCTAGGGATTCCAAAGATTTGCACCAGGCATCGGATTCATTGAGCCGTTGCTCTAACTTGTCCAACCACTTGAGCAGGTTGGTCTCCACCGAACCCACTCTGACTTCCAATGCATCTACCTGCTCATTGGCGGCGAGGAGATCCAATCTCCTACCGAGGTCCTGGATGCCCTGTAAGATTTCTCTTGCAGTGGGCTCTGGTTCCAGCAGGTTGGTGGGTGCGGATTGCCCATGTTCCGGCTGCATTTGAGGCCGACCCGGAAGGACCTCCATGGGCTTTTTCTCCGCCCCTACAAAATCCAATGAGCTCAACTTGTTCTGAGGTCACAAGAACACGTACCTTCGTGAACAACAATGCTCCATTGAGAGCGAGAAGGATGCGCCGCGAGTGTTTTGGAGACAGCTCGGGACTTGGATTTCTTGGGGCCTTTGGGCGCATCAGAGGATGCTTTCGCTGCCTTACCTTGCAACCTCTGCCGGACACCAACACCGTCGATTGCACACGTGATCTTCTTGTTGTCGCAATTGGCGCAGGCAAGGCGTGTGTACCCGAATTTCTTGTCGTGGAGGACAAGGCAGGCTATGTCCAACTTGGCGCACTTGTCGCACTGCCGGGGGTGGTAACGAACAGAATGCTTCAAATTTGTTAGCCTGTGTTTATAACGATGCAGAAAAGACTTACCTGCCACGGAGTAGCGACATCAGAATCCGAGAAATCACATACCCGAGCTTCTACATCCCGGAAACCCTTGTCTGCAACTAGCGGAACATCCTTGTCAGTAGCAACAGGCGGTAATTCCTGGAGCGGTAAGCTGTTAGGTGCCTAACCAAAGATAAATGAACATACCTTTCATTTCACATAGATGACTCCGGTTGGCTCTTGTTCGACATCGGATTTGGACTTCCTCTTCTTGTTGGCCACCACAACGGCCCCATCAGCATCTTGATCTTCTGCCTTCCTTTTATTGCTGCCGCCGGCCTCCAAAAACTGTTTCTTCTCAGCCTCGGACATATACAGGTGGAGAAACCTTGCGGGTGGACCTGTTGAAAAGCGTGCGAGAACGGGTGGGTTCTTGCACGATCGCAACTGCAAAGATCGTTTTGGTTCCACTGCTGGCTTGGTGACGAGACCCGGGACCGTGTGGGATGGCATGGATGGTGGAGTCGAGGCTGCTGATGGCGGAACAATGAGGGCCGGCGTTGTCGGGGCGGTAGCAGGAATATCAGTCGATGTCGCGATGGCGGGAATGCTGAGCGTGGAGGGGGGGCAATAGTGCACGGTCTTCTCAAATCGTGGGTGGCTCTGTATCCGTGGGTCGTCATTGGTGATGGAGGTCCAGTCGGGGACATTTTCAAAGGCGCCGGCCTTCGAGTGCTGTCTCACAACAGTGGCAAATGAGAGTAGTTGTGGGGAGAATGATGTAGCATCCCCACTGTATAGTTTCAAGTCTTTTGCCTGTGTCGAATGTCTTAGTTTAACAAGGAGAATTTCAAATCAAAGTAACAAACACTCACCACACGCCTGGCAATCTCGTCCGACAGCCTTAAGGCCTCGGGATCACCCTCCTTCACCTTGATGCACCACTTCATGAGCGATTGTACGACAGCGAGTGTGTCATTCAATGCGTCATTTGCTACTTCCGGAGGTATGGCCATGATTTCTGGTTCAAAAGAAAATACGGTAGTGAACAGGGTGGATACGGCAGTTATGAGAAGTTAACTTTAGAAAATTTTGGATTGGAATCAATCCAGTTGCAAGTAATGCTGGGGACTTGTGGCTTGTGAATGGGAAAATGTGGATCGGTAGTTATGGTATTGTACACAGGAGTGGTCCTACTATTGTCCTATGCATTTGAATGTAATAATCCATCCACAACGTCCGGATAAACCGATACCACATGTTTGAGCGAGCCAGACTGTGTGCCGCCCTGCATCCACCCATCTTGGTCAGGTTGCAATTGAATTCTTATGCTTATTTTCCCGAAGATTTCCACATGTGAGGCTTCTGAAACCCGATGCTCGGATCCACAGACCAGAACCTATTTGTTGTCAAAACCGTATTATTTATTCGCCGCCCAGTTTATACTATTTTCTCACTGCATTGCAATGATTCTAGTAGCAGTCATGGATGTGTTTGACAAATGCAGCCGAATAAGACGTGTATTTTGATAGCCTATGTAACTAATAACAATTTATTGGCTCCTGATATGATTTATGTGTGAAATGAGCTAGCTGAACTGGCAATTGTAGCGGAAGGTCAGTTCTTCAAACGGAATTGTTCAGTTCCATAGGGCTCTAGCTTTGTGTTGATCAGTCATACCGGAGACAACGATCATGACATGTCACAGAATGGACATCGATATAGCTAACTTGAAAAAACGATGAGGGGAAACTTCAACAACAATTCTTTGTGAGTGTCATTCAGTCCGGACTGCCATTTAGCCAACAAATCATGGTACCTGATGACACCCACGTCTAGTTAGATTGCAAACACATTGTGGTGATATCAATTTCAATGCTGAGCGTCCACTCAATGTCACCGGATGCAATAAGGATTGAGAATGCTCCATTGTCCGGAAAAGTGGGCTGTCTATGAGATATCAGGTCTATGAACAACTTCTTAAGCCTATATATTAAGAAATTGGCCGGAAGGTTAATTTGTCTTTATAAAGCTTGCCTGTGCGTGTTTGGCAAGTTCTTGGTACATATGGGCCTGCTGAATTGCATAACACTTGTGTCCCTCCGGTATTGCCTCGCCGGTCGACATGAGCCTTGTCAACCACATGCTTGCTTTGAAGAGGAAAAACTCCAGGGTCCAACCCATTTTGTGTTCGACGAGTATGAGTTCTTCTGCCCATCAGTTGCGTAATGCTTTCGTGTGAAGCCAATGAACCCTGTAAACTGTTGTGTCTTGAGCCTCGGCTCGAAATACTCGGATTGAAAATACATACATTTATTTATCCAATCACTGCTGACTGAATCGCCTTGTATGTCTAGAGACCAGAACCACGGGAGAGTTGCATTTCGCTGTCCCTGGGCATTCGGGTCTGCCATGGCAGCAGTTGTTTTGAGATGGCATTTTTCCATCCGGAGGTACTTATTAAGTAGGCCATGAGCTTCCAGGTGTCCAAGTTGTGCCCGACATTTCATATAAATCATGGTGTTGAGTCGGATGACCTTTTCCACTGAATGAACCTGCGTCCATGCCCTCGTTGACTTTGCTTGTGATTTAGCTGGACGCACTGCGGTATGAAAGAGCACAGCCTTATCCACTAGATGCATTCTGATCGCTTGCAAGGCGTCGTTGGCCTGACCTTCCCGAAGTGCAATTTCTTGACCAAGGAGGTGTTCAACACCTAGCTCCGCACAACGTGCTACGCCGATATTAGACGGCAGAGGGATCATGATCTTCTCAGGGTAGAAGAGATCCCGCAGCTGATGTCCATGGGCTTCCGGTTCAGATTCGGTATCACTGCCATCAATTCCATCATCTTCTGAATCGTCATCTATGAAGTCCAAGCGGATATCTCTAATTTCCTCATCAATGTCGAAGCTCTCGCCCAGATGAGTCGCCGCCACAATGGTGAATTCATCTATCCGACTTTGCAACTTTGTCCGGTGTCTGCAAATGTCCAAGGTTTGGGTCTCCATAGGGTGTCTGCTGAGCTTCCGAATATCCATAGTTAGTGCTATCTGCATTTCTTCTATGGTAATACCGGATGCAATCCATGTAGCAGCACCTCGTTGCGCATTTCCACACAATCAGCCTGCTCCGGAAGACAGCAAAGCTAGCTCCTGTTGCTTCCGCATTGGTGCTGGTCAATGTAATTGGTTTTGCGGAGCGGATGTTGAGGGAGCAGAAACTCACCCCTCTTTAACTGCACCTCAAATATATCCATCGCAGATGGATCGGCAACTCGACATGAATGAGCATTTCGGTCTTGTTCCTGCCATGTTGTGACCATGTTAGGATCGGCAGTTTCGTTGAGCTTGTCAAATGCAGCAGCGCTTTCTGCCACTCCCTTAATGGCTTCCTTATATTTCTGGCAAAGAAATCCACCTGCATTATGTGATCAGAAAGTCTTCATCAAGGATATTTGTGACTCAACTCATGCGAATCATCTTCATAAAATTGGAGTCATTCATCTGGTAATTGAGACACTCTTGCCAATGGGGAGTGGACATCCCTCTCGCGGCAGGAGATATAATATTCAGAGGCGCCCACAATGTCTCCATGATTTCGCCATCAATCCTAGTGGCGCCAGTATTAAATGTTGATGCATACCGGACATAGCATTTGTCTTGGTGTCCATGAACATGCCAGAGGCCAATGCCCGGTATGATTTCCATTCCAGAAGGGATGCTCAAATGAAGGCTCTTGTTCACCCGACGCCAGAAGTGTTTGTTATACTGACAATTAATGTCATAAAATGTGAAAGCTTGGCTGAGTCCATCAGTGTGGTGGCTTAATGTGTGACATAGTGCATAGTCCATATTCATTTGCCTAATCACGGACGTCACCCAGTGAATCAAATTTGCGGGATCCTGAAACATACCGTTCGCCCTTTTGAAAATCCACAACGGAATGAGGCATAAAACAGCCGTGGTGGGCGCACGCGCACCCGCCTATCCCAGTAGCTTCTAGTTTGTGTCGGGACACATTGGCCTGGTTGATGGCTCGGTGATTATTGCACTCGGAAGGTTGAACAACGTCATTCGCAACGGCTGGATGAGCCTTGTATTGGTCTTTGGAAACCATGAAGCATTGTCCATCTGTCAACCAGACTTCGTCTTCTGGATGAGTGGGATAAAGGTGCTCTGCTTTGAAGTTGCCGTCCATGACCAGGGATCGGGCATATAGCCAACTGGGATCATGGGGATTTCTATCGGCCGGCAGTGGTGTGTTAATGCCGGGCTGCGGGCAAGCCGGGCAAAAGAGGGCAAGCTCCCCGGGTGTCGGCCGTCTGCTCTCATAAGTGAACCCATTCCATTTAAGCAGCTTCAGCTGTCGCCATTGCCATGCTACCCTCATTAATTCTCTGTAACAATCCTGTGAGGAATTGAGATTCTATAATTATGATATTCTATGCGCAACACGTACCGGGACTAGATGCGGAGATATACTTGACGTCATTCTTCTCAACTTGTTGTAGTAATTCATTGCCGAAGTTCCGCATTCCAAGTTGTCCAATGCAAAACCATCCAGCACCAGAAAGGTAAACGCGGTCTTGGGTCGGGTGAAGGATGCCGGAAACATGCCCATCTTGAATAATTGCTTGTCAGGTGTGCAAGCATTCAGACATTGACAAAACCTTATCATGATAGAATAGACTCTGGACTTGTCAACAACTGTGATGCATTGCTTGCGGTTCAAGAATGGAAGCTCCACTATGGTAGGGAAGTCCTCTGCCAGTTGATATATGGGCTCGTCGGTGTCCTCCCATTCATGAATATCCCCAAGTGCTGGACAAGGCATTCCCTGATGCCCAAGATAAATTTCCATACCTATCTTGGTCAGAGACATTTCCTCAAAAAATCCCCCATTCCATTTGGCTATCTTATGGAAAGGCAGTCTCCAGTGCTCATTTCTGCAGCACTTCAGACAAAATACCGGGTCGCCGAGGCAGTTGTAGCACCTATACACAGTGGACTTGGAGCCACACACGCAGCATTTTTTGTCTTCAGGTGGAGCCTCTTGTTCATGGAGGATCCTGAGATAATCGTTCATCCGAAATTTCCACTCCTGGAGATAATCATTTGGACTCTGGGATATCAATCAGCGCGGAATGCATGGTGTAAATTTTGTAATGCACCTTCGTCTTCTTTCTCCCTGACAGTACGTTGAGGGCACCAATTGGTTCCTTATCGCCAAAGTCATCATGGTCAGCATTGAAATCGGTGGACCATCGATCCCATGCACTATCGGAATTGTGTTTCTTGGGAGACTTTGCTGGAGAGGATTGCATGGATGGACTGGATTTGACTGGGCACCACTTCCCTTTCAAGCCACGAGTGGTCTCCTTAGTTTTCCATGTCACCCATTGCGCCGTTTCCCGCGGAGCCAATGTCCTTACCCTAGACTTGCCCATGTAGTTACTGAGAACTTGTGTGAATTTGAGGACGGTCAAAACTTATATTCTAATTCATGGCTCGCTTAATAGCCGAGGTCAAGCACAAATAAGGTAAAGGTTAATATTTAAACACGACCCATTCAATCTGTAACCTTGTTTTTCGATAATGTCAGACCACAACTCAGCCTCTGATTCAGAGTCCAACAAACAACCTCCAGCAAATGAAGAAGAGATTGCTGTCCTGCAGTCTTATCTCGAGCAATGGCACTCAGCTGCTTCATCGGAGCGAAAGAATATCTTGAGAGCGGCTACAATGGAAGCCCGGACAAAAGCACCAGTGATGTCAATTGTACTGTCCAAGGCTCGCAAAGCGGTGCGTTGGCATTGATTTCTTTATATGATGCGCTCCTCATCAGCATTCAGACATACGAGACATGGTTCCGGAACCATGCGAAGGCCAAGAAACCGGGGAAACCCCCCATCAAGATGGGGCAGAAATGGACTGAGAGAAGTGTCATAGACACACTCCAGAAGACGGAGCTCTTGAGAAAAATCGAGGACGAGACTGGTGCCAAACCTGGAACAAAGGAGATGATGAACCATTACACGGTTCACCTGAACTGGCTGATGGCATCGCTTTCACTGGAAGACCTTGAAGAAGCCAAAGAGACAGCCGATGAATGGAATAGTCAGGGCATTCCAGACAATGTCAAAGTGGAGATCGCAAGAAAGAAAGGCGATGTTATGATCCGACACTTTGCATCGGAGATGTGGAACCACACCAGGATCAGGGTGTTCGTGTTGTCAGCTTGGAAGGATGGGGAGAGCAAGGTCCAGGTGTCTGGGTGTGTTTTCAGACCATTGGGATCCGCAACTTCTCACGCTCCAGACAGACATGACTATAACCAAGAGTTTGGTGGTGCCGAGTCGTTCATGAAGACTCAGAACTGGAAAGTGATTGAGCCAGAATGGGACGCATATGCTGCAAGTGTATTCGGTAAGCCACCTCAGTATGTATCTGGTGGAAACTAACTGTTATAAGAGGGCGATGTGGACGAAAATACGGTTGCTCAGAAGAGGGGTAGACAGGACAACACGTATAGCCTTGACATCGGAGATGATGAATATCCTGTAATCCCTGCATATGAGTCCATGGATTTAGATACAAAGAAGGCAGTCATCCGGGCATTTTTGACATGGCATTACAGTGGGTTGATTTCCTTCTTCTGTTACGCTGACCGTCGGTCGGCATGTGCGAACTAGGATAGGTCTTCTCAGCGACGGCTCGAGTGAGCCTACTGAAGCCGAGCGTGGTCTAGCCTTGACGGAACGTCAAGGATTCCTCCGGTGATCTCAGTAAGACGGCGCTCGTCGAGATGCAGGGCTAGCGGATACGTGCTAAGTCGTATGGGGGCGACTTAGAAGTGCGGTCTCACACAAGGAAGCTGGTTAAGGCTTAGATGAGCAAGTTCTGGGGATGAACCTAGTAGATTAAAGTAAAGTCTAAGTACGATAATCTGTGTCTACTTATAGGGAAGTACTACAAGTATTCTAGCTCAGTCTGTAATCAATAGTATATCTAGGATTTATGATAACAAGACATGAGGTTCAGATAAGATACATGAGGCTTAACCTCTGATCAAGCATGCTGCACCAAGGGCAGCTGCGCATAGGTACAGGAAGCGCCAAGCGCGCTCCGGATCTTCATGAAGCGACATGCGGTATGCATGCGCTGATCTAGGGTGACCATGAGGCGTACAGCCTCCATGGATCAGGTACAAGGCCATCTAGGCCAGGGGTGGGTCATAGCGCCAGGGGCGGGGTCACAGCGGTCCAGACCGCTATCTTTGTAGGCACGGGCGGCGCACCGCCGTGCGGGGAGTCTAGCAGAGCAGGGGCAGGCATAGGCAGAGCTGGGGCTCCAGTAGGTGTTACAGATGCCTGTAACATCTTCCAGTGAATTTAATGATCTAAGCAATCTGAAGGGAAGTGTTGCGGGGACCTCAAAGTCTCTGTACCATGGAAATATGTGATACCCAGGTACAACAAGATCATTCCCGTACAATATCTTCCGGATGGTCACAATCTCGCTGAGCCATCGAAGTTAAGGCAGGTCCACGCCACAGAGTTGTTACGGTTTTGGCATAGCAGACAGGAGGAAGGTGAAGAGCATGTCTTTGAATTCATAGGATGGTGGGACAATGATAGTGAGGACATCGTCCTTGCAACCGAGCAAGATGGGCGTGTCACTAGCCGGGCATGGCCTATCACCCAGATGAAGAAACCATCAGGATCAAAGTCAAAGCAGCCTGGTTATCATGGGCAATCTACTGCTGGACACGCTTCTGGTAAAAAGATGAAGGACAATGAGCCAGCCGCTGCACATCGTTCCGGAGTCAAGGTAGTGAAGAGCACCTCATCTTCAACTCCCCAACACAAGAGCGAGAAATCCAAGAACACACTCAAGTCATCCGAGGAGGATATTCACTACACAGGGATGGTAGCTGATGGGTCTTCTGCTGAACCATCCGAGGACTCGGATGATGATATGCCACCTCCCCGGAAAGGAAGGTGATTGGAGGGGAGGAACTTGCATACGGGGTCACAAACGCACGGCTACCAAGTGGCTCTCATGAGTAGCAATGACTCTGAAAGTGAGATTGAACAGGATGTCCCTCAAAAGGCGATTGCGGCTTCAGGCAAACATGCCAGGAAGGATATGGCCGTAAATATCAAGGCTTGGACCCCCGATATAAGCTCGACGGGGAGCAGGGCACTGGTCAGTCAAGAAAAGGAAGCTGTTAAACATAATGCAAAGGTTACTGCACGCGATCGATCTAAGTCCGGAGTGGCAGAAGCAGTAATTCCGCCAGTTTGGCTGGTGGGACCAGCCTCCTGGGCTGGTCGCGGCGCGCCTGTCAACCAGGCAAATGTCAATCGTGAAGCTTCCGCATCAAACAGAACGGCGACACATGCAATGCCCATGGCATGCCATCTGACCAGTGGTGAACATGCAAGGAAAAAAGGAAGGAAACGTCCTGCCGAAGAAACTTTAGAAGAGTTGCCTGCGAAACAGACAAGAAGCCGAGGAATTGTAAAACCGGTCACTGAAAATGTGAAAGAGCCCGCAGCCAAGAGACTGAAGAAAAGGGTCGCTGAGGAATCTATGGAAGAATCTCCTTCAAAATGTACCCGGAGCAAAACCTCTGACCACCTTCCCACGGCACGTGCGCACAAGCCAAACTCCCGATATGCTACCGACTATGTAAGAACTTGAGCACAAACAGATGTTGCATGTTTGTTATCATAACTCTCTCTTCCGGATATAGAGACATGGACATTGTACAATTTGTTTGTATGGTAATACATAAAGCTACTACTACACGGTTCTTTGCATGAATCGATTATTCAAGTCATAAATCTTCTGAAAATCAACCAATGTCTACTCATCACCTTGCTGAAGGTTTGTTATCATGGCATCCAACGGATCCATAATGCACCTGTGGATGTCCAGCAATCAGTAGATTGCAACAAGATCTTCACCGAGCTCCGTCACTCTGTCCCGTGCTTCTCCGTATCCAGCAACGAGCCTCCGGTTCGCCCTCAACGTACCTGCCGGAAGTTGGTCGGGTATGCCAGAGGGATGGTCGGTGACCATATTCTGTGTATCCTCATTCCCTGTTGCAAATATATGTAAGGTATAATCATTGTACAAGTCAACATGACTTACGCTGTTTAGTTCCGATGCTGTTCAGTCGCTGGATGGCACGGTGCATCGACTGACCGGCCTCCTGAAAAGTGTTCCATTGGGACGCTATATTTGAAGACGGTGAGCAAGCTGCACAATTAGCATCATATGCAGCATATCTGAAAACACTCACATCCAGCGTCCGACGTCAGGTCGATGACTTCCGGTATCTCTATGCTCATCGGCTCATATCTTTTTTCGCTTTCTGATCTCTGAGCTGCAATGCGATTAGCGACAAATATAGCATATGAGATATAACTTACATGCAGATGACGATGTCAAGTCGATTATATCGAGCCCATACATCGGTGTCGGACTGTGCATCCGGCGACCCATTTGTTTGTTTGAAGGGTCATGTCCGGATACAACATCCAGGTTGTCGGCATCATCATTTCCCCATCCGCAGTCATAAGGGTCCTCCAGATTTGCGACCTGGGACACACCGTTGGCATCCTCCTCGTACTCCCATCCGCAATCATAAAGGTCCTCTGTTGCAACACTGGAGATGGGTGCCGCACCATCATCTTGCTGATTCCCCCATCCACAGTCGTATGGATCTTCTTCATCTCCGAGAGTCATCGACGAGGCTGCGGGTTGGATCTCCATTGCATCCTCCCATCCGCAGTCATAGGCATCTTCTTCCTCAACCATCGGCAGACCCGGTCCCAGGCCTTCTTTCTTTGAATCATCCTCCCGTTCAAAGTCTTGAGGAACTTCCTTCACTCCTGGTGTTTCGATGTCCATCCGATCCTCCCATCCGCAGTCATACAGATCTGCTTGCTCTGTTGGGACCAAACCTGGGACGATATATTCAGCAGCAGATTTGTTCTCCCAACCGCAGTCATAAGTGTCCGTCATTGGTGATCCAGCGGTATCATCCACAGCTATTCTGCTGATTAGTTCCATCCAAGCTGGATAAATTGGTACTCACATCCATCCGGTCCCTCATCTTCATACATGGATTGATCCATGGAACCGCCATTCTCCTGTATGCGACCGAGAGGCGACCGGTCCAAGTTGGTAAGTCCTTGGGATCGTGGACCGGCCGTTGCTGTCATGGCATGACCATGAACCATGTCAAGGACATGGATATCTTCAACAATCTTATTAGAATATATCCAGGCTGTGACGGGATGTGACAAACCTGCTAGCATGCTTGTAACTTCATCAAATTCTCCGAAGAAGCACATGTCATATCCTGCGTTGTAAGGTCAGCTTAGCGATACAAGTCCGGCCAGAATTAACATACTTATGTCCCTGTTTGCGATGGGATCGTTTGTCCACTCTTGGCTCAACCGTACCTTGTCAGCCAATTTATATTCTGCATTGCGCGTTTTTAGCAATCCCGGATCAGAAGCTTTGAGAGCTGACTTACGTTTGAACCTTATATAAGGTTCCACTCTGATCAGGCCCTTAAATCTCGGTATCTGGAAAGGCATGGGTGGAGTCCATGAGTCTAATAGTGTGTATCCACTCCACCAGGCAAGCGGCCCTTCCAATTTGTGTTTTGCTATCTCCAGAGAGTTGCTGCACATGGATCTGTGGGAGTCAGAGGAATTGTCATAGCTACTGTGAGAGGTAGCACTGGTGGCCGAGTCACCATCATCCGAATATACTGAAGTAGCAAAACGAACGTGTTTTCCAAACATGACTGTTTTGTGTGAAATAAGGAGGTCGGGGAAGGATTACAATGCGCCAAGATATACTTAGATATGTGGATCGCCCGACTGTGCCACTGTGGCAACGGAATGTGTGGGACAATGATCACAGAAGAAGTTGTATTACATAACTATGTTATTAACAGGTCCACAGCACTGTGCTTCGACAATGGCCATGCGTTCTTGGAAATGCCCATAACCGAAGTATCGGTATAAATCCCGAGACTTGTGAAAAATAATTGAAGTCATCTTTCTTTGCGTATACCATCACCCGTTGCTCACTAGATTCTATATATGTTATGACTCCTTTGGAAATTGCAAACAACACTCTCCAGGCTACACTCAAGACTGTACAATCGTTGATGAAGCGTTGTATGAAATTAAAGGAAAGTGATCCAGGCACACTGACATGATCGGATGAGATCGCCAGACGCCTGGTGAGTTTCGCTCCACCAGATCTGTACCGTATTTTTGGATAACTAACTCAATTTGGTGCAGGCAAAAGATTTGAAGCTTTATGGGGGGAGTGCTACATCGTTCTCCCCTCAGCTGCTATCCTGTGCCGCCGTAGTACGGGAGCACTCCAAGGCCGGCATCTTTGTGTCATTGCTTGACTGGAAGACCGTCATAGACAACGACCCGCGCATTAAGAGTCACCCGTGGTTCCACAAGACCGTGGACTACCACTCCTCCACCTTTGCCGAACCCCAACTCACCACGGCGCTGGTGGACTCCACGGTAAAGACTCTTGTGGAATCAATTAGACCCCCTCAGCTCGGCTCATGGAAGGCGACACAACTGGTTCCATCGGCTGGTAATGAAGTGCTACCAAGTACGCCCAGGTTACAAACTCTGGGGGTTCCGGTAACAGAACTAATGATATCAGACATCCAAAGCAGTGCTCCCCCCCCCCATTGGAATTCCAGCCACCAACCTGCCTGCCATGTTCCATCGCCCCCGTGATGGTGAGACAGGGTATCCATACGGCTGGAAGCATGAAGACAGAGACAACCGCACAGCCCAGGAAGACGAAAAGGAAAGCGGAAGAGAGCGACAATGATGGCAAAGAAGCGGAGGTAGCGCATGGACTCACACCAACTCCCATTTCCCGGAAGCCGATTCGCAAACGGAAGAAGAAGTTTATGTTGGATGGAGGAGATGACGGGGACACTGGTACCATCCATGTTAAGGTGGCTCTGACAGTATATATCTGTTCATTGCTCACGAGAAATTGATATAGCAGAAGACATTGTCAGTAAAGACATTCAATGCTGTGGCTCCGGATGCCATATTAGCAGACACCTCCGCAACAGAATTGGTGGACAAGAAAGGTTTTTGGGATGAAAAAACTAGGGTAAGTCATCTCTGCCTCGGTGATGCGGGTCTTACTTGCACCCATCTAGCCTGCCGGATGGGGTTTGGATTCCAACATCGCCACAACGGTGGAGGTAGGTAGGCAAGCAAATGTATGCGGTCAATATTAGCTTAATGCATGGTCCAGCTTTCTGTTCGCTACCACTCCCGGAAATGTGACAAATGTGTCAAGTTGAAGGTTCCTTGCATTGTTCTCCCTGACAAGAAGTTCGGATGCATCAGACTAACCTGTGCAAACTGCGATGGGATGAAGATTGCCTGCACGATCAACAGCGCTGGTGTCTGGCAGAGGTTGCAAGTAAAGGTGAAGGAAGCTGTTGGTGAACCGAATATCAATCCTCTTCCCAAATGTCCTAGGACATGTGCGAACAAGTCACGCCCTGCCGCCAAAAATCTGGCAAAATCTGCTCCAGCCAAGACCATGAAACCAGCCACTCGTTCATCCACTTGTGTGGCTCAGACTGTTACTGTGGATGACCCACTGAACGGTATGCCTATCCGTGATATCATTCAAACTTATTAAACTTTTTTCCCTAACTCAGAACAACCGACGGACTTAAAGCCTAAGCATCCGGCTCTGCTAGCGCCCCAAAACATGCAGTCGTCGGACCCTTCCAAACCATCGGAAATGGGACTCCCTGCAATCGTTTCAATGCCGGCTCCATTGCAGCCACCAGGACCCACCAATCTCCCAGAGCCTGAACCCAGCGGAAAAGACATCTTGCGGAGCATCCAGGACCTTGGCAGGAGATTCGATCTCCTTGCAACCAATGAGTGGGTGGACGTGTTGGATGCAAGGGTTGATTCGGTGGAGGACAGGTTTGGATGGAGGCTGATGGTGCTGGAGAAACAGATCACTGCATCAGATGTGCGTTGGCAGTCGGTCATGTCATTGATGGGTAATCTGTCAATGTCCCTGCAAATCCATAAGAACGATCCGGCCGCTCACCGTCCTGGCTCCTCCGATGGTACCAAATATGCGCCGCAAAATGCCCCCATTGATGGATGCCTGGGAATCTCGACCGTTGGTAGGGAACACACCCATGAATGCAATTAGTCGGTTATGCTGGATGTAGAAGGTGACGATGGGACATCGGCATTCAATATGAGGCTCACCTGCGCCCCACACCTGCAAAATAGGAGGGGTGAATCGTTACCAGTGGCATGCACTGAGTTCATCTTGTTTCCTGTTTTCGTATTTCAGAGTTACATGGGATTTGAATTGATTTTTATTACAATTGTAGTGCACCAGCCCAGTTGAATTTGGTATGAGAACAAATGCAAAGATATGTGCTCAGATGGTGCAAACGGTGCACATGAGATGATAGACGATAAAACGGGTCATCCACCATATTTACACCGGCAGGATGTGAATCCAGATATTTTGACATAAACCTATAGACTCTATTCTGATGCTACTAAAGCATTCCCCGTGCCCCCGAGTGTGGCCATACATTTGTGAGCACAAAATGTCAGCCAAAACCATTCCAGACCCTTACAGATACAAGGGACGTACAATTCCAGAGGGACGTACAATTCCAGAGGGACGTACAATTCCAAAGCATACCCTCCTGCACTTATATCAATGCGATCAATGCCATTGTTTTTAAATTTAAACTAGAATAAAATTCATGAATAATACCTATGCATGTTTCTAGGACCATTTGTCTCATGTTCCGAGTTCAAATATGCTCGAACTATGTAGCTGAGTCCATCCGTTATGCGTTCCGGCACCATCCAGGGGGAAGTCTTCTTGTAATCATCAGTTTAGTCTATCCATCAAGGTTATGGGCCGAGGGAATCTAGCATCGGCGAGGAAGATGGATGGGCCCAACCAATGATATCCAGAACCGGACCTAAGACGAAATCAAAGCTCATGTGCTCAGTGAATTTAGTATTTCCTCTGTCCCAAGTCAAATTCACTGATCCCATGACCCTTTTCATCGCAAATGATCCCAGCTAACTCATTCTCGGAGATAGAGACGGATGAGCCGAATCAATCATATCGAGCACCAAGACCCACCAAACGGACTGATTCTGAAGATTTAGATATCTGTTTAGGTCGGAAATTGAATCTCCTATCATGCGCAGGTCCTTTATTTATCATGGAATCTTTCGCATATTTCTATTCAGGGACTCCCGTTAGGCAGCCTTTTATGTCAAAATGGAACTTCTCTTGAGTAAAGAATAACTGGCAAACAAATACAGCGCTAGGTGTCAACCAAAATTTGAGCCTTGGTAATTCAGCAACCCACAAATGCAATTTGCACCAGAGATGATGATATGTCCCGCCTTCCTTTGTTGGCATTGCGAACTCAAATATCAAACTTGGAATGTAAATGCAGTAAGAATAGTCAACTACAGCATTAGTATCCAAAGTAAAGCATATAAACTAAGCAGTCACAAAACAGTATGAAATTACATGACACCGGTCCAACAACTTACGTCGATCCGACAATCTACCTATCGGACATGGTGGATGGCGTGCTGGACAATCAAGAGGATTCAATTGAAGCTTCCCGAAGAACGGGGGTATCCAGAGGATAACCCATCTGCATAGCCGATGCGGATGTTTTGAGGCAGCCTTGCACACCTGTCGCGACAGATGGGTCCCATGCATGCGTCCACCGTCTGCCGACTGTGGAGATACCCAGATCATCGACACCACCAGTACATGGAGCCATGCTGGAAGCTGAGCAGTCGGGTGCTGTGGAGGTGCATAGGCAGTGGTGTTCACACGAGGTCTGTGGGCTTCCAGGTCGTCTTTGTGGTCCCGGAGACAATTTGTCAAATGTCCGACCGATGATGACATCGCCTTCCATTGTGCATCGGAGGAATTCATGCGTTGCTCCAACGTTGCCAGCCGGTGGCCAAAGACTTCCTCCACTAAAATGACCTTGGCATCCAATGCATCCACCCGCTCATTTGTAGCGAGGAGGTCAAACTTGCTTCCAGGGTCCCGGGTGGCCTGCAGAATGTCTTTTGCAGTTGGCTCGGGCTCCGCCAGATGGTTGGCTTCCATCGGGTGGATGTCCTTTGGATGGTTGATCATCATTGGCGTGGCAATTGGTGGGGACAGTGTCGCTTCGGCAGGAGCCACTGTCAAATTTACCAGTCATTCCTCAACATCTAAAGAAGTTACAAATGAGTCGAAGTGCAATTCTGGTGCAGCTGCACTCACTACCATGTTCAACAATATCTTCCATAACATGGGAGGACGAAGGCACTGCCGGAATGCTCGGTACAGCCTTTTGGAGGGTCCTGTGCTCACTGCCATGTTTGACAATATCTTCCATAACATCAGCAGCTGAAGGTACTGCCGGAATGCTCGGTGCAGCCGGTGAAGCTTTTTTGAGCATCTTGTTGACTGCTCGGACCTTGGGGACACGTGACCGGGAGCGCTTGGGAGGTTCGGCTACTCGTGCCACTGCCTTTGCTTTGGCTTCAGCCTGCAACCTGTCCCGGACACCCTACCATTTATTGCACAAGTCACCTTTGTCTTGTCACAATTGGCGCAAGCGAGTCGCGTGCATCCAACTTTTTTGTCCGGCAGAACAATGCAAGGTATGCCTAATTTCTTGCATTTGTCACATTCCCGTGGATGGTAGCGAATGGAATGCTGGCATGGGTCAATATGTGCTGCCGTTGATAGGTCAAACAAACATACCTCCACTTCTGTGGCAATCGTTGAATCTAGACCCCAATCACGAGGCTGAAATATTTGTATAGTTAGTTCTACAGAGCACCGAGCCAGAGCTGGAAGTCACTCACCCTAGTTTCTGCATCCCAGAAACTATCATCAGAGGCCGTGTCAATCGCGTCCTGAGCTTCCGGGTCTAATACCTTTTCAGATACCGCTGACAACAATGTTTCCTTGGGCAATGTCAGTGACCAGCTGCATCGGCGATTTACTATGAGGAACGGTTACTAGACCTACCTTTGTAGTTCCATTCTTCGATGACTTCTTGATTTTTTTCAGATTCTGCTTGCGCGATCTAGATGGGGACCTGGGAGCGTCCGCCGAATCGGTATCATCTTCTTCAGCCTTTCTCTTCTTGTCATTCGTAGGGTGCGGAGTAACCTTGACCTTGTTCGACATATTGCCTGGCATGAAGAGCTTGTACTTCGTTGTTGCAGGTGTAGCAGAAGCGACTGATGGAGCAAGAGGAGTCAATGGTTCCAGCTCCAGAGAGGCCGGCAACAGGGAGAGCGGTGCCAAGTTGGCTTCCAGTGTGGGAGCTTGTTTTATGAAAGGATGGACGGCAGCAGGAACAGTGAGAGGCTTAATTATAGATGACGACCCGGTAGCTCGAACCTTCAAAATAGGAAGAGTTCCAACTGCAGTGAGAGGACGGTAGTCCAATGTTTTGTGGAAGTGTGGATGGCTCTTGATGCGTGGATCATCATCGACCATGGAGTTCCAGTCGGGCAAACTCTCAAAAGCACCACCCTTGGAGTATTGACGCACAATGGTTGCACAGGACAAGAGCTGGGGGGAGAATGATGTTGCACTTCCCCCATAAAGCCTCAAGTCTTTTGCCTGTGCAAATTTGAACAATCAGATGAATGTAAATGAAAGTAGACTTACAACGTGTCTAGCAATTTCATCCGATAGCTTCAGAGCTTCTGGATCGCCCTGTTTTAAGTGGATGCAACGCTTGATGAGCGATTGCAAAGTCGCAAGCGTGGTGTCGAGCACGTCATTTGCTACTTTGGGTGTCATAGCGGTGTTAAAAACAAACAAGTTTGTTGAATGCAACTACACGGCAAGGACAGAAAGGTGACACTAAGAATTTGCACAAGTATCGGAATTTATATAAAGGTTGTCGGTTGTGGATGTTTCCGAGAAAGTACTTTGTGAAAGCACGGTAATGTAGACTCGGTGTAATTACATTATGACATAATACCATGCTTGTCGCTACCATTGTCCGATGTATTTGGTTGCCTCGCCTACAGCTATTAACACATCAACACCTTGGATTGAACTATCATAATCAAATAGGTCTGTTTGTGTTACCCTCCTGCATGTGGGTGTGGATGATAATGCCTTCAGTTTCTCTGCCGATGGTAACCATACAGCAAATCTGAGGCAGCAGAATACCATTCAAAGAACAAAGGATGGAATTGAGTGGTGAGATGCATTTGTTCAATTATCATTGCAAACTCCTCCGAAGTGGGGAAAGAAACTTGATCCGGAGTGAAATGTAAGGGTGTGAAATGCATCGGGGAACATTATCGAAGGTAGCAAATGAGCTTCCAGAAGTCCTTGAGTGGAGCAGTGATTGCTCGGCGGAAGTTCGTAATATCCAGAACAACATGCATTGGGAGTTCAGCTTGGTACCACAAGATATCTGATTAAATGATATTTTCATCAAGACCTTAGCATGCTGTCCGGTAGCCGTTGTATTTATCACCAGCCCCTCAGATCACCGATGATGATCCATATGCTGCGGGCCTTGTCGTGATGCTTCCCTAACAGCCGACTGAACCCAGGCATCCGTAGTGTCCGAGATAATCTGAAACATCTGCGCAGCTGCATCGGCACATATCAGTTGGTTCGTGCAAGATATCATATGGACAGGACATCCAAGCCGATCACATACAAAGAACGACCAACTGGCTAAATTCCCACAGGGCGGGAGGTGTCATAACTGACTTCAAACTTTCTGGCAGTAATTCCTCTGTTTTGGATATGGGTGATTCAATGATAGTCCACGTATGTCTCTCGCATATTCCGAGCACATTCCTGGATTGAAGTTTTCATTCGATCACCGAGATTACATCTTTACATTTGTTACTAAGCAAAATTCAACCTGCTTTATCTACCAAAATTTTAATGAAAGTGAGGTCAAATTTGATGCCAGAGCAGAATGCAAATCAAGGGAGCGCCATGAACTAGTTATGCGGCCAAGATCTACTCCTGTGTTCTGACAGGTTACATGCTGGACAACGGGGAAGATGCAATAGAAGGCTCGCGTATATAATGAGGATCCGGGGAGTATGTCTGCCGCCAACGAGATGTCGAGGTCTGGGCATCACCTTGCATACCTGTCATAATGGACTGGTCCCATGCATGGGTGTACTCCCTGCCTATGGTGGAGATGCATGGGTGTTCATCACCGGCAGGATTATTTGTCAGCCACAAAGTGATGGTTGGTTCTGGCAGGTGCTGGGGTGTGTGCGCATTACCATGGGCGCGAGGATGATGTGCACCCGGATTGTTGCTGTGCACCTGTGAGGACATAGACAGATTACCGATCGACTGTGATAACAACTCCTGATGCGCATTAGATACGGTGAACCGTTCCTCCAGCGTCGTCAGCCTCAGGCTGATCCTCCGCTCTACCGAATCTACCCTCATATCCAAAGCATCCATCCGCTCATTGGTTGCCAGGAGATCGAATCTCCTGCCAAGGTCATGGATGCTTTGCAATATGGCTCTTGCGGTGGGTTCAGGCTCTGAGGGGGTAGCTGGTACGGATGGTAGGACTGGTGCTGGCATGTCGACCGGTGGGAGTTGCAGAGATCTGAATGGCTGCATATTCGGTGGCGCCTTCTCCGGCATCAAGTTCATTGGTCCTTGCTCAACCTCTGAGTATGTCGTCAAAATACTTGGTGAGCAAGTCGGAAGGATACAATGGATGCGCCTACCAATCGGTGGATTGTCCGGCACAACTTTCTGTAGGACAAGCGAGGATAAACATCTGGAAAGTTTAGTTGTCTTCGCAGGAGTGGATATGAAAGGTGTTGTGACAGCCGCACGTGACTTGGGTGCACGTGTCCTGGAACATTTGAGTGGTGCGTTCACGCCGGTTTTCATCGCAGCTCCCTGCGCCTTTGCTTGCAGCCTCTGCCAGACACCAGCGCCGTCAATCACGCAGGTAATTTTCATCTCATCACAGTTTGCACAAGCGAGTCTTGTACACCCGAACTTCTTGTCAGGCAACACAATGCATGGCACATCCATTTTGATGCATTTGTCACATTTGTGGGGATGGTAGCGAACGGAATGCTGGAATATGTGAGGGCATATTTACTCGAATGCGATTGTCTGCCTACCTCTACCGCAGTAGCAACTGTGGCATCTAGACCCCATCTGGCAGGCTGGAGAAACCCAAGTAAGACAGTAACCCCAGCTACATAGACGACTTACCCTGGTTTCTGCATCCCAAAAACCTCTCTCGTCCACAAAGTCAGATGGGGGCATGTCTGTCCGAGCGACAGCATGGCTGGCCTTCACCGACAACGCCCTCTGCTGTATTAATGCACATTAGCAACAAACAGATAAATGTTCTCAAAGTCACCTTAACATGAATGGTACTGGTGGCACTCGTCTCCTCATCATCCGACTCAAACTTTCTCTTTCGTTTCCGAACCGGCTTCCAGGATATCCAGCGTGGTTGGGGTTCGCTGTCGTCCATTTCCGTTTTCATTTTCTGCGGGTTACCAGTTGGTGGGAAGGCCCGCCGTACCGTTCTGATATTTCCCATGTTTTGTCCGACAGTCATGGGAGGCATTAAAACCGGTGGTGATGGTTCTGGTATGACCATAGGGGTTATGGTGCTTCGGACGCCAGACATCATGGGTTCCACAACTGGTGCAACAGGAGATAGCCACTCAGATGTCCTCGGTTGCACCTCAGGGACAACATGGAGTGACTGAATGGGATGCGGGGCCTTTGATGCGACAAGATGTTGAGGCGTACAGGTTTCCACGACGGTCCCGTTCATTGAACGCGGCTCCGGCGGGACTGTGGATGACGACATGCTGGGTTCTGGTTCTGCGTCGGGATGCGTGAGGGAGTAGATATTCTTGTGGAACAGTGGGTGCATCTTGATGTGCTGGTCGTTGTCCGTCACGGAGTTCCAGTCGGGCAATGATACAAATTTTCCAGCTTTTGAATGCTGCCGTACTACGGCTGCAAAAGACAGCAGCTGAGGGGAGAACGATGTGGCGGTTCCCCCGTAAAGCTTCAAATCTTTTGCCTGCGCCAAATTGAGTTGTTTATCCAAAAATACAGTAACAATTGTAGGCAGCGAGGCTTACCACCCGTCTAGCGATCTCATCCGAGATTATCAATGCGGCTGGGTCACTTTCCTTTAATTTCATACAGCGCTTCATCAGCGATTGTACAACCTCAAGCGTGGAGTCGAGGGCCTTGTTAGCAATTTCCGAAGGTGTCATTCTCAGTATTTACAGACTGTAGTGGGTGACTGACAATGGTATACAAAAAGAAAGATGGGTTCAATGATTTTTTATTAAGTCTCGGGACTTATATATACCAATCCGTCAGTCATGGGTCTTTCCGAGAACGCATTGAGGCAAGACAGTGTGGTCGGGTTAATATAATGATGACGTAATACAACTTCTTCGGCGATCGTTATCCCACACATTCGGTTGCCATGGCTGGGTTGTCCAAATATGGGAGCATGCTTTGCGCGTGGTAAGCCTTCCCCGACTTCCTTATTTCAAACGAAACATTCATGGTAGGCAAACGTGTTTGTTTTACTAAGACCGCATGTTTGGATTCCGGCGACTTGGTGACAAATGCTTCTTACAGGCTTCCTAATTGTCATAGCAGCTATGACTGTTTTTCTGACTCCAACAGTTCCGACACAGATCGAGTCTTTGGATACAGCTCAACGCATTGGATGGTCACAATGCTCGGTGGCATGGATCAGTGCCATTATGATCTCATGCATTCCACCCAAGCCATCGGTAATGCCAAGATTCAACGGTAAGTCAGCCTGCGAATATTCAAATCCGGGCGTAGTAGGAACTCCCACGCAGGATATAAATCGGCGGAGGTGCGTCCTACCTTGGATATATTCTTGAAGATATCATTGCCCTTGACATGGTCCACAGACATGACATTGCAGCAACAGCTGCTTCATCAGCCATGGGATATGCAAATTCTGGATCATTTTCTGACATTGATATCTCAGAGGAGAGCTTAGTAGGACCATTTAACCTTACAGATGAAGATTCACAGCCAGATGCAGGTGAATCGCAGATAACTCGGATAGAACTAACTAGCTCTAGAGAAACACATGATATCACTGGGCCATCGGATCCTTGTGACTGATTGTGGCATGATCCCGTGGATGCTGAAGATGTGGCTTCGGGCATTTCTGTGAGTGAAAAAGAAAGAAGGTACAACTGGGAGAAGCCCCTGTACAATGCCCAAATCCCGGAAGGGGAAGACAATCCGTACGCCTCTGGATGGGCAGTGCAGAAAGGATGAATGTGTTCTGACGGAACGGTGATGAGATGGAATGCTAAGTTATAGTATAGATGGGGGTTGCGGAAGGGGCGGGAAGTAAAGTCGAGCCATCCAAGGTGGGCCCATAAGATAGGGCGGGCGGGTGGGACATGACGGTCATCACCGGTAGTGACAGGCGGGCCATTATGTAGTTTATGGGAATGGAGTGAATTTGCCAAGATGGGCGGGTGGGCCAACATCATATAGTATAACAATGAATTGTTTGTCGACTGGGGTAATAGTCAATACAAGGGACCAGTGGGCCAGCGATGAAGGGCTTTTCAATTGTCTTTCCTATGTGTTTAAACCTTGTTTATGTCTTTACCACTACTATGTTCAAGCTTGTTGGATTTGTTTGTCTCCTACATTACCTAGTACTACGCACCATATCTTAACTTAGACTTGTATACTAGCTCTACCTTTGTTCCAGACCCAGACGGACGGACGGATCTGGAAATTCAAATTCCTATATGCCCTCCGGTGGGCAGGCTATTGTACCCGGTACAGGCGGATGGCCCAGATGTAGACCCAACCGATACCTAGGTCCTCATCGACGACAGTTGGGACCCGAATGATCATCCTATTCTGGCCTTCGGCTTGTGCCAACAGTTGGGACTGTGAGCATGGTTGGGAAAGGCCGATCCACCATTGCTTCTGGAAGATCCTGTATGGCTGTCTGGGTATCCAATGCACGACATAGCACCATTTATGGGTGAGAAGTGGATTAAGGCCTGTTGCGGTGCATCCAATATAAATCACACCACCTCTGATTGCGTCAACAGACTATCAAAAGCATTTGCTTCCGACCATTGCTGAAGAGCCGTGTCCACCGCAACAGGCCTTAATCCACTTCTCACCAATAAATGGTGCTATGTCGTGCATCGGATACCCGGAAAGGGGTAAATCGGTCGATGACAAATTTCCCAGGCACAGCGTATTCTCACAGAAAATTAATTTCCCAGTCACGGGGTGTGGCTGCGTGGCTTTCTAAGTTAGTGCGCTGTTGCTGCTGCAGTGAGCACTCACTGCAGTCACCGCTCGAGACACTATCACTCTTGTTCGTCAGATGTCTGGACCGCTCCACCTGAAACTCAACTGCATTGTCTTGGGCGATGATCCTCGCCATATTTTCCCAGTCAACATTGAGCGGACGAAGACTGTTGGTGACCTCAGAGAGGTCATCAAAGACAAGACAAAGCGGCAATTTGACGATGTTGACGCTCACTGTCTTGAGCTATGGAAGGTGAGTGATCTGATGCCTATGATCGGATGTTGATAATCTGATATTCTGGAAGGTCGACCTGCCCGTCAACGAGACAATTGAGCACAATCTCAACAATCTTACACTTGACCCAATGAAATCCCTATCACCTGTGGATGAAATGGTCAAGATTTTTCCCAATGCTCCTCCGCACAAGTATCTGCATATTATTATCCAATACCCGCCTGCCGGTGAGTTGTCTTTCAATATTACCACCCTTTCCTCCTTCTGATAGTGGTATGACTTAGTGTCTTCCGGACCGCTCCACCTGAAACTCAACTGCATTGTCTTGGGCGATGATCCTCACTGTATTTTCCCAGTCGACGTTGAGTGGACGAAGACCATTGGTGACCTCAGAAATGTTATCAAGGACGCGAAGAAGCCAGAGTTTGACCATGTTGCCGCTGACCGTCTTGAGCTATGGAAGGTAAGTGATCTGATGCCTATGATCGGATGTTGATAATCTGATATTTTGGAAGGTCAAGATCAACTTGAATGATACACACTTCTGCAACGTGATCATAGATGAAGGCATCGAGCTGCACCCGTTAACCGAGCTGTCCGATGTGTTTGCAGATGGAATAGAGCGCGGATGTATTCATATCGTCGTATGACATCCTGCTGTTGCACGACACATTCCAGCTGTTGATCGACGAATCGCTTATCTCAAGAAGGGCGTGGGTACTCTGTCAGCTGGTGCAACACCATCCGCATTCTCTACAAAGCAGGACCAGCAAGAGTACCTTTGCAATCGTCCTCACAGAGCCGCAGACCCTCTTCTGGTTACTCTTCTTGAGCCTATCTTCACCGAGTTCGTGGACAATTGTCAAAATCATCAACCGACTGTCCGAGACAACGACTTTGTTTTGCAACTTTCGGAAAAGATGGCCTCCTTCTATCCCAATGAGCTCACGCGGATGAATACATTCCGGCAAGTGCTCTGCGACTACAGTATTATACTCAATGCTTCTATGGTTGGCTTGACAGGATGTACGACGGACAGACATCTTTTGTCTACCAACAGAAAGTTTGTGCAGGTGATAATTGAGGGGAAGAACAAGATTGGAAGTGGCACTGCCAAACCATTTGTGGAGGCGATGTTGTACTACCACAAGTTTATGGAAGACTCAAAGATTGAGATAGCAAGGCTCAGGTCTTTCATTCCATGCATCCATGTCATTGTCTTCGGTTAGTTCATTTGACCAGATTAATAAAGCCCTATATTGATCAAAACTAGGGGCATGCATCGGCTTTGCAGGCTCTGTTTTCACAGAAAAGGTCCAGTCCAATGTCCTGGTCCCTATCATTCCTCTGTTTTGGCATTCAACAGACCTCCGTATGCAAGCGATGGCGGCTCGTACTTTCGGGGCTCTCAAAATTGCCGTCGACAAACTTACAAATCTGTACTCCTGTCCAATCCTGTCCCTTGAACCCGAAGATCCATATCTAAAATGTCCTTACCCTCGGAGTTATACCGATTCAACCGGTTACATCCAGGAATTCTCGTATGATGAGACTCAAATCCTCCAGGATCAACTTATCTTCTTTGGGGAAACCGTCGGTGATGTGGCCGGGAGCAAGATATGCATCAAGTTCGTTAGGCACTATTCCCCTCAGGCCCACAAATTCTGTGCCAGCAAGGGGAACACTCCCAAACTTATCGCCTACAATTCTTTACCCAGTGGCTGGAATATGGTGATTATGGATGCCCTTGATATTGATAATGATTGCTTTCCGCAATGACCTGGCTCATATTGACTGCTCAGTGAGATAGGTGTTTTGGACCGTCAGCCGCTGAAGGATGCCATCACCTCTCTCATCCGGGAGTTACACGATCACAATGACGGCTACGTTCATGGCGACCTTCGAGATACCAATTTCGTCGTGCGAGACGACAAACACTTCATGCTGCTCGATTTCGATTGGGCTGGACCGATCTGGAAGACCCATTATCCTATGTATGTCAATCAGAAGGATATTCGACGTCCTGACGGTGCGTCAGATGGGCAGAAGATTGTGGCGGAGCATGACTTGGATATGCTGAATTATCTATTTCATCCTGAGCAAGATGACAGTCGGGAGCCAGCTGCAAAGCACCGCCATATATTTGGTGAAGGGTCGCTAATGGCCATTTGATTCATTTATCATTTGTTGTATCACCAACAGTCCACTTTGCTTAATACCAGTCTGTTTTGTTTTTCATAAAGCTATCATACAATGACTTAGGGAGAATGGCAACATAGATTAGTATCTGTTGTATTGTAGCTAGCCAATTCGATTATTACCGATGCGCGTGCCATGCATGAAATTGGACATACCCTGCATTGTCCTTCCGGACAAAAAGTTCGGATACACGCGACTTGCATATGGTTATCAAACTGCATCGCAGTCTTCGGAAGCTGACTGAATGCATGTCCATAGTTTCAGATGAGTCACTCGTATGAATCCGGTGCGATGTATTATAGATATTTGGCATGCTACAGCTTTCGGATGATGTCCGCAAGCAATGACCATCACATGTGCATTGTCTTCACATACGCTTTGGGATGCAAATTATGATCATATGAAGATCACCTGTGCAATCAACTGCATCGGTGTCAGGAAGAGAATGCAAGCGAAGGCGGCCGCGGCCGCATCAAAGCCATCCGGAACACGCATTCAGAAGTTTTGCGCGATCTCCAAGACCCCAGCTAGGAGAACACTTGCCCAATCCCCTTGGGTTGAACCCAACATAGTCAGAGGTGAGTTTTCCGTCACATCGGAAGCACTCATGACGGGATCTCAATGACTCTTAGAAGAGAAGCAACAGCCTGGTCCGGCGGCTGGTGCGCCCATGCACACAGTCCCAACCGTTGGCACAAGCTGACGGCCAGAACAGGATGATCAACCTGCGCCGACCAACAATGCCGATCCAGAGCCAACTGCAAGAGACATCTTGAGGGCATTCAGGACCAGCTTTCCGGATATGTCTGGACATCAATGTAAATGTTGGTGCTCTGGCCGGTAGAACATCCTGTTGTAGTGAACTGGCAAATGCAGCCGGAGGATTGTCTACCGAATGTGTCATGAAAGTCAAATAAAAGTTATATGTAAGTGAGAAATTGGGTCAGGAAAACAAAGACAATGCTATAACATTGCATGAAGTATCATTATGTCCATCTGCATATAACGAAGACCTATTTCTGGGATATGACCGATGGTGCATTTGAGAATCAAGAAGATGTGATGCAAAATGTCACATAGCCATATTGTCCGTAAGGCGACATCAACCGAAAATGAACTACAATGTGCGGTACTGAATGAAATCTGCCTGATTGTATTGGGCTAGGTGGTATATCGCAAAGTCCGCGAGATTGTATTTTGCATACTCTGTATGCGGGGTCCGAGCTTAATTATGCACACTATCGCGCATAAACCAAGCCCAGATGATTCTGTCTCCCTCGGCCACCTGAACGCCATGCCTCACGAGCCAGCCGGAATAGCCAACCATAACTCTCGGATCATAAGCCAGCTCAATGCCCAAGTTGGTCAATTGCATTATGCCATGGCCATAGCCGCCTATGCAAGTAAGGATATCAAAGCCTTCCGGGGGGCATTTCGGATCTCGATGGCTCGGCGACTTCCTGTTACACATTATTGCCACGCCCATATAGATGGATGTCCAGTGTTGAAGGAACTTGCACATATCATCCAGTCCTTGCTTGGCCGCCCAATGCCCAAGCTCTACATGAGTGGACATAGATGCGCGGTATAACTGCGGGTGCATTACGTGAAGGGTGGCTGAAGATACAAGACCCGGACGTTGCATGTCTCTGATGACCGACAGGCTCCTATCGCCCTTCAAGGTAGCGGAGACTTTGGGCATAAAGCCATCTTCTGGGTTCACAGGCGGGGGGCCATGACACTGTTTGATGTTAGACATTTCCTTAGTACAGAAAATTCAAACAGACCTCATGTCCCTGTTGAAACCAGCAAGGCAATATATTGATGCACCCGGGCTTTAACTGCGGCTCTTGGTAGGCATAAAAATTGGTTGCGTGGGTTCTCCATTTACTTGCCTGTCCTGTGGACGTCTTCTCACTGGTGATGCTCTGTTTCAATAGATTGCCCATCCTGATTGTGGCGGTGTACATATCATGCTACCTCCTCTCAATTAGCATTATACAGTTTTAGTGCAATCCCGCACCGACCTGCAAAGACCAGTTAAGCGCACCCGGAAGGTACCAGAGTATTATCTGGTAGCTGGCATCGATCACAACCAACGGGCGATCCAATACCAGGCGCTCAGTGGGGGGGAACTTCGCCAACAATGCTTCTTCGTGAGAATCATTCAGTCCCGACTCCCGTTTGGCCAATGCCTCGTTGTACCGGATAACGTTGATATCTAGTTTTACTACAAACATTACAATGGGCTGACACTAAACATGTATGGTTCAACCTACTGGGGTGTTGATAGGCCTCTGCCAGCACCGAGGCTAACTGTCCGCAAGCAACCATAGTTTCCGGGTCAAGTTTGGGCGGCGCAGGCACTAGCGGTCTGCCTGCAATATGAGCTGCAAACTGTTGCTCGACCCATTCACTTGCTATATCGGTGACATTAAGGGCCCAATCCCAGGGGATGAACGATGTTGGATGACAGGCGAGGTCAAGGGCACCAAGCTGTTCATGGTAGGATTCCCAGTACTTATGCGATATCATTATGCAAAGGGAGAGGCGCAGGCCTTGTTCAAGAAAATGTGCATCTTAAATACAATTTGCCATGCGGCAGCCATCTTCATGATGTAACAAAGCGAGCCGAGATGCGACTTTATGAACGTAATTCATCAAACCCACGCATGTCTCATATAACCGGATGGGATTATGGTCGATGAGACATTCACTTATGGAAGAGAAACTACACTAAAATAAGCTAATGGAGAAGCTGTTCCTGGACGACTGTAAATAACATCAACACAGAAGTGATTGTACACGGGGAAAGGGTTCGACGGATGAAGGTGCTCCCAACCTTCCAGTCTCGTAATGTCCTTGCAACATTGCAACTGCCGCGTGGGAGGCTTCCATTGCCTCACGAAGCTCATCTATAGGATCCTCTAGACGATTGAATGCAGCCACAGCCTCGCTCATGGCATCCAGCTTAGCAACAAGGAGTTGGCTGAGTTCCATACCAAGATGGGAAACTTCAGCCCGGAGAACTTGCAGCTGTTGCAGGAGCGGATCATCACTGCGGGTGTTTGTAATTGGTCTTGGCACCATACTGGCCATTTTAGGCTAATGCGTGTATGTGGTAAGAAATACTGATGACATCATAATCTAAAAATAATCACTCACCCGCTGAGCAAAATGGCTGGTCACCAGCTCCTTCACTTGTGCAACTGACATCCAAAGAGGCATGTTAAACGGTGCAAGGTCGAACCTGTACTTCCACCAAGCGTGGCGATAGTCGGGGATCACCCGATTGATGTCAATCGGATGGGTCCCAGACTCATGCGGGCATGCCTTGAATGTGGTGAAGAGTTTCCCGTGATCATATGGCTCGGTCTGGAACAATGTGATAAGAAAGATGACCTCGTTCAGATATACCGGCAGTGTTGTGTTGATGTTCATGGCAGCGCAGATGTTGACGAAGGGAAATACAAAGCGCTATCGGTGCCTATCAGTAAATCTCTCCGGGGACAATTGCATAAACTTACCTCCGCTTCCCAGACTATGTGTCTCACGAAAGTGTGCTGATACGAGTTGGAGTGGTTGTTCTTATCTTTCATTATTGTCATATGTATTGCGGTAAATCTGGAAGTGGCATATTCGAATATTTCTGCTGCATCCCAGATAGAAAATCTACTGGCAGCAGACTTATGGAGCATTTGGTAATTATCAGTCATGATGGGTTGTGGTGAGGTGATAGATAAAGTCAGCTCGGACAGTGTTGAATTATATGGTTGGAGCTTCAAAAGTGTTATTGTGGTGATTTACAATAACAAGCTCAATCCAGTAATGTGGCCACAAGTAATCGTAAGCTGTTACCCAATTCTCAATGCTAAATATCCCAAACAATGTCACCGAATAGCTTGTGGGGATTGTGGATCACAAATGTGGTAAACAGACTGTATTGCTTTGTTTAATTTTAATTTTATAAATCAATGAATGTCATGTGCTCGGACATAAAAAAAATTGACCGGAGGGTTGGACTTCAGCTCACAAAGCTTGGGTGGGCATGCGAGGCATGTTCTTGGTAAATGTATCCGTGTCGAAGTTTGTGACCGGTAAGAGTGCTTCCGCCACATGATGTCTTCGTGCGCGGCCAATGAACCGCATAAACTGCATTCTCCAAAAATTGACTCGGAATGCAACTCAGATTTTCATGTCAAGATACCGGAACCACGGTAGCGTCGAATTTCACTGCCCACAGGAATTCTGGTCAGCCACAGAGGCGGTTGCCATCAGATGGCTGTTCTCCATCCGGAGATGAGTAGGTCATGAGTTTCCAGGTTTCCTGGATGTGTCCGACACTTCAAACACATTATTCTGTGAAGTGACACAATAGTCGGTTATGACTGAGCCCAAGAAGCAACCATTGACTGCAATGCACATGGATTTAAGCTCAGAAGCAAGGACGGATCCACATAGTTAGTAGTCTTTCAGGTAAGCAAGCAAGTATTGTATTCGGGTCACAGGATGGCTTGGGAATTTGGATGCAGGAACACAAGCCTGTGGCTGGTATACTACATAGCTGCCTGTAAGCATGCTGGCTTACCCGAGTTCTCATAATCAGTACATATACCGTCGCTGATACTGAAACATAAGCTTTCAGTATTTCACCTTTTGGTGTAACGGTTTGCGTGGCGGCGGTCTGACCATGTTACACTGCCGCCTCCATACAACTACATATTATGTCTTCCCTGCTGGCATGGCTGGGTCATCAAAACTCACTTCCGAATGCACCCTCCGGGTATGATGCGAGATGATATCGGATAAATATGCACAGGTGCCATCCGGCAAGTATCACGGTCATTTGCGCTCATTGTGCAGCTTACGCCCTCATCAACTGTAGTCTCGCTGCACTTGCCGGTAGAACTGATGTAAATACGATTTTTGTCAGATACTTTCAGTCAAAATAAAGTGGTGCCATTATATAACACAGATTTACATGTCAGAGGGATGCACCATATGGATGGCGAGTTGATTAATACCGACCCGCAACCATCATCAGAGGTGCATCGCGATATTCAAAAAAAACATTACCAAACATCGGATTGACATGAAGGAAAGTGCAGCTGCATTATATACATAATGTCCGTGGACTTAATAAATTGAACCCGGATACACAAGCAGCACCAGGCTGAACATGCAATAATATAATAGTACAAAGTCCTCCGGAGTATCTATAGTACATGAGGGAGTCCATCGGATGCATTCTATGTAGCTAGTCGGTATTTGTAAGTCATACTGAAAATTTCTATCTATCCTAAAGATTCCAAAGATTTCCACCGGGCATCAGATGCGTTTAGCCGTTGCTCTAATGCATCCAACCGTTTAAGCAGGTTTGTCTCCATTGAACCCACTCTGACCTCCAAAGCGTCCACCCGCTCATTGGCAGCGAGGAGATCTAATCTCCTACCGAGGTCCTGGATGCCCTGTAAGATTTCTCTTGCAGTGGGCTCTGGTTCCGGCAGGTTGGTGGGCGCAAGTGATTGCGCATCTTCCGGTTGCATGTGAGCCTGACCCGGAAGGATGTCCATCAACTTTTTCTCTTCCTCTGAGAATCTCCATGAGCTCAACTCTTTCCGAAGAGATGGGAAGACATACCTTCATGTTGAACTATGCTCCATTGCGAGCGAGAAAGACGCGTCACGCATGTGTTAGAGACAGCTCAGGATTTCGAAGCCTTTGGTTGTTTGGGCGGGTCAGAGGATGCTTTTGCTACCTTCGCTTGCAACCTCTGCCGGACACCAATGCTGTCGATTGCACAAGTTATCTTCATGCTGTCGCAATTTGCGCAGGCGAGGCGCATGTGTCCAAATTTCTTGTTGGGGAGGACAATGCAGGCAATGTCCAATTTGGCACATTTGTCGCACTGCCGGGGGTGATAGCGAATGGAATGCTTTAAATTTATCAGCTTGTGTTCAACACCATGCAGACAAGACATACCTTCCATGGAGTAGCGATATCATCATCCGAACCCCATTCCTTCTTGGAAATGGGTTTTGATGTGATCTTCCTTTTCTTTACCGGCTCTTCAGACGCAGAAGGCAATTCGGTCTTGGCTACCGCAACAGCGGCATCCATATCTTCTGCAGCCTTCCTCTTCTTAGTTCTGGCCACGAAGAGGTTGTATTTTGCCAGCGGATCGGCGGGAGTGTGGATTGGAACAGGAGGGTCCTCGGCCTTTTCCTTCCGAAGGTCCGATGATCCTTTCAGTTCCTGTTCTGGCCCAGGAAGGATATCCGACGCTGTGAGGGATGGCTTGGATGGCGAGCCCAATTGTGCCGATGGTGGGACGATGGCGGTTGCCATTGCGAGGACAGTAGGGGGATTGGCGGTTGCTGTGGTGGCAATGACAAGATCATTGAATGAGGAAGGTGTGAGATAATCCACGGTCTTGTCGAAGCGCAGGTGGCTCTTGATGCGCGGGTTGTCGTTTGTAATGGAGGTCCAGTCGGGGACACTCTCGAAGGCGCCACCCCTTGAGTTCTCTCTCACAACAGCAGCAAAAGAAAGCAGCTGCAGTGAGAATGATGTGGCGTCCCCACCATACAATTTCAAGTCCTTGGCCTGTGTTAAATGTATGAGTTTCATGTAGACAAAAATAAGGGCAAGATCAGACAGACTTACCACATGCTGGGCAATCTCATCTGATAACCTCAAGGCCTTGGGATCGCCCTCTTGATGCAACGCTTCATGAGCGATTGCAGGGCGGCCAATGTAATGTTTAAGGTGTGGTTAGCTTGCTCAGAAGGTACGGTCATGATTGTTTCTGGAAGCAAAGATATGGTAGTGATGAATGTAATGAATGCGGTGAATATGGAAAGCTAACTTTGTGAAATTCTGACAAGTCTGGATTTACATGGATGTGGTTGTGGGTATTTCTTGAAATATGTGGTTTGTGGATGCAAAAATGTGGACCGGGAGTAACAGTATTGTGTCCAAGAGCGGTTCCACAATTGTTCCAGGCATTTGTGGCCAAGAATCCATACACCAACAGTTGGGATGGACTACTTGCAATACACCACTGGCAACAATAATAGCACATGGAACTGAGGTAACAGCAGTTTATCTACAAGTGGTTCGATTGTTGTCCTATGCGCCTTTCAACCGAATGAACATGCGCCCATATGAATTCATCTATCTGACTTTGCAATTTTGTCCGGCATTTGCAAATATTCAAGGTTTGATTCTCCGTGGGGTGTATTCCCATTTTTCTGATACCCATACCAAGTGTTATCCGCATCTCTTAGATGGTAACACCCGCTGTAATCTATGTAACAGCACCGCGCGATGTATTCCCTCCCAAACAGCCAGCTCTGATTGCCTCTGCATGAATGCTACGGAAGCTGAATATGTATAGTCCGGTGGATTGTTTAGGTAGCAGAGACTTTTCCTTCCATAACTGTGCCTCCAGCATATCCATGGCAGATTGACTGGCGACTCAACATAAGTTAGCTCTTCTGTCATGTACTGTCCTTCACTTGACCAACTCTGAATCATCGACCTCTTTCAGTTTGTGAAAGACCATGATATGTAGACATCTCCCTTGTAGAGGGACCGATACCGATATGATATTTGGAGGCGCCTGCAATGTCTTGGTGATTTCTCCTTGGATTACAGCTGCCTCCGGGATAGAGCTTGATGCCTACCGAACATGCACATGCCGGAGGCCGATTCATAAGACGGTTGAAGTACAGGCTCGTGGCCACATGAAGCCAAAAATGCTTATATATCTGACTTCCGGCACTTGCATCTAGTTTGTAGATCCGGACCCCATTTGTAGGGTAATACTGCTACTAGGCCATCCTTCACATGAATTGATTATCCACTTCCGCACCATTCCCGAATTTCACTGTTGTCTTATTACTCTTGCTGATGACCCTCCTGAATATGTGCGATCATGGCATCCAGCGGTTCCATCAAGCATCGCTGGAAGCCCAGCAGACTGCATTTGAACTTCACATAGTTACATCACCCTGTCTCACCTTTCCTCATATGAACAGAACAGCTTCCAGTTGACCATACATGCAGGTGCTGCCACGCCGGAAAGTGTTATTTAGCATTACCGGCATCGGTCATCAATTGCAAGATCTATTTACGGCAAGACCCGGATCCACCCACCAATCCAGATCGCTTGGACTACCTGCATATGTTTTGCCAATATAGTCTCGAGACCCATTACAACCGATTTCCTTCGGTTCCGATAGCTTGTATCCGGGTATTACAGCCCGTCAGTTGGTGTGTAAGATATCTGATCCCATGGTCTTGGACCGTCAGCCGGGCCTGGGCGCCACAGCCTACTGATCATAATAAAGGATGCACCTGTCAGCCAGTCTCGGATACAACGACGCGCCTTGGGGACATTTTGGATTGTTAGGTCCACATCTGGGCCCATCCACCGGAACCGGCGTGTAACGACCTGCGCGCATCGTTGGCAGCAATGCAGTTGGGTTCTGAGCCCATCAGTGGGTCTCGGATATGAAGGCCCAACCGTCGTCGATGTCCTCATCAACAATGGTTGGGTCTACATCTGGGCCATCCGCCGATACCAGGTACAATAGCCTGCCCACCATTGGCTGGGATGAGGTTCAGTTCTCTGGGCCCATCCACCGGCCCCAGGTACGATGGATCGATCATCGCTGGCGAGGACCTAGGGATAATCGGGTCCATATCTGGGTCCATCCGCCTGTACCGTGCATGACAGGCGGTCATTCCCCATCCAAGAATACTTCTGGGCCCAGCTGCTGGTACTGGGCATGCAGTTCTGGGGTCCACCCAGCCCTTCCATGGCTGGCCCACCGGTCCCTTGTATTGACTACTACCCCAGTCGACAAACAATTCATTGTTATACTATATGATGTTGGCCTGCCCGCCTACCTAGACAAATTTACTCCATTCCCATAAACCAATGGCCCACCCGTCACTGCCGGTGATTGCCGTCATGGCAGGCCCGCCCGCCCTATCTGCATATGGGCCCACCTTGGATGGCTCAACTTTACTTCCTGCCCCTTCCGCAACCCCCATCTATACTATAACTTAGCATTCCATCTCATCGCTGTTCCATCACAACAAATCCATCCTTTCTGCACTGACACCCCCGCGCATTTTTGCAATATACTTTAGTTCTTACACGATTGTAATGGTTACTTCATATCAATCCCACTAGCACCCGAACGCCCAGCTCCCGACATGGCTCTGTTGATGAAGACCCGGGTATCTCAACCAGTACCATGGAATATGTCGGCTCTGACGGGTGTGGAAGTTGGGATCAGTAATCTGCACCAGCTGCTCAGAGTGCGGACGCTCCGGCCACTCCCATTCGGCGGACCGATTTGATCGCATCTTATCTGCCATGTCGGATAAGTTGATCTTAGTTGTGCCCGAATGATACCGGATCTCTGTTGTGGTATAAATTTAGTAGCTGAACCAACCGACTGCACATGCAAGTTCAATACAAAGTGATGTTGTGTCGGCCAGAGTGCCCAAACTAGCATTGACGTCTGTATCTGGAAGATCCGCCATCAAGGACCGGATGTGAACGTAATATATTGCACACACAAGGGAATGAAACTGTTCAGATGTGCTATATGTTCTGAGACGCCATACCGATGCGAATCAGGTATGCACACCATTGGTCTGGTGCCGTCCGCCGGCCTCAGGCGCCAGCCTACCCATCATTAACGGAGGACATGCCTGTCAGCCAGTCTCAGATACAAAGTTGGTGAGGACCTTTGAGGATTGTCAGGTCCACATCTGGGCCCATCCGCCAGTATGCCAGTACCGGGTACAACTGCCTGCCCATTATTGGCGGGCCTATCTGCAGGTCTCGGGCATGACGGCCCAACCATCATTGATGAGGACCTAGGTATTAGTCGGGTCTACACCTGCCGGTACAACAGCATCATTGGTGGGCCCATCCACCGGTCTCGGGTACGACAGCCCAACCATCATTGATGAGGACCTAGGAATGGTTGGGTCCATATCTGGGCCCATCCGCCTGTACCGGGTATGATGGGCTGTCATTCCCTGTGTCCAAGAATACTTTTGAGCCCAGCCGGTACCCCAGCAGCACACATCCTGGCCCAACGTATAAATGCATGCTTCTTCTGTATCCCTCCTGGTCCTTCCATGGCTGGCCCACTGGTCTATTGACTATTACCCCAGCCTACAAATAATTCATAATTATGCTGTATCATGTTGGCCCACCTGTCACCACCAAGGATTGCCTTCATGGCTGGCCCACCCGCCCTATCTGCATATGGGCCGACCTAGGATGGCCCGTCTAACTGGGGAGATTTTCAACCTTTGGCTGTCCGTCTAAATCAGAAATAAAGTACTGAATTATGTGCATTGTCAAGCTGGGCTATCCATCTGAGACGGGTATAAGTTACTGTATTATGTGACCCGCACGGGTTACCCATACCCGTGCATATCCCTAAGAATAAGTAATTCACTATTGAAATATAATGCTTTGTCTGATGTTGATTGGAAATCCGAGTCCGTCAGTGTTTGTTTCATGATTGGCCATTCAGATTATGCAGGTGTCAGTAGAGCAGGTGGAATTTGTAGAACTACATCGTGCTACATACAGGTGCGCTATGTCAAATATATTTTGTCACTCTCATGTTACATGGTATGTCGTAGCGCTCTGTAGAGGCCTCGGGAGCTACTAGCATTGCTCCACAGATTGGGGGGATGACGACAGGGCTACAGAGCCCTATATTCTCATCTAGATTTTCCTGATGTAAGCTTGCAGCATGTTGTCTCGATCGTGCAAAGCAACTCACATGTCGGCCAATTGATGCAGAACCATAAGTGTTGCTGTCAGAACATAGATGATCAAGCATGCTCGTAGTGCATCTGTTCTGTCACTATTATTGAGCATTTGAACATAGTCAGTAGGGAGTCGCTCTTTAATTAAATCACGTGCAAATCAATCCAACACATTGAGGGAAGTGTCATGAAAGGCTTGGATGATGGAGGATTGGTCCATTGATTTTGCAAGTGTAGGTTGCATCAATAATGAAAATTATTTTGTTTATTTTGTATTCTATGCTACAGCTTGAAAAAACCTGGTTTTTTCATTCGCTAAAGGTCACGTTATCCTGCGAATCCGCTCGACATCCAAATTCAAACCCAGTTTTACCAGTCCGTCTATCGATGGCTTGCCTCATAGGTTAGGACTGGTCACGAGTCTAAGCGGCGATACCGACGTTTTATCCTTACACCCGAAAAGTTCTTCCTCACCGTGACAGCGTGGCAGTATCTGTCTGTGCCACCGTGGTTCGCTGATCCTCGGACACCCCAAGGTTTGTTTCTGTAATGCGCTATCGATGATTCCAGTCAACCTTTTGGAAGGAGTCAATAACAGAATATCATGACAGTGGGTGTTTTTGCTCGCATCCCAGCGCTCCTTGTATAACTGATGCTGCCAATACTCTCAGGTTTGTATTGGTATTTTCAGGTCTCGGCCGGGGTGCATCTTTATGACAGGAACGGTATCTGTCTTCCCAAGTTCTGATTTCAGTCGATGCGGTTTAGCTATATTTGTATCGGCGCAGGGAACTTCTTTGCATCTTCCCATATCAAAGAGTTACCGTATCTGTCGGCTGCGTTCCGTTCGCATCGTTTTCAATAGGACTGGATTTTCCTACTCTTCGCCATAAGTCCGCTCTGTTTTTCGAAAAAAAGCTAGGTTGGCTCATAATGATGTGGGCTGCGGCTACGATAAAGATATGGTCAGCTATATCATTGGCCACGGTAAACTTTTCGACTTTGTACGTCGCAATCACATGACCCAGAAACACCGCGACACTATGTTACTATGTAGGTGCAACGAACCAGCCTAGAATCTCGCGCACGTCATACCATCTTATTTAGGGAGACGATTCGTGATCCATATTATTAGCCTGGAACGTGCATGATACACATTGATGACTGTGACTGTTTTTGCAGGTGTACACAAAGATCTCCGCTTTTAAAACCTCTGGTTTCCAGAAAACTGCACTATACTTGAGCGCCTAACGCCACCGGACATCATCGTCGGCATCATACGACTCGGCCCGTGTTAAAGATGACACTCATAGCCAGTGCACAAGGCCATGAAGGAGTAAGCCAGTTGTGATTCAGGATTGCTACCGATGCTTCGCCTGACGGCAGTCGCGGAAATTCGACAAGATCTTGTCCGGTTTCCGCACATCATATGTTCGTTTATGGTATTTGTCTGGAGCCATCATCTTATCCCCAACTGTACAAGTGGAGTGATGCGTAATAGGATGTGACAGTACCCGTCTCTTCATGTGCGTAGGGAACCTTATTTAAACAACTTAAATGCACTTTCAATCAGGTCCATCCTAACTCCTCCAATCGACCATGCTACAGCTCCCTGACCTGCGCATTTCTGATAACACGTCGCTCACCCTCGATGTTGCGGCTTGTGTTGGAGTAATAGGAATGATTGTTTGGGTTTACCTTCGTAAATCACATAGCCGCCTTCCTCTTCCACCTTCTCCTCCAACTTCGAGACTTCAGGGACACCTCCTACCCCCTCGCGAGTGAAGTTTCATATCCACAACATCATGTTTATGATCTAATTGTATCACATTTCTGATCAGACCATCTCTTACTGTGGCGCGGTGGATTGACGAGTATGGCCCTCTGATTACTATCCGCTTAGGAATGCAGAACGTGGTGATTATCGGCCGCTACAAGGTTAGTCCTTTTATGATAAGTTAACGTCTCCAGACTCAACACTCCCTGACAGGCCGCAATGGATATAATGGAGAAGCAGGGTAGAACGCTAGCTGATCGACCTCGCTTCGTTGCTGCTGGAGAAATTCTTTCACGCGGACTGAGCCTCGGTTTCTGTCGTATTGGGGACAGGCTCCGTCGACTGCGTAGGTTCGTCGTCTCGATACTGTAAAGGCTAAAACAGCTCTCATCTTACTTCTCGATGCGATGCAGAGTACTCCATACGCATCTCCAGCCCAAATCAGCCGAGACGTATCAACCCCTGCAGATGTCGCAAGCAAAAACCGTAATCCTCAATATTCTTGACGATCCAAGCAACTTTCAGAACCATGTGATAACGTAAGCGGTTTTCTACCTGTGGCGCCGGGGTCTCGTAGTATGTTACTTACGGGCTCTTGGAAGTTATGCCGCAGGGACGATCCTAAAAGTTGCATATGGGAAGACCTCGCTGACATCGGCAACTGACCCCGAAGTTAAGGAGGCTCGCTACATCATGTCCCGATTTCGTACAGTCCTGCCCCCAAGTGCTTACTTGGCAGACTCAATACCGTGGCTCAAATACCTTCCTTGGTATGCGCCAGAATTAAAAGACGGCTATAAGAGAGCCACGCGACTCTACACAGACCAGCTGAATCGTGTGAAACTGCAGATGGTACGCATTGCCTTGCCTATCTTTACGTGATGTCTGAGTTGTTCCACAGCAGAGGAATGAAGATATTGGACCTTCGTTTTCAAAATACCTTCTGGAAAATGGGCATCTCTACGACTTGACAGAGATGGAGATGGCGTATCTTGCTGGCTCCTTTTTTGGAACTGGAACCGAAACAGTAAGGCGTCTTTCTATGTTTTACGATTGTATACACTGAGGTGGGGCGACAGACTGCTACGGCGATATGCACGGTGCTAATGGCAGCTGCACATTTCCCTGAAGAGCAAGCTAAAGTGCAGGCCGAGCTTGATGCAGTCATCGGAAGGGGGCGAGGTAGCTTGATTGTGCACTGTAGTTCTGTCAAATCATTCATTTTTCGCCAAAGCACCAACCTTCGCCGATAAACCATCCCTTCCTCGTCTGGAGGCCTTCATCTCTGAGGCTTTGAGATGGAGACCGTTAGGTCCTTTTGGTGAGTTTCTGAATGGTCGGTCCTGTGCTGATGTTCATATAGTCCATCCCACAGGATTCCCTCACCGAACTATGGAAGACGTCATTTGGGCAAGTATTTTTGAACGATTCGTTGTGAGGATAATCTTACATCTGTCTGCAGGACAACTATTGCATTCCCGCTGGAACTACGGTAATCGGCAACCACTGGTAAGTCTGTGTCCTTCAAGGTATCACATATCGAATTGTCACCGCCTCAGGGCTATCTCTCGAGATCCAGAAGTCTATCCCGAGCCTGAAGCATTCAAGCCCCAACGCTGGATTAACGATCAAGGTCGGTTGAGAGATGATCTCGCATTCTTTGTGTATGGGTTTGGTCGGCGGTAAGCACTGTCTTGTGGGATGCACTTTCTTTAATCGTCCTTCCTTCCAGGGCATGCCCAGGTCAACACGTTGCGAACAGGTCATGATTCTCTCCACCTACATAATTTCCTGAATCTGATCTGAAATGTTACAGATCGGTGTTCATAAACTCGCTTCTTATTCTTTGGGCCTTTCAGCTGAGTCTGGATCCTACGAAGCCACAGGATGACATGGGGTTCTCAAACACGTTTATGCCAAACGTCCCATGCGCTATTGAATTTCAGGCGAGAGTTCCGGAAGTGGAGCTTAGGCGTATGATGCAGAATTAATCTGAGGCTGAGTGAGAAGCCTTTACGTCTGCGTAGGATTTCAATTTGTTAGAAAGAGGCTATGGAAACAGTATCAACGTCTGGAGAAGAATTGCTGGGGTATGAACAGACACAGGAACATCCCAAAAACCATCCGTACAGCGCCAACAAGTACGCCCCCAGTGCGGCGGTACCAACAGTGACTAACAGCCAGATTAATGTGTCAGCGATGTTGTGATAGTGCCATACTTTGCGCCATGCATATACGACACTATCATTCTTTGTTCGTTCGGCGACCTCTAAGTGATGATTTGAGGGTGAATACACTGGTATGGATTGTAGAAAGTATGTTCAGCATTGGTGAACAACTATATTGACATGCTCAATGTACCTGTAGACAGTACGCTAAGGTTATAAAACACCCTCTATTCTGAAGCTGAAAAGTAAAAAATCATGCAGTATAATCACGCAGGAGGACAACGTACCTCTATCGAACAAATGACATGGTTAGATCGCTTCTTGGTCAGCCTATAGAGGTCCATCGGGACTATCAGGCTTGTCAGGACCGCCAGAGTGAAGGCGCGTGTAATCAGGACCCCCGAAGCGTGTCTGGAAAGTTAGGCGTGCTAGGGCCGTTGGAGTCAAGCACCGTGCGCCTGTTTGGCAACTCAGGTTTGCTAGGGCCGTTGGAGTCCAGCACCGTATGCTTGCTTAGCAACTCCGGTTTGCTAGGACCGTTGAGGTCAAGCTCTCTGCGCTTGTCAGGCCCGTCAGGAGAGCTGGGAGAACCGGGAGAACTGAGAGTTGTAAGACCTGAGAGAGCAACATCATGTACAGCTGTGTTTTAGCACAAATCGGAGTTTGATTGAAAACATTGTGTATTAGCGAAATCCGACTGGTACGTGGCGAAGTGAATTGAAAACCCTGCCCAAGACAAACACGTATGGTACGAATCATGTGCAGTGCGTGGCGCGATGTACAAGGGTATCATAACGAAGACAAAGCAGCCTCCCGCTACCTACACGTGTCAAGACGTGCCATGCGCAAGACGACTCAAATCGAACTGCGAGGCACGATCGTGTATCACCAGCATGTTGCCTGGGACATACATCACTGGGTGGAAATTGTGTGGGATCCAGAGAAGAAGCTGTCCGTCAGGACCTACAACCCATCCATCCTCATTCGCGACAACAGAAACTGGGGCTGAGGAATCCTGGAGAAAGGAGGCAGACAGACGAGCGCAGGATGGGTTAGATGAAAAGCATATCGCAGGCGCTTTGGAAAGGTGGGATTTGTTAAGAAATTCTATATCCCATACACGGATGGTCTTATCTTCTGAACCAGATACAATGTGCTTGTCGTCGGGTGAGATTGCGACAGACAGTACGCTTCCAGTGTGCCCTTGGAAAGGGGCACCCACTGCCTCACCAGTCTTCATATCTCTTGTCATTTGAACCGGACACAATGTGGTGCCCATTTCGTAAGATCGTCACAGCGTAAACGGAGCCGGTGTGCCCTTGGAGAAGGGGACCTAATGCTTCGCCGCTCTCTATATCCCACGCCCGGACGGTTGTGTCACCTGAACCAGATACAATGTGTTTCCCTTCGTGTGAGATTGTAACACACAAAACATAGCCAGTGTGCCCTTGAAGAGGATCACCCACCACCTACATATCCCACATCCTGGTTGTCCTGTCATCTGAACCAGATACTATGCGATTTCCATCCAGCCAGATCGCGACGGACCGAACCAAGCCAGTGTGACCTTTGAGAGGAGTACCAAATGCCTTGCCGGTTACTACATCCACACCCTGATTATATTGTCCTGCGAACCTGAAACGATGCGATGTCCGTCCGAATCAGGGACGGAAGAGTTGGGCAAGTCGAATTCTCTAAGGAGCAGATATTGAAGCGAAGTCCGTCTTCCATGACCCGAAGCATCGTGAAGGCAAGATCTCTATGCACCGTTGATGCATCAACAAAGACAAAGAAGTCGTAGAATAACGCGTGAAGGGGATGTATGGGAGTATGGAAATCCGAAGTGCCCGGTCAAAAGGGATCCAAATGGCCCAAGAACCCGGTCCATGTCATAATCGCAAGTCCCTTCGGAAGAATGGAGTCGCATAGCCGTTAACGCAGGTATGGGAAGTGGTTCCAATGAGGCAAGGACTTGCCCCATCACTGAGCGATAGCTTCATTTCGTTCGTCCTCCGGCATGATTTCTCCCAAGATGCATGCATACATAATATCAACAGACGTGTTCCTTTTTCAGATGTCTCAGCAATCACAGCTTTGTAACGGTCCACCGGACGCACGCCCACTTTGTTCGTACCCTTGATGTACTCACAGGCCAGACGAGCCTATTCAAATAGACCATCGGATTTCAGAGCGAGCGCCTTGAAGTGCGCATCGTTGAATGTGTTGCGTGGGCCTTTCAGCATGTCAGAGATGTAAAGTTGGATGTCATGTTGTATGGATACGACCGGGATTTCATCCATGGAGATGTGGTGATGCAGCGGGGTTTTCAGAGTATCTGTAATGTCTAGCGCTTGGTCACCTTGCCAAAACGATTAAAAACTGATCCTGAATGTCTTTCATGAGACCCATTCCTCGAAGGCGAGAGAGCGGACGGCTGTAACGATTAGATATGATGTGAATGCTAACATGGAAGTTCATACATCGTTACTGGTTGTCGTCCTGCCTCTCTCCTCTATCACATGAGGGTCTGAATGACTTAGCTGTTGTAAGTGAGAAAGATAGGTGGATGTGCGTGTTTTGGTGCAATGAAAGTAAGAGGCGTGGTGGTGGCGAATAGGATCGACTGGCGTCTACATGTCTGTAACGAGGATTATTATCAATTATGAACGTGTGCCTTGGAAGCACCCATTATCAATTGGCAGCCTGAACTACGCGTCGTGATGAAGAGAGGAAGGCTGGATATGTGGTGCCGGTTCCTTCCGAGCGTTCAGGCCTCAGGCCTAGGAACTGGCACTTGGGAAATCTGGGATTTGTCCGCCGGAGTGTTGCGGGCTCTAGTGACTCATGCGCATATGCATGCATCGTCACGGCGAGCAGTGCTAGTGATTGATTGATCATGATATCTGCCAGGCTGCGATTGGATCCGTACATCTGCCTTACCTTACGTGTCAATATTAATTCAATCCTTACACCCCAAAAAAATTTGCTCGCAGCGTGGCAGTATATACTCCGTGGTTGGCTGATCCTCGGACACCCCAAGTTTTTTTTCTTTATTGCGCTATCAATGATTCATAAGCTTCGAAAACAGTCAACCTTTTGGAAGGAGTCACTGGCAACTGTTATTCTGTTGAACAGAATATGACAGTGGGTGTTTTGCTCGCCTTCCAGCGCTCTTTGTATAACTGATGCTGGCAAGACTCTCAGTTTGTATCGACCCTTTCAGGTCTCGCCCGGTGCATCTTTGTGGCAGAAACCGTATCTGCCTTCCCAATTCCTGATTTCAGTTCATATGGTTTAGCCATATCTGTATCGGCCCGGGAAACTTCTTTGCACCTTCCACATATCAAAGAGTTACCGTATCATACTATCGGCTGCGTTCCGTTCGCATCGTCGTCGATAGGTCTGGATTTTCCTACTCTTCGTCATAAGTTGCTCAACAAGTTATGTTGGCTCATAATGATGTGGGCTAGTTGACCCAGAAACACCGCGACACTCTGTAGGTGCAACGACCGGCCTTCTCGCGCACGTCATACCATCTTATTTAGGGAGACGACTCGTAATCCATATGATTAGCCTGGAACGTGCATACACATTGATGACTGTGAGTGTTTTTGCAGGTGTACACAGAGATCTCCGCTTTTGAAATGTCTGGTTTCCAGGCTCAGCAAACTGCACTATACCTGAGTGCCTAACACCACCGCACATCATCGTCGTCATCATATGACTCAGTGCACAAGGCCATGAAGGAGTAAGCCAATCGTGACTCATGATTGCTACCGATACTTCGCCCGACAGCAGTCGTGAAGATTCTTGTCCGGTTTCCGCACATCGTATGTCCGCTAATGGTATTTTTCCAGAGTCATCATTTTATCCCCAGCTGTGCAAGTGGAGGAATGCGTAATAGGATATGACAGTACCCGTCTCTTCATGTGCGTAGGGAACCTTATTTAAACAACTTAAATGCACTTTCAATCAGGTCCATCCTAACTCCTCCAATCGATCATGCTACAGCTCCCTGACCTGCGCATTTCTGATACCACGTCGCTCACCCTCGATGTTGCGGCTTGTGTTGGAGTAATAGGAACGATTGTTTGGGTTTACCTTCGTAAATCAGATAGCCGCCTTCCTCTCCCACCTTCTCCTCCAACGTGGAGACTTCGGGGACACCTCCTGCCCCCTCGCGAGTAAAGTTTCATATCTGCGACCTCATCTTTATGATCTAATTGTATCACGTTTGTGATCAGCTCATTTCTTACTGTGACGCGGTGGATTGACGAGTATGGCCCTCTGATTACTATCCGCTTAGGAATGCAGAACGTGGTGATTATCGGCCGCTACAAGGTTAGTCCCTTTATGACAAGTTAGTATCTCCAACCTTAACACTCCCTGACAGGCCGCAATGGATATAATGGAGAAGCAGGGTAGAACGCTAGCTGATCGACCTCGCCTCGTTGCTGCTGGAGAAATTCTTTCACGCGGACTGAGCCTCGGTTTCTGCGGTGTTGGGGACAGGCTGCGTCGGATGCGTAGGTTCGTCGTCGCGATACTGTAAAGTCTCAAACAGCTCTCATGTTGCGTCTCGATGCGATGCAGAGTACTCCATACGCATCTCCAGCCCAAATCAGCCGAGACGTATCAACCTCTGCAGATGTCGCAAGCGAGAACCCTAATCCTCAACATTCTCGACGATCCAAGCAACTTTCAGAACCATGTGGTAACGTAAGCGGTTTCCTACCTGTGGCGCCGGGGTCTCGTAGTATGTGACTTACGGGCTCTTGGAAGTTGTGCCGCAGGGACGATCCTGAAAGTTGCATATGGGAAGACCTCGTCGACATCTGCAACTGACCCCGAAGTTAAGGAGGCTCGCTACCTCATGTTCCGATTTCGTACAGTCCTGCGCCCCGGTGCTTACTTGGCAGACTCGATACCGTGGCTCAAATACCTTCCTTGGTATGCGCCAGAATTGAGAGATGATTATCAGAGGACCACGCGACTCCACACAGACCAGCTGAATCGTGTGAAACTGCAGATGGTACGCATTGCCTTGCCTATCTTGACATGTTGTCGAGTTGTTCCATAGCAGAGCAATGAGGATATTGGTCCTTCGTTTTCAAAATACATTCTAGAAAATGGGCATCTCTACGACTTGACAGAGATGGAGATGGCGTATCTTGCTGGTTCCTTTTTTGGAGCTGGGACCGAAACAGTATGTCGTCTTTCTGTTTTTACGATTGTATACACTGAGGCGGGGCGACAGACTGCTACGGCGATATGCACGGTGCTAATGGCAGCTGCACATTTCCCTGAAGAGCAAGCTAAAGTGCAGGCCGAGCTTGATGCAGTCATCGGAAGGGGGCGAGGTAGCTTGATTGTGCACTGTAGTTCGGTCAAATCATTCATTTTTCGCCAAAGCACCGACCTTCGCCGATAAACCATCCCTTCCTCGTCTCGCGGCCTTTATTTCTGAGGCTTTGAGATGGAGACCGCTGACTCCTTTGGGTCAGTTTCTGAATGGTTCGTCCAGTACTGAAGTTCACCCAGTCTATCCCACAGGATTTCCTCACCGAACTACTGAAGATGTCATTTGGGCAAGTGCTTTTGAATCATTTATCGTAAGAGGATAATCTTACATTCGTCGGCAGGAAAACTATTGCATTCCCGCTGGAACTACGGTGTTCGGCAACCACTGGTAAGTCTATGTCCTTCAGGGTATCATATCAAATTATCACCGCCTCAGGGCCATCTCTCGAGATCCAGAAGTCTATCCCGAGCCTGAAGCCTTCAAGCCCCAACGCTGGATTGACGATCAAGGTCGCTTGAGAGACGATCTCACATTCTTTGTATATGGATTTGGTCGGCGGTAAGCACTGTCTCGTGGGATGCACTTTCTTTGATCGTCCTTCCAGCGTATGCCCAGGCCTACACGTTGCGAACAGGTCACAATTGTTTCTACCCACACAAATTCTTGAATCTCATCTGAAATGTTACAGATCGTTGTTCATAAATTTGCTTCTTATTCTTTGGGCCTTTCAGCTCAGTCTGGATCCTACGAAGCCACAGGATGACATGGGGTTCGCGAGAACGTTTATGCCAAACGTCCCATGCGCTATTGAATTTCAGGCGAGGGTTCCAGAAGTAGAGCTTAGGCGTATGATGCAGAATTATCCTGGGACTGGGTGAGAAGCCTTGAGGTCTGGGTAGGATTTCAATTTGTTAGAAAGAGGCTATAGAAACAGTTCTCAGCGTCTGGACAAAAACCAACCGCACACCGCCAACAAAGTACGTCCCAAAGTGCGCCAGCACGACGGTGCAGATTTTGAATTAATGTGTGACAGCGATGTTGTGATAGTGCCTTACTTTGCTCCATGCATATACGACACTGTCATTCTTTGTTCGTTCGACGACCTCTAAGTGATGATTTGAGGGTGAATGCACCGGTATGGATTGTAGAAAGTACGCTCAGCGTTGATGAACAACAACTATATTGACATGCCCAATGTAGTAGAAAGTACGCTAAGGTTATATAACACCCTCTATTCTGAAGCTGACAAGTAAAAAGTCATGCAGGATAATAAGGCAGAAAGAGAAGAGCGTACCTCTATCGGACAAATTACATGGTTAGATCGCTTCTTGGTCAGCCTATAGAGGCCCATCGGGACTTATCAGGCTTGTCGGGACCGCCAGAGTGAATGGTGCGTGTGATCGTGACCCCGGAAGCGTTTGTCTGGAAAGTTAGGCGTGCTGGGGCTGTTGGAGTCAAGCACCGTGCGCCTGTTGGACAACTCAGGTTTGTTAGGGCCGTTAGAGTCGAACTCTGCGCGCTTGCTTGGCAACTCAGGTTTGCTAGGGCTGTTGGAGTCCACACCGTGTGCTTGTCTAGTAACACCGGTTTGCTAGGACCGTTGGAGTCAAGCTCTCTGCGCTTGTCAGGTCCGTCAGGAGAGCTGGCAGAGCTGAGAGAGCTGAGAGAGTTGGAAGAATTGAGAGAGTCGGGAGAGCTGAGGGAGCTTAGGTGGCTGATGTCTCTAGTGAACGGCGCATCGGGCGTCGGAGAGCCGTTGGAATCCAGCTCTACGCGCTTGTCAAGTGAGTCCCCGTCGCGCGAGTCGGGCGTGCTAGGAGAACCGGGAGAGCCAGGCCGGCGTCCCTAGTGTTAGGCGCACTAGGTGTGCCAGGAACGTTGGAGTGATGCTCCTCGCATTTGCTAGACCGGGAGAACTGGGAAAGCTAAGAGAGTTGGAACACCCGAGAGAGTCGAGAGAGAGCTTAGGTGGCACGGCGCATCAGGCCTATGAGTTGCTCTCGACCATCGTGGGCTGCAAAGTGCGCACTGACTCGGCATTTCACTCACGAATTGGATGAGGATCGCGGTCCAGACATCGTCCGGGCGGAGGATGAGCGCACGATGGTTATTGTGTGCCTCAAACACCGTATGCACGAATCCGTTGGGCTTTGGCGTGATGCCACGCACCGCATCGAGGTTGGTGTGGAGGGACGTGCGTAGAAGGTGAAGACAACGCATGAATTGTTCAGGAGATATCTTTTCGAGGACGGTGTGGTAGAGGTTTGGTGGAGTGGGATCTGGAGACGGTAGTCTTCTGTGAAAAGACTCAGCAGGATGCGTGGCTGGGCAGAACGAAGTCGCGCCAAAAGGAATGTGTTGTTGAATCTAAGAATAAGGTTGGCGCTTGGCATCATTCAGCATTAGGAATGACATGAACATACTATGGAGAGCGGGGACAGAAAGTCAAATGAAGCTGTTGAACTAGCCATGGAAGATATCAGGAGAATTTATGTGGAAACATGGGGTGTGTAGGGGATGCAGTCGTGATGGCCCTGCGAGGTCGTTTCTGAAGCTTCGGAGTGGGATACGGCCTGACTGAGCCTGTAGTACTCTCTGTAGGGACAGTAGCCGAGAAAATGGCAGAAACAGCTTCCGCCTTGAACTCGGTGCCTTTAGAGAGAGGCAAATCGATGGTGATCGGAGAAAGTGGTGGTGAGTTATAAGGAGGTGCTGGAGGTCGGTGCCCTCAATCTCGAGAAGACACGCCCAGATAACAGTTTTCGAACCATAAGGTTAAGCCTGGCAAAGGGCTGTGTATGCCAACAAAGTCGAGTTGAGAAGGAGTGGATGTCGAGGAATGGTATTGATATCAATCGCGACAGGCATACTAGTACTGCACATCTCGTGAGTCGTGCCTATTTCTGAGTATAAAAATGGGCTTACACCACGAGATAGAAGTCCAAAATGAACTTTGGAGGATTAGGTCAACAAGGCAGCTGATGGCGTACTATCCCTTCCATATGGGAAGAACCATCGTAACAGGGCTTCAAATTAATGAGCGTGTATGACGCGTTGGTAGATGTTGGCCCGAAATGCAAGCATCAAATCCAGCTTGTTTCGCTATACATAGATTGAAGAGATTCCAGGAACTATGCCAGCGATGGCTCTCGCAAGGGGTTGACAGGACCGTCTCGCATGAGTTGACTTATCCAACTCAATTGAAATTCGCGAAGACTCGGGTGACTTGCGCGAACAAATAAAAAGTGCTCTATCTATAAATAGCATGTCATCTCGAATGTTGATCGGGCAAAAGGCCATCAGGAAACCTCCAGCGAACTGATGGGCTTCATCAGGAAAAACCTCCTGGCAAAAATTTCGATAATCTTTGATAAAATCCAAGAATTAGGTCTAATTAGCAGCCTTAGGAGAATTAGGAAGATTATATAGTTTAGAAGGACTTTTTAACCCCCTCCTCAGTGTTGGATAATTATCAAGATTTAGCTGATATTAGACATAATAGTGGTGAATTGCAGAAGCCGTTATTACAAATGTTGGTTCACAGATCACGCGTCCCAGGCAATGTTACAAGAACAAAAGACTAATATTGGATTAAAACATGTGTATTAAAGTAATTGCAAAACAGCTGACGACGAGGGTATGAGGAATTTAGGTACAATCCCTAATGAATGCACAATATACAGGAATGGATCAGCACCGTGACTACAGAACCTAATCATCGGCCATGCCATCCAAGTCGAGTAGCGACAGAGCATTTCGATGCTCACTGGCGAGATGATCATTGCCCTTCTGTTTCAAAGCCCTGCAAGTAGTGTCAGTATCCAGCATGTCAGAATGGCACCATCCACACCAGCGAAACTTACTGTACAGCTTCGAAAATGTCAGCCATCATACAGTGAAACTTTCCAGGTGCGTCCTTCTTCAAACCCTCGAGAAAGTTGACATGGAAAACATAAGTTTCACTGAATTGATTCCCGGTAAAGTTAAACTTTCCCGGTGAACCAAGCGTCTTCCAGAAAAGGGCCGCGTAGATCTTGAAAACAAATGAGCACAGCATGAAGGCTTAGTGGAAAGGACATTACTGCTGTTGCCGCCAGCGCCAGCAATGGAATGGGGACTTCGGGGCGTTTGGCCTTGTTTCTCGCAATTTCGACAAAACGCGCCGAAAATCTGATGCCGATGGACTTCGCACCATTGAAGACTCCGTCGTGTAACAGAAAAATCAGTAGTTCACCCTGGTAGGGCTTTTTCCCTATGGGCAAAGCATCGTCGTTGGACTGTTGAAGAGGGAAGTTAGTAAGAGAATAGAATGGTCGAGGAAGGAGAAACGATATGGGAATACGATAAAGAACCCGCTCCTGGGTGTTGGTGAAGGAGGGAAGATATGGGAATACGATAAAGAACCCGCTCCTGGGTGTTGGCGAAGGAGGGAAGGGACAGAGTAAACTCACATCAAACCTCAAGGCATATACATATGCGTGCTGCTCCATGAGTTTTTTTGCCTTGACTATGTTGTTGCTGAGACGGAAGTAGCTATCGATGTTCGCACATGCAGCGACTTTCAGATCACGCCGCAATAATGGGATCCGGGGCTCGACCTCAAGTAATAGCAATGATAGTTAAAAAAAATCCGTAAAACGAGACATGCGAATGACTTACCAAGCTACCAAGGAGAGCAGCATACTGAGCATCTGTTTGAAGGCGTTTTTTGATGGCTTTTATGCCGCGATTCTCGGCCACCGTTAGCAAAGACTGGAGTGATACCTGGTTTTTGTCGACGAGCTCAGGGTAAGCATTGACGAAGATGATGTGACCTTTAGCGTCAATAATGGCATCCCGGACTACTCGCCGAGTCTCCAGGTTCTGATCGAGTAGTTTGACGTTTCCTTTCTCCGTTCGAACGAGAGAAGCTGCAGAGGTGACCTTCTGGACAACTTCAATGTCGCTGGAGGGAGGTTCCAAGGAGTCACCACGAGTAGTGGATTCTTCAACTGACTCTGAGACAGCGTTGTCGACATCGCGCCACATTGGAGTCTGAAGGTAGTCTGTAGTATCAGCGTAGAGTATATAATAGTATGGACTCACCTCCTCGGCTTGCTTTCGCTCTCTGGCGGATTGCTTCAAGGAGTTGCCACGTGATTGAACAAGCGAAGGCATCTTCCGAAACTCAGAATCAGCAGGATCAGCTTAGGTAAACCAGTGCAACTACTAACCTCGTCTGAGAGCTTCAAGGCAGTGGCCTCTGGTTCTTCGCCCTCACTCTCCTCGCAGTCGGCATCAGTATCAATGCCATTTGGTGGCTTGTCCTCAAGATCTTCGTCGGAGTCGAACATCGCAGTCACATCGCGCATCGCATAAGTGCGACAGAGTTTCTTAGGACGGGCAGCTGGGATGGTGCACATCATCATAGTGAGTAAGATTCAAACCCCTTGTTATCTATAACTCACCTCGATTTTTTTCAGGTCGCAAGTCCTCTGAGTCGCTACCATGGCCACTAGAACCATACCCATCATCTGATTCCTCGTTCACAAAGGTACGCTGACGCTCTACCATCAAAGTTAGTACTTATCGCTATGATTTCAAGATTAAATACGTGATGTACTCAGTTTTGAAGGCAAACCCTGGTCAATCTGAGCAACCGCACTTGGCGCTGGTCGTTTCGCTTTGGTGGGTGGTTTGGTGGGTGGCCTACTCGCCGGTGGGTTGGGAGGTGCTTGAGTCTGTTGAAGAACTTTTCTTGCCGACTTTTCAGGCATCCAAACTGAAGTAGCAGGTGAGCATTGAATTCTCTGATTTCAAGCCTGACCGAAGTCGCTTGCTTACTGGCTTTTTCCATAGCTTTTTTCTTTGCATTTCGGGGCTCTATTCAAGCCCAGTGAGAAGCTGCCATCTCGCCAATCTTCAAAATAATATGCTTAACTCACCACGAGAATTAAGAGGTGCGTACATGCTATACTGGATTGCAAGGACAGGAAGCTAACTGAATGAATGTTCAGGATACGAAAAGAGCGGGAGGGGGGGTGAAATAAAAATTTGACAACGCTGTTAGATTTTTCGTTGTCATTTTTAACGGTGACGTTGTGTGCATTGCAGTGCATCGGTGGCAGTTCCGAGTCGTTAGGTGAGTTCATTTTACCTCAGACTCACTAGGATATTTGCGCGTATATCGGCCACGTTGATCCACCACTCCCTCACCCTTCACCTTATCTTTGGCACAAAGCATCCTTTACTCTGTCCACCCTTCACTTCGGCTAATACTGCTCATTGGGCACTGGTCTACTTCCTGATTCCTGTCATCCGCATATGCTGTTCGGATGCGGGTCCTGGCTCTCGACCTCTCGGCGCCTCAAAATTTTTGTTCATTATTGCATTTCAAGGGATGCCGGAGGCAGTTACCGGTGAGTTCAATTCGCCGTCAAGGGTTCAATTTTCAGTCAATACTCAGACTAACCTCCATCTCTAATAGCGTCTACTAGTACTCCCTCAACCTGAAAGAACTTGCGTTCACACTATGTCACGCCTATGCTCTTCCCACTCCCGTCTACTACTACTCCCTCAACCTGAAAGAACTTGCGTTCACACTATGTCACGCCTATACTCCCTCCCGCTCCCGTCTACTACTACTCCCTCCACCTGAAAGAACTTGCGTTCACACTATGTCACGCCTATACTCCCTCCCGCTCCCGTCTACTACTACTCCCTCCACCTGAAAGAACTTGCGTTCACATTATGTCACGCCTATGCGCATGCCACATGTTCTGTCTCAATTCCCGCTCCCATTCACCTCAATTGGGTGCCGAATATAACGTTGACCTGCATTTCAAGGGGCTCGGAGGCAGTCAATTTGGTACGTTCAATTTGAGGGTCTAAACATTACTCAGGCTAACCTCAACCCTCTCATCCTCCACCCTCATAGCAGATACTGCCTCTCTCTCTCTATCGTTGGTCGGGGGCGCTGTCGTCTACTCCCTCACCCTCTACACCCTCACCCTCTATCGTCTAACCATCTGTAGCATTGGTCAGGGGTGTTTCTCTATTCCCTCTGTCTGTTACGACTGGGGTATGTCGAGCTGTCTTAGTCCGAGTGGACTGAGATTCGGCGAGACAGACGTGGTTCTTCTCTCGGATGAGAGATCAAAGGTTTCTGGCTAAGGCAAGTATCGGCGACTTCCTTAGAATAGCGGTTCTTAGATAGCAAGGTTGGAGACCTTGCTAAAGGACTTGTTCCAGGTAAAACCCAGTAGATTAAAGTGAGGAATACATGTGGTACACTATGTAACTATATAGTGTGAGTTCAAGCGGAGATTGTAAGTGCGTATCAAGATAGAAGGCGGACAGCCCGCTTGGTGAAGTGATAAGAGATAACAGATAAGAGATAGTAACCATGGTGCGGACAGCCCGCTTTGATAGGAGATAGCGATCTAAACATAGCGATGGTTACTGGTACGAAAGTTAGCTTGGCGATAATATGAGTGAGGTTCTGGAAGGTGATTGGTCGCTCGTTGAGAGCCGTGTGCATGTACCATTGTCCAGTATCGAAAGAGAAGCGAAGAGAATGAATATACCGTAACATTACCCCCGTGTTATGGTCGATGTCACCGGCATCGACATCACTAGTTGTCCTGGTTCTCGTAGTAGACGGGGTTGGCGTCGGCATTGTGAAACTCTAATTCTTCTGGCTGCGCCAAGTACTCCCTATCGGCGCGTGCAAGATCCTCCTCCTCTTTCTTATCTTTCTCTGCCTCCCACGCGGCTAACGCGTCGTAGAAGCCTTCGTCGGTATAAACCAACGGGAATAGTATCTTGGTGGTGGTGAAGGGGCAGTAGATGGAGAAGTGCCCGGGTTTCGTGTCGCCGCAAACGCGGCAATAATACAAGGGGCAGTTCTTGTGCTTGTGACCGAGCTTCTTGCAGACTCGGCAAATGAAGTTGGCATCGGCGATACTGCCAACTATTTGTTTTAACGAGGGGGATCTAATAGCGATGCTAGAAGATGGGATAGCAGGGGGTTCTATAGTGAGGTCGATGACCTCGCGCTTCTTTCCTTTGGATGACTTTTTCTTGGTTACGCCGTGAATGGCGGCTCCTCCGCGGAGGTTTCTTCTTTGGAGTTCGGTGTGTGTTGGGACAGGTATAGGAATTGGTGCAACGTTCCCTCCAATCGAAGTTGGATCAGGTAGAACAGCGGGGGGGTTATGAGTAATAGGAGGCAACGGGCGGCCGACTTGGAAGGAGTTTCGATCAGCAACAGTCTGTATAATTTCCCTGCAGATAGTGCTAAAACCAAGAGGGAATAACTGAAGCGTAAGCGAGCGAATGCGCCGCTGGACGTGGTTGCAGGAGAGTCGGAGGGCGTCGTTTTCAATCTGGGCAAATTCTTCTTCAAGGCGTTGAGTGGCTCTAATGATATGGATGTAGGTGGCAGCGACTCCAGCTGGCACTGCTGGCTGGTTGTTGAGATAGGTTTCAATTTCGAGGGCGTGGGCGACGGAGAGTATGGTGGTTTCGACGATGACGTCGTCTTCGATGCTGACAACGTTGTCGGCAAAGGGGGATTCATAGAGACTGATGGAGGAGGTGTTTGATTCAGTGGGGGAGACAGTTTGTTGGGAAGACATGTTTGTATGACAGTGGGGACTGGTCGATCTAGTTCAACTTGTGCCTCTTCTTATAGGCAGAGAGTAGGTCTTTGGCGTTTTCCATGTTCTCCGCTGGAATCCATTCGTTAGAGCCAGAAGAGTATCCTTTCCAGGATACGAGATAGCGTCTTCGTTTACCCGTTCCCTTGTGACTCAGGACTGCTTCGACTTCGTATTCTTCCGACTGGTTGACTATATCTGGAGGTGGTTCTTCGTAGTTCGGTCCGTGAACCTCTGTCTCCTGATAGGAGGATAGCTCAGAAGCGTGGAACGTGGGGTGGACCTTCCATTTTTCTGGAAGCTTCACGGTGAACGTGATTGGCGATAGGATCGCGGTTATGGGGAATGGTCCGTGTCGTTTGGGCGCAAGCTTCCTAGATGGGAGAGTGGTCATGAGGTTAGCTGCGGATAGCCAGACCTTATCTCCTATCTTCCATGGTTGATACTTCTTTCCGTGCGTTCTTTCTGCCATTCGTTGCATGGCGATATTGTGGCAAGAGATGGCTTCCTCTCGGATCTTTTGGAGGGCACGAACCCTTTCTTCTGCGGCAGGGGTATCCGATGATGGTAACACGTGAGGGATACCACGAGGCTCGTATCCCATCATGAGGAAGAACGGTGATGCGTTCCTTGCTTCATGTCTTCGGTGGTTATGTACAAATTCAGTGAGGGGTAAATGGTCCGACCATTCATAGGGGTTACTCCTACAGTATATTCGGAGATATGTCTCGATTTCTTGGTTGAGCCGTTCGGTTTGTCCATCTGTCTGAGGGATGATATGCCGTGGAGGCAGCGATCTGGTATCCTAAGAGGCGTGCTAATTCTCTGGAGAACCTAGAAATGAACTGAGGTCCTCGATCAGAGATCACCTTTTCGTGGAGTCCGAATCGTTTGAACTACGTTTTTAAAGAACAGCTTGGCTACTCCTTCGGAGGAAATGTTCTTGTTGCAAGGAGAAATAATCACCCCCTTCATAAGGCCATGGTCTACCACGACCATGAGAGAGTCAAAACCGTTGGACACAGGGAGGTCGGTGACGAGGTCAACAGAGACCTGGGAAAAGGGGCGAGTGGCGGAGGAGGGGATAGGGGTAATGGGCGGTGAGACGGGGTGGGTGTCAGCTTTCATCTGCTGACAGAGGGCGCATCCAGCGACATAGGAGCGAATAAAGGTGCCCATTGCAGGCCACCAGTAGTCACGCTTGACAAGTTCCTCTGTTTTAAACCGCCCGGGGTGACCGGCAGTTGGATGATCATGGTGACGGAGCAATATGGCCGCTCGTTGTGAAGGTGGCACATAGGCGCGAGACTTATAATAGAGTACTCCGTCCGACATCGTCCAGTCGGAAAGAGCTGATTTCATAGGAGGAAGGCAAAGGCCATCCAGGGCGTCACTGGCTGTAGCGAAAATAGGATCATCTCAAGAGTTCTTTGCAAGGGCGGTGGAGAGTTCATCGTCGATCAAGCGTATGAACATGGAATCTGGAAGGAGTACACGATCCTCATTGTCGTGTTCACCAAGACCGTGATCCTGGACGTCGAGAGAGTGCGTCGGGTGCAGCAAGTTTTGTTCCAGGGACGTGATGCAATTCGAGATCAGTAATTGGACAGAACAAGCTGCCAACGTGCCTGTCGTCGAGAAAGCTTCTGTGCTTTTGAAAAATAAAGGAGGTTTAGGTGGTCGGTGAAGACGAGAATGGGATGGGGGTTTCCTTCTAGATAATGGCGCCATTCATTGAGAGCGCGAATGATAGCGAGCAAGTTCACGATCAAAGATATCATAGTTGCGTTCAGCAGGGGTTAAAGGACTGAGAGATGTATTTGCAAGGATGATAGACGCCATTTTCATCTGTCTGAAGGAGTACGGCCCTGGTCGCTACCAGGGAGGCGTCAGTGGCAAGGGCAAATTGGCGTGTAGGGTCAGGATTGCGTAGTACTGGTTTCGTTGTAAAACATTGCTTGAGACTATCGAAAGGCAGGTCTGAGCTTCAGGGGTCCAGGCGAAGACTTGATCTTTTCGAGTTAGATTGATGAGTGGTCGAGCAATGTCAGAATAGTGGGATACAAACGCCCTGTAGAAGTTGCAAAATCCGAGAAAGGAGCGGACGTCTCTCACGGAGGTTGGGATGGGCCAATCCTTTATTCCGTCGACTTTGGCGTGTTCCATTGCAACTTCTCCGGGACGAATAATCATTCCAAGGTATTCCACTTCTGCTGCGTCGAAAGTACATTTTTCTGGTTTGACGAACAGTTGTTCATGACGGAGTATCTCCAATACTCGTTTCGTTCGTTCACGATGCTCTGCGAGGTCGGAGGAAAAGATGAGCAGGTCGTCCATATAGATAACAATCCATCCTTCATTGATTTCTTTCTGGAAGCGATTGTTCATGTAGGACTGGAAGGTAGCGGGGGAATTGGTTAAGCCAAAGAACATTACAGTGGGTTCGAACAGGCCTTCTTCGGTAGTGAAAGCCGCTTTCCATCTATCGTCAGGATGGATTCTAATATTGTTATAGCCTGACCGTATGTCGATTTTCGTGAAATGCTTTGCTTTGTAGAGTCGTTCTATAAGAGTTTTAGGGAGCGGGAGAGGGTATTGGTTGCGTACGGTCCAATCATTGAGGTATCGATAATCTTGACAAGGGCGCAACTCTCCGCTCTTCTTTCCTACAAAGAAAAATCCACTGGCTTGCGGGGATTTTGAGGGTACAATGAATCCTTTCGCGGTATTCTCCGTGATAAAGGTTTTTACTGCTTCTCTCTCTTTTCCTGATAACGGGTAGATTTTGGATGTCCTGGGCATGAATCCTGGTTTCAGATCGATTCGATGGTCGATACCGGGTCGTTCTGGTGGCAACTTATTAAGGCCGTCTTTTGCAAAAATATCAGCGTAAGTGTGCAGGTAAGATGGAACGAGTTCTTCGAAGCTCTTCTTCATCTTTTCCTTTTCTCCTGCGACAGCGAATTCTTGAGCTTTGTTGCTAGTTTTCGAATATCCTTGCTCCTGCTTTGATGTACCGTCTCTGGTGAGAGGAGTGTCAAAAGAGACGTCGGAGATTACTCGAACTTGGGAACCGTCAGGGGAGTATTCGATCAGGACGTCTTCGTCGTTCAGGGGATAGAGAGAAGGGTCGACCACTGGAGGGGCATAGTTTTCTGACCATACATCCTCCTTAGTGTCGTAATCCGGCTCATCTTGATCTGGTGCGAGGTGAGGAAGTTCTTCGTCGGTGATTTCTTCCACAGAAGCTCGTGGGTAAACAGGGTTTTTCTTGAGTTTGGAATTCTTCCATTCGCGGGATGGTTTTTTTTCTGCGAAAACGGGACGGGGAAACAGTAGTGGTAGGTTGCGCTGTTTCCTAAGATGGTCGATCTTCTTTTCGATCTCGAGCGATCGTTCATTTGGTACGAGAGATAGTTCTTTGTTTGTCCAGTTGATTGACGGGTTTAGTGCTTTTAACCATGGGAATCCGAGCAGGATTTTATCCTTCTTCGATAGTTTGGTTATGTTGAACTTCCCTATCATGGTTCTCCCGTCAATTTTGACAATAAGGACGCAGTAGCGAGAGATGAGTCCTCCTCTTGCATCAGATCCGTCTGCAGTTATAACGGGGAATGGTTTCGAGAGTTTGTGGGTCTTGATTCCGTGGAGTTTGCAGAATTCTTCGCTAATGAAAGTTCCGCTAGCTCCGGAGTCAATGACCATAGAGGTTTCGATGGTTTTGTTACGCTTGGTGGAAATGATAGTGGCTGGGACACGAAGCTCCTTTTTATTTCCAAGTGATTGTACAAGTCGTATTGGGACAGGAGGTACTGACATCGATGCAGTCTCCTTCTTTAAAAATCCATCTCCACGAAGCGTCGGTTCACCTCTTCGTCGTCATCACTACTCTCTTCTTTTTCAATCTTTCGGCGGATGGGCATCTTCTGTTTCTTGTCTTCCCTAGGGTGGAATGTGGTATCGTTGGCGCGATGGCCCGTCTGGTGACACTTGAAGCAGCGTCCCTCTTTGAGGTGTCTTTTTACTTCAGACTCAGAGAGCTGGTCTATCTCCATAGCATCGCTTCTGCGGGGGGTGAAGTGACGATCTCCGTACTTCTTCTTCCTAGGCTGGTAGTGCGTGGGATTCTCTCGTTTCTGAATGGCTCTCAACCGTTGGAAAGCGTTATCCAGGTTGATACACGTCGCGACGACGGTTTCAAAGTCGTCTAGACTTTCTCCAGTATGGTAGAGGTTGTTGCGAAGTCCTACGTCAAGACCTTCGCGGAAGAACTCTACTCTGGTGACGTTCTCGGTTATTCCTGCTTTATGGGCTAGGAGGCGGTAGTTGGAGATATACGTGTGGAGGTCTCCTTTCATCTCAAGGGCTCGTACTTTAGCCATGGCTGTTCCCTTGGGGTCAATAGCTCCGAAGGCTTCTTTAAACGAGACCTTGAACTCATCCCAGCTACCGTAACCGATAAGATTCCCTGCGGTATTCTTCAGCTTGGCGTTCTGAGCGGTTTCCATGAAGTCTTCTTTCCAAGCGGCAGCATTGCCCTTGGTCATAAACGAGAGTGCGAAGATTACTTTCTTCTTGTCATTGTCGTAGATCTTCTCGTTGATATCCAAATACGCATTACAGTTCAGCATGAACCTGTGCGATTCGTCGCGGTCTCCGTCGAATTCGGGGGGAGTACCGATCTTGATTTCAAATTCTTTGGTGGTGTTCGCCATTGTGTTTAATGGTGGTATTGGCGGTAGCGCGCCTAAGTTCAAAGCTCCGATTAAAGGAGTTAACGAAGTCGTGGTGTCTTGCTGACGTCGCAGGTGGCGGCGTCTGAAAAAAGGACTTTAATCTTTTGTTACGACTGGGGTATGTCGAGCTGTCTTAGTCCGAGTGGACTGAGATTCGGCGAGACAGACGTGGTTCTTCTCTCGGATGAGAGATCAAAGGTTTCTGGCTAAGGCAAGTATCGGCGACTTCCTTAGAATAGCGGTTCTTAGATAGCAAGGTTGGAGACCTTGCTAAAGGACTTGTTCCAGGTAAAACCCAGTAGATTAAAGTGAGGAAATACATGTGGTACACTATGTAACTATATAGTGTGAGTTCAAGCGGAGATTGTAAGTGCGTATCAAGATAGAAGGCGGACAGCCCGCTTGGTGAATGATAAGAGATAACAGATAAGAGATAGTAACCATGGTGCGGACAGCCCGCTTTGATAGGAGATAGCGATCTAAACATAGCGATGGTTACTGGTACGAAAAGTTAGCTTGGCGATAATATGAGTGAGGTTCTGGAAGGTGATTGGTCGCTCGTTGAGAGCCGTGTGCATGTACCATTGTCCAGTATCGAAAGAGAAGCGAAGAGAATGAATATACCGTAACACTGTCTGTATCGTTGGTCGGGGGCGTCTCTCTACTCTCTCACTCTCTATCATTGGTCGGGGGCGTCTCTTCCTCACCTCTACCCTTTGCCCCCCTTGTCTCACTCCCTCACCTCTACCCCCCTTGTCTCTAACACAATGTCCGCAAGCTGCCCAGCTTGTGGACAGGACAATCTCACTGTCACAGGCCTCAGTCATCATCTATCAAAGAGCCGAAACCCTGATTGTCGAGCGCTGTACAATTACTCACGCTCCCAGATACACGCCAACACTAGTGAACCGCAACTTGATGACGAGTTGGAATGGCCTGATGATGATGGAGGGTATGACATGGAAGAGTTTGAGTGGGCTCGCAAGGGATCTGGCCATGGTAGTGATGCGGATGAGGGAGCGGACGATGGATGGGAAGATGAAGCAAATAACGAACCTGAGTGGGAGCCTCCGGTTGATCAGCAACATGACCACGATGACATGGATGCCATGGATGATTTGGCCGCTGATGAAGCAACCGGTCAAGAACAACACCATGGTCACCAGGAGATTCAAGAACGTGCCCAAGGGCAGCATGGTTGTGTTATCGTGCCCTATCCAGACTCGCGTGCTGGGCAACCTATTTCTAACAATCATACTGCCAATGTTGCGTATGGTGCGCATCTTTCCAATGCCAACCAGGAGAATACATATCACCCATTTGCTTCTAAGATGGATTGGGAGGTCGCAAGATGGGCAAAACTTCGTGGACTCAGTTCAACTGCGTTGTCTGACTTACTTGCTATTGAGGGGGTAAGTCGGTCACCTTTTATTTTCTGGTTCATGCGCTTATGTTCATTGCAGGTCAGTGAACGCCTGTCGCTCTCTTTCAGGAACGCGAACGAGCTTAATGCCATTGTCGACCATGAGCTTCCAACAGGCCGGCCAAAGTTCAAACGAGAGCAAATCATTGTTGCGGGAGAAGCCTTCGACGTCTATTATCGCGATGTGATTGAATGTGTCAAGTCGTTGTACAGTGATCCCGATTTCGCGAGATACCTTGTGTTTGTGCCTGAGCGTCATTATGCCGACAAGGATGAGACAGTTCGTCTGTTTCACGATATGCATACAGGAAAATGGTGGTGGGATACACAGGTACATTGCATTGACTACGTCTACCATATGATACTAATGATACTTCAGAAAAAACTCGATCAGCACAGCCCAGGCGGCACCATAATCCCAATCATCATCTCGTCCGACAAAACTCAAGTAACCTTGTTCCGCAACAAATCTGCTTACCCTGTCTATCTCACCATCGGCAACATCCCAAAAGAAATTCGACGCAAGCCATCACGCGGTGCCCATATACTTCTGGCATATTTGCCATGCACACGCCTCGATCATATTTCTAACAAAGCTTCACGCCGCCGAACTTTGGCAAATCTGTACCATGCTTGCATGAGCCGTGTTCTCGCTCCCCTGAAATCTGTTGGACTGGATGGGATTACTATGGCGAGTGGGGATGGTACTCTCCGCCGTTGCCACCTACTGTTTGCGAGCTTTGTCGGCGACTACCCAGAGCAACTCCTTGCTACTGGGATAAAGTTCGGAGAGTGTCCCAAATGCGATATTGAGGCTGATGAAACGGGGAGCAATACGGCACCATATCATTTACGAAGACTGCGCGAAGTGTTAGATGCGCTCGCTACTCTGGATGAAGGCAGTATGTCTTTCGTTCGAGCTTGCTCAGCAGCAGGGATCAAGCCCATAATTCATCCCTTCTGGGAAGACCTCCCGTTCGCAAATGTTTTCCGTGCAATCACACCAGATGTGTTGCACCAGTTATATCAAGGACTAGTCAAACATCTCTTAGGCTGGTTGAAGGCTGCTTGTGGTGCGGCTGAAATTGATGCTCGTTGTCGGCGACTTCCTCCCAACCATCATATACGTCTGTTCACCAAGGGCATCACTGGCCTCTCGCGTATCAGTGGGACCGAACACTCGCAAATCTGCCGCTTTCTTCTGGGTATCGTAATTGGTATCCGTTTGCCCAATAATCTTAATGCAAACCGACTTCTACGAGCTGTCCATGGTCTCCTCGATTTTCTCTACCTCGCACAATATCCGTGTCATAGTTCGGAGACCCTACAACTACTCGACGACGCACTCAGTCTTTTTCACGAGAACAAAGACATTTTCGTTGATCTCGGTATCCGAGACAACTTCAATCTACCGAAGCTGCATGCCACTCGGCACTACTCGTACATGATTATGATGTTGGGCACAACAGATAATTATAATACAGAGTATACAGAAAGACTACACATCGACTATGCAAAAGACGCTTACCGCGCTACCAATCACAAGGACGAGTTCGCGCAGATGACACGGTGGCTCGAACGCAAAGAGAAAATACTGCGCCATGACAAGTATGTCATCTGGCGACTTGCTGGTGATGTCGAGTCTGAGCCCCACCATTCACGTCCTCCAGATATGACCTTCCGCCGCCTTCAGACTATGCCCAAACACCCTACTGCAAAAGCTGTCACTATAGACAGATTAGTTGATGACTATGGCGCTACCTTTTTCCGCGAGGCACTTGCTCGCTATATCACACAGCTCAGGCATGCCGAGGATCCTAACCCCCTCCATGAGCGAGCACTGGAAATATTGGCCCGCGACATCCATTTCCCGTTTCGAACGCTTCCTGTTTTCCACAAGATCAAGTGGGTCTCCGTCGATGCTCATGGTCATGGCGACGCAACCGTCACGTTAGATTCAGTTCACGCAAGACCACAACGGAGATCGGGTTCTGGTCTGCTGCCCTGTCGTTCAGACACAGTGCTGGTGAACCTTGGTGCGAATACAGAAGCCGTTAGCGCAGGTATAGAAGGTAAGTCAGCAACGAGTATTCACAAGGATATTGGTGACTCACAGTTGACTGGCTCAAGCACTCCGCGTTGGTCAAGTGCGAGTCGTTTTCTCACTACCTTCAAAATCTCTCCCGCTCCTCTTTCCACCAACAGTCCAGGTTCCTAGCCACCTGGCTTATATCGAGTGGTTCTCGCCGTTTGCATTGGCTCCCGATCAACACCACGGCCTTTACAAGGTCTCGCGTTCCTTTCTTGGTGGCGCAAAAGTCGCAAGCATTGTGCCATTGTCGAAGATCGTGCGGAGTGCCCATCTTCTACCGAATTTCGGTGCCATCGTCCCGCGAGAGTGGTCCAGTGATACAGTTCTAGATGACTGTGACACTTTTTGGTTGAACTCGTATCTAGATAGATTCACTTACTGTATTTTCAAATAAGTCTTGATAATTCCATTGTACATTATCGTCTTCTAGCCATTTTATTCCTAAAACTTGAAATTAGATAGAATTATCAGAATAACATCATTTAGCGCAAATTATTACAATTTTTGCCCAGGAGGCTTTTCCTGATGTTAGGTGTTAATACCGGGGCAACATCATGAAAGGAGCGAGCGAATCGAGTGATGCTAACGGCTGGATTGCACGGTGGTGTCGGTTCCTTCCGAGCGTTCACCTTGGAAATCTCCGCCGGAGCATCACCGAAATTCCCCAACTCAGATAAGGGCTGATAATGACTGACCAGGATGCACAAGGTCGCAAAAGGTGCACCAGGCGTATCAGTGTGCGGAAGGCGGGGGAAACAACTTAAAAGATCTGGTTGAGAAACTCAATTGAAGATAAGATGGCGGAAGTTGGGTAAGTAACTCGTACCTTAGCGCAGATTTTGAGCTTAGAAGCATTGATATGCCAATACTACTTATATGTTCTGATCTGGTGATGAATTCTGATAAGACCATTTCATTTCGGTATTGCATTACATGGTATGAGCAGACAGTAAAAGTACATCTAAGAGCAGAACATGCACCAAAGCTTCTGAAGGAGACTCGGTATGACAATGACAACAAGAGGATGATTAGACAGCAGCTTGAATGTGAACTGTGAATGAGAAGTGAGACGATGACAAGAGCGAAACATGCAACAAGTGGACAGCGGCTTGAATGTTGCAAATGAGACAGACAGACAGACAGATGAGAAAGACACATCCTGAGTGAGAAAAATCAGTGTCAACAATGAGACGAACCGTACACCAGCACCCGCATCTACCCCTTCTGAATAAGGCTTGCTATCTGCATGGGTTGCGGAGTTATGACTCGAACACGCTCTCATAGTCTACACATCGCCAATGACAACCTCCAGGGTGCCAGTTGCTGTTATCGATGCCAGGACTGGATGCTTCCAGTTTCGCTAACCTCTCGGTAACACGAAAATCTCATCTGGACTTCCAGCGCAAATGAACTGATGTTTGGCTTTACCAGAGGGCCCATCTTCGAATCGCTGCTCACGTCAGTCATAAAGTACACTGACACCAGGAGACCTCACCTTCGAATGTACCTACCTTTCCTGTACTTGACTACCGCTCGTGGAGACGCAGCCATGGCTTCCACATTGACAAAGGCAGCTGCCACGAAATTGATTCTGAAACCGGTAACGACTTTGAAGGGTCATGGAGAGTATTTCCTGACGGCCAGCGAATGGTCAGTGGATCTGATGATAAGACCACTTGGCAATGGGATCTGAAGACGCGCACTCAGCCTTCCAGCGCTAACCACAAGAACAATTACGCACATGACATGATGTAAGACCAGCAGAGGTGGCCACCAGGTGCGGCTGGGTTGGTATGTAAATGATACCCAGTATTGTGCATTGTAAGTTCCTACACAAATGATCAGCTATAGTTATAACTTATAAATGTGAAAAATTGTACCTATTGCACAAGACGTCAGATGCAGACACGTCGAGATAGGCATAGGCATGTGTTACGCTGACTGTAGGTCGGCGTGTGCGAACTAGGATAGGTCTTCTCAGCGACGACTCGAGTGAGTCTACTGAAGCTGAGCGTGGTCTGGCCTTGACGGAACGTCAAGGATTCCTCCGGCGATCTCGGTAAGACGGCGCTCGTCGAGATGCAGGGCTAGCGGATACGTGCTAAGTCGTATGGGGGCGACTTAGAAGTGCGGTCTCACACAAGGAAGCTGGTAGGCTTAGATGAGCAAGTTCTGGGGATGAACCTAGTAGATTAAAGTGAAGTTAATCTACAACAATGTGTCTACTCTTATAGCGTCTAGCTATAGGTATTCTAGCTCAGTCTGTAATCTATAGTATATCTGTAATCTAAGATAACTAGACATGAGGAGAGATAAGATACATGAGGCTTAACCTCTGATCAAGCATGCTGCGCCAAGGGCAGCTGCGCATAGGTACAGGAAGCGCCAAGCACGCTCCGGATCTTCATGAAGCGACATGCTGTATACATGCGCTGATCTAGGATGTCCATGAGGCGTACATGAGGCGTACAGCCTCCATGGAACAGGTACAAGGCCGTCTAGGCCAGGGGCGGGGTCATAGCGCCAGGGGGCGGGGTCATAGCGGTCCAGACCGCTGTCTTTCTAGGCGCGGGCGGCGCACCGCCGCGCGGGGAGTCTAGCAGAGCGGGGGCAGGCGTAGGGAGAGCTGGGGCTCTAGTAGGTGTTACAGATCCCTGTAACAGCATGCACAAGCACACAGAAATGAGCAAAGATGCTTGTCAGCAATGTACATACATGGATAAACGAAAACTTAGACGCACCTAGATTGCACTAGTCTAGGATGGTTAACACCCATGTTCAGAAGCTCGTTGGCTCCCTCTTCAGGTACTGTGAGCTGTGCAGAGTTCTGCATCAAATAGTTCGTTAGATTACCTGCCAAGGGAGAATTTACTTGGGAGGGTTTGGGTTGTCTAGCATGTCGAGTGACAAGATCTTTGGCCTTGCTGTGAAGTGAGGTGAAAGATCCTGGGCGGGATTGACCAGACGGCAGCTGGAGATCAGACAACTGCAGAGATATCAGATGTGAAGGAATGTAACCTGGTGAGCTTCTTACCCGGTCAATCATCACTCACCCAAGCTCAGGGAGGTCAGGTGTCAAAAGACTGTGAGATCAAATAAAGTCAATATATGCACTATATTTTGGCATGTAATCTGAGAACTCACGATTGTGGATGCTTAGACTACTTGATTTTGCTCTTCCAACTTCGTTATGTGATGGCTTACCCCTCCAAAGTTCCATGTTCTGACTTTCAAGGGCACTAGTGATGACTCCGGTGATGTATATGTAGGGTGCTCACACTTTCCAAGTAAAGTCCCATACGACGAGAAATAATCAGAATAGGGATCAGATGAGTTTGAGTGTGACAGGCCAACATGGTGGTGGTAGGGCTAAGGGTTAAGACACAACTGCCGACGAGATAATGTTATCAATATTTGGTGTTATTGACGTGATGTTTGGTTCACATATCAATAACGCACGTGATCATCAAATTCACCGCATTACTCTTGCAAAATCAGTTGTATTCCTGTCAATTGTGCTATAATCTAATGATACAAATCCCTCGATTCATGATCAGAAAATGCAATATGCGACCAGAAAACATGATAACAATGCAAAACACGACAGGATCAACACAACGGCAGCAAATACAACGCAGCAACGAGGCTGGCAAGCGAGAGCAAACTGCGAGGCAATGAGGCAGGCAAGAGCAGGCAAGCGAGAGCAGACGACCGTGAGGCAACGAGGCAGGCAAGAGCAGGCAAGCAATAGGGACGACTAATACATTGAACCGTCAGCAATGTCGCTAGAGGGGATGTACCTTCGACTGTGGCAAAAGGGCCCATAGACTCATCTACTTAGTAAACATGAGTATATGCGTTGAAAAATACCTTTTATACTACCTGAATCCACGAAACCCTCAGACTCGTGGAATCAGTGGAGGAAGGCGGCGGCGGCGGGACAAGTTGTTGGGAAGATGGTGGTAAGAAGAAAGGGGGGAAATGGAGTTGCCTGGAATTCCCAAAACATTCTAACTTTTGGTGTCAGTAGTAAAACTTGCCCAAACACAAGACTTCGTGATATTTACAGAATGTTGCGCAAGAAGCAGAGCCCAGCTGCAGAGTAAGCTGTGTGACACCGAACGACACCGAACGACGCGTAAATGTAACACTGTTGCATTGATGAAAACACGATCGACGATGCGAGTAACGCGATGCAAATCGATGACAATGTAATGATTTTGTCGTGTGACACATTGGTCAGTTGATACGGTAATAGCATATCAGGGGAAATCTGAACTTACCAGGGGCACGTCAGACTGATGGCAGCCTTACGCGTTTAGGAGGGTGTTGAGGTATGTCTGAGGGAGTGTTGTTGAACCTGCCATCAATCGTCATCGCGTCATCAGTCCGTAAAAGATTGTGGCGCGGGAAAGTGTCCGCATAAGGTAATTTCAGACTTGAGGAATTTTGGTGATGAGTGTTGCGGGCCCCGCGCCGTAGCAGTTGGGTATAGGCAGTGACTTAGATGCATCGCCACGGTGAGCAGTGATCATGATCTCTACCAGGTTGCGATTGGATTCGTACATGTGCCTCGCTGTACGTGTTTTATCCTTACACCCAAAAAGTTCTTGCTCACAACGTGGCAGTATCTGTCCGTGCCACCATGGTTGGCTGATCCTCGGACACCCCAAGTTTTGTTTCTGTAATGCGCTATCAGTGATTCATAACTTTCGACTTTTGGAAGGAGTCAACTGTTATTCTAATAGAATATGACAGTGGGTGTTTTGCTCGCATTCCAGCGCTCCTTGTATAACTGATCAGGCTGCCAAGACTCTCAGGTTTGTATCGACCCTTTCAGGTCTCGCCCGGGGTGCATCTTCGTTGCAGGAACGGTATCTGCTTTCCCAATTCCTGATTTCAGTTGATGTGGTTTCTTCATATCTGTATCGGCCAGGGGAACTTCTTTGCACCTTCCACATATCAAAGAGTTACCGTGCCTGTCGGCTGCGTTCCGTCCGCATCGTCGTCGATAGGTCTGAATTTCCTACTCTTCGCCATAAGTCCGCTCTGTTTTTCGAAAACAAGCTAGGTTGTGGCTCATAATGATATGCCACGGCTGCGGCTACGAGAAAGATATGGTCAGCTGTCTGATTCTATCCATATCATTGGTAAACTTTCCCCGGCTCGGATGCACGTCGCAATCACATGACCCAGAAACATCGCGACACTATGTAGGTGCAACCAACCGGCCTTCTCGCGCACGTCATACCAGCCTTTTTAGGGAGACGACTCGTAATCCATATGATTAGCCTGGAGCTGCATACAAATTGATGACTGTGAGTGATTTTGCAGGTGTACACAAAGATCTCCGCTTTTAAAACGTCTGGGCTCAGCGGACTGCACTATATTACCTGAGTGCCTAACCCCACCGCACCCACAGGTGCGGCTCGACCCCTACAATACCAGAATCTTGTACCTTTCGGTAGCTCATTGATACCAGTGGTAGAAGCGTGAGCTTGTTTTCTGGGTGGCTGCGCTAAATTCACTCTTCCCGCTGATAGTACCAGAGATGCGCTACAAGCCAGTGTCATCAAGCTGCATGGAGAAGCTCAATGAAACTTACATATTTATCTGATGTTGCGAAGACATCTCTGATGGGGACCTTGCGTGGGCCGAGAGTACGATCCTGAGGAGTCGACAGGAAATAAATCATGATGTTTTGATTAGGGAACCTTCGATATGGCACTGCATTGTTGTTAGAGCGGCCTGAGAGCAGTTAATGCGTTAATGCGATCAATATATTATTTTGAGGGTGGATAAGAAGCATTGACGCCTTGGTGAGACTGTCCGAATCAGTGCAAACCAGTTGGGAACGAATCACCGCTTGGAGCTTTTAGACATTGGCAGCACGCTGGTCCATTCATTGTGACGGGGGAAGCACCCCTCCTGATTTCCACAACTCTACTCATTCCATTAGGTTTCCATATGATCAACGTGCACCACGTAACAGCTACGCATCTATAACACACACGCGCCGAAGGTATTATGAACCCGGGTATTACTAAGGTATAATCGGCCGTCAGCGATAACGAGAGACTAGTACACGCATGCTCAAACTTCTATCAATGCCATCATAGAATCGGGCTCGCATCTCTGCTAGGTTCTGCATCCCACATTTTGGACAGCGCTCCACCAAAAGCCTTCCCGAGAGCCGAAGCTAGCGATGTAGGTACTGCATTACCGATTTGTCTGAATTGCTGTAAACATGTCAGATGTAGAACGACGCGCCGCAACAAAGGCTTACATCATCGATAGCCTTTGACATCTTGTCCTTGTTCACCGAGACGAATTCGTAGTAATCTGGGAATCCTTGCGCACGTGCACATTCGCGGACCGTAAGGATGCGTTTTTGCTGACATACAAAGTGTTAAGCAGTCAGATTCCAAGCAACGATAACATAATAACTAGAATGCATACAGAAGGATGCAGTACTTGACCACCCTTATTATTTGGTAGCACTGTGGTCAGTGCAGTCGAGAAGAACATGTTTGCATCCAGCCGCTGATAGACGGCTGTCGAAGGATCAGCCAATACGTGTGAATATGAACGCATCGCGTCTCGCCTTTGTATTTCGTCCTAGCGTTCTCGTGCCTCGAGAGCCCAGTGTGCAGCTCCTTTGGCAGGTCTATGGCCTTCACAGTGAATTCCACACAGCCAGAAATCATGTAGCTTGACTTACCAAAATGATTAGCTCCTGCTCTCAGAGGCACGTTTACAGTTCTGAATTCGGGGTTCAGTGGGAACCAATCCAGGATAGACAGCAAAAACGTACCGTTCAATGATAATATCGTTGAAGCGTTTCGTATAATGGTATTGAAGCTTTTCGCTACCTTGTCGCATGAGCTTCTGGTAACGGGATAGTGGCCCACTAGGATATTGACATGGTCTAGAATAACCAGCGTATGGGTCCTCTGAAGTTCTTGCAGAATGCAGCGGTGAAAAAGATGGAATCCCAAGCTCATCTTTACGCTTGCGCTCCACCGCTCTGTCAGCAGCAGTTTTCGAGATTTTGGTGTGTGGGTTAACCCTGGATGCAAGTTCGAATAAATCAGGTTCCAAAATTTTGAAACAGTGCATACCAGTCGAACGGAGGCTACAAAATAGGCTGAAGTGAATATATGTTATCAAAAGGGGGATTTCTGAAAACCATACCAAATCACCAATGGCTTCATGAATTGTGACGAAAGGTAGCGGAGCGGAGAGGTCAGTGTTGTTATCGCCGTACTTCAAGCGTGAAACAGGTGCTAAGTATGCACCAGTAGGCAACTTGACGCGCTGTACTCTTGCGTGCGGAAAGACATGTGTCGGGATCGGGAAATCGGGTAGGGGAACACCTTGCCTGGCCGCCACAAACAGAACTCTCTTGCGTGCTTGAGGCGCGCCATAGTTTCCTGCATGAAGAACATTATATTCGATTTGGTAGCTGCAAAAAGATCAGCATCGAACAGTGCAAATGTATCAAATTATACTTTAAGGCAAGGAGGGCGGCGATGATGAATTTCACGACGCCCGAAGCAACAGTTTTTCCCTTTAGTGCATGCTCCAGGATTCCACCAACGTTCTCCAAGAGGAAGTACATCGGACGGTAAAACTCTACGTATGCGATCATGTTGCAGACAAGCGTAGACCTGCAGTATATCGTTTAGTACAGACACACACCAATCGCACGTCGTGTTCACCGTATATCGTCTTCTCTCTAGGAACAAGATTGTCACTACGATGTATGGAAACGTTTTTGAACCTTACCTTCGCGTGATTCATCTTTGAGAAGGATTGACATGGCGGACCTAGTAAAGACGATAAACATCACCACTGATGACGTGAATCATTACGCACCGCCATAAATAAAATCAACTTCACCCGGCTTAGGCATTGAAGGTAGGCGCTTCTTATCTCCTAAAGCTTGGATAGGGCGAGGATTCTTCCCATCTGCGACGTCAATAGCGTGCTGGAGGCATACGTTCGTGCATTGATTGTACACCGTCACATTAGGGTGATTTTGCC